TCCAACAACTGTGTTTATCCCATAATAAATCGCATAACAAAGATTATTGATTATGTTATCATTTTATTTGTGGCATTGACAGTTAATCCACATATCAACACATAGACCTGGCATATGATTGTGTGCCTTTTTAAACAGCGGGCGCGAGGGATAATGTTTCCCTTTCGTTACCTTGTTCTGATGTCAACTGGAGAATGATTGTTTTTCTTAACGCTACTTATTGTATTGGCAAAGGATGGCTGTATTTCAAAGTATGCAACAGCTACAGGTGATTCTACTTGTAATCATTCCTGTGACGATTATTCAGAAACCACATGGCGAAATTCTCTCATGCCACCTCCTTTAGAGGCTGAGAGAAGATCGAAATCATGCGAGAATACCATACCGTCAACATCAGCCGAAAACCTAGATCTGTCTGCAATAGGAACTACTCCCGAGTCGGAAGTAATATCGGGCAATCAGTCCTCAGACGGTACGCATGAGTCTGACTTGGAACAGGCCCAGCTCTGTGATGGCGAGGGGCAGAGTGGAAACGGGGACAACACAGACCGAGGGGTCTTCACTAGCAAAAAGAAGCGACATCGGCGGAGGAAAAGCGATAAGCCTGTGGCCAGTTCTTCCTCGGAAGAATGTATACCCAAGGGACGGAAACGTGGCTTCCAATGGAAGCAGGTGAGGTCTAAAGCACAATAAACACGCATGTTTTTATTCATTTTTTTCTAAACGGACATATGTAACCATTCCATCTTCTAAGGCAGGGTTTGTACAAAATTCAGTAAAACTAATGTTCTCAAAGAATTCAGCTATGAGGTTTCCCTGCTGATATTCACCATTTAATCACATTATTTGTTCCTGCTGATATCCACATTACGACCACTTTCCTCTTTCCTACTGATATTCATCGAGACACATTACGACCACATTTCTCTTCCTACTGATATTCATCGAGACACATTACGACCACATTTCTCTTTCCTACTGATATTCATCGAGACACATTACGACCACATTTCTCTTTCCTACTGATATTCATCGAGACACATTACGACCACATTCCTCTTTCCTACTGATATTCATCGAGACACATCACGACCACATTCCTCTTTCCTACTGATATTCATCGAGACACATTACGACCACTTTCCTCTTTATATTCATCAAGACACATTACGACCACATTCCTCTTTCCTATTGATATTCATCGAGACACATTACGACCACATTCCTCTTTCCTACTGATATTCATCGAGACACATCACGACCACATTCCTCTTTCCTACTGATATTCATCAAGATACATTACGACCACTTTCCTCTTATATTCATCAAGACACATTACGACCACATTCCTCTTTCCTATTGATATTCATCGAGACACATTACGACCACATTTCTCTTCCTACTGATATTCATCGAGACACATTACGACCACATTCCTCTTTCCTACTGATATTCATCGAGACACATTACGACCACATTCCTCTTTCCTACTGATATTCATCGAGACACATTACGACCACATTTCTCTTTCCTACTGATATTCATCGAGACACATTACGACCACATTTCTCTTTCCTACAAGATATTCATCGAACACATTACGACCACATTTCTCTTTCCTACTGAGAAGAATATTCAAAGAGACACATTACGACCACATTCCTCTTTCAAACTTGATATTCATCGAGACACATCACGACCACATTCCTCTTTCCTATTGAGAATATTCATAAAGACACATTACGACCACTTTCCTCTTTATATTCATCAAGACACATTACGACCACATTCCTCTTTCCTATTGATATTCATCGAGACACATTACGACCACATTCCTCTTTTCTACTGATAATCACCGAGATGCATTCCTTCTTCCCTGCCAATATTCAGCGCACGCTGTAAAATTTTGAGTCTTAGTAGAGTAGTTCCAGCAATATATCATAAAAATTAGGTTTTAGAATTACTTCTGCCTTTGATAAATTGTGTTCGTGGTTTATATAATTAACAGGAATGTCTCCGAATATTGGACAGAGTGTACAACCATCACCTCAGTGACCCATTCCGCCACGAGGTGAAGTCCAAGGATGTAAGTGTTGTTACCTTTTCGTTCCGTCTTATCCTCTGCCAGATATCAACTTCACTTTATATTAGGACTGAAAAGTAATACACACATGAGGACCATGTTTAATGTCCGTTTCAGATACCTGACTATTATAAAATCGTAAAGAGAGGCATGTGTTTCGACATCATAGGCTACAAACTAAGAGGTAATATTTACGAGGAACTGAGGGATTTCTTCCTTGATGTTCGTCTGATGTTTGACAACTGTAGACTGTACTACAAGGTAACCTATCCTTCTGTTTGTTCAATATATTGTGTTCAAGTTATCATTAAGTTAAATTATATGGTCCCCAACCATCAGAGGCTTCCGGGTCAGGGTCAAAATGATTGTAACTTCAAAATACTTATTCTCAAATCCCACGTATGGCAGAATTAAGTACTCTTCATAGATGGAAGTGTCTTACAGTGCTTTATAAAAATTGTAAATTTCATGAGCCCAGGGTCTTACACTTCCCCTTGGGGAAAGGATAAAATTTACTGTATTTTATATATGAAAATTACATTTTTAGGTCACCTTAAACAAAAGTGAGGGAGGGGTTTGTAAAGTTTATATTATATAAGAAAAATTGATTTTTGGGCATAATTTGTTTAATTGACTCTTCATGGATGGAAGCATCTTTATATGCTTTAATTACCAAAATCGGTCTCGCATTTCTTCCTGGGGATGAAGTTTCTTTAAACCTTATTGACATTGTCATAGAAAAAACACATTTTTGAGCATAATGTAGATTATTTCCCACTGGAAATAACTTTGAAAGAATTAGAGGATGACAATTTTGATGGTATGTTATGTATTGACACTGGTTTATTATATTCAGTGTTTTAATTTCCATTTCATGACACTTGATAACTACCCTTCAACCTCCATATTCAATATTGCTTATCTCAGGTCATCGTTCAGGCTGCTAGACAGAAAATTGAAAAATACCATAATTTTGTTGTCTTTCTTTCAGCCGGAGTCTCCCATATATCAAGCAAGTTTGGTGGTGAAGTGCTTCTTTCGCAAGGTTTCAAAGGAGGTCCTAATGCCTCGTACAACAGCCAGGTCGAGGCAGCCTAGTTGAAGAAACGACAAATGTGGCCATATTCAAAGAATTAACAAAAATGACACAAATCTTTTAAATGCCAATAGTACCATGAATACATCCATTAACGCCAGTGTTTACGTCAAATTCTGAACTAACATTTTAACAAGTCTTATCATTAGTCTCTGATCAATTTATTTATCGACATTTGTATTGTACTATGATAATGTTTAGAATATAGAATATTAGAGGTCTGCATACAGAAGCAATTCATTGGTAAAATTAAAGTTAGCAGCATCAATTAGGTTTTAAGTGACAAATTGGTGTTAAAACGACTTCAATCGTAGTTCGGATGAACATATCAGTATTTTGTTTTCATTATATGTAATCAGAAAAACTCTTATAAGATAGGAGAGCTGTTTGTACATGTGTTTGTTGCTATCAGAAAAAATAGTTCTGATATTTTCTTCACTCTCTGAATGTTTTCTTTTAGTCCTGAACGTGTAAAATAGGAATACAATTTGTTTTTTGGTCTTATGACCAATTTACATATACTCTGGAATAATCTTTTTCTCCCGAGTTTAATCTAAAATAAAATCTTAAACAGTGAAGTACATCGTAATACAGTAGCATTTTATGTGTCTGCCTGTTGCACACTCCCTTGACAGTAACATGAATACCCATCGGTACCATGTATTTCTGTCCCTCTTTTACTAACCAAGCACTCCATTTCCTTTTCAACTTACAGAAAACGATTTGTATCCAAAATGTCCAGATAACTACAGAGATAAGGTCTTTCCATATAATGATACAAAAAATAAAGAGTTCAGGTAATAGAGCCAACAGCGTATGTTCTAGTTTGGTGGGTTGTGTATTCCCTCACTCCTCAGCTGGATACCCAGTGGTATGTGGGATGATTGAGCAGTAGAGAAAATCAGGTAAGTATATCAATCACAACAGAATCTAGAGATGATGTATTGTCGACCGGTTTCATTCTCCCAGGCTTCTTCAGGACAAAAATCATTTTTTACTTTCCTGTAGTACTTATAATTGTGACTCTCTATATGCTAAAAATAGTGTGCTATTATGCGGTTATACAATTATAAGTTACTCAGATTCCTAAACAAGGAACACCCGATGTACAAAATTGAGCCAGAAATCGTCCAGGACAGGACTAGGGAAGAGGGCAAGAAACTGTCCTCCAAGAGACCATTCGAAAACCTTACTTAGTCCCAGTTGGAGCATGCAAAGTTTTGGGTGGTCCCAGCTTATCAAAGGGAGACCATCCGAAAAAAGCCAGGGCAATAATGGATCAGGCAATCAACTTGCTGAAGGAGGACCTCACTCTTAGCAACAATTCCGAAGCATCTAGGTCAACACTGAACATGTCAGAGAATGAATAGGAAGGAACAGAGACCAGGGACTAATGAAGTTACAATATATATATCGGCAACAATGTCTACAATATGTCTGGATGAACATCAAGATGTGAACAGGATTGTATGAACAATTAACAGTGATGGATATCCTTTATTAGTGATAATGAATTTAAAGGATATGGACACTATCTAAATATGATATAATTAGGACGCATGCGAGTGTATACCTACAGTTACTAACCAAGTTTATGTAAATCAGAGTAACGGAACTTGTAATGGTATAACATCATAATAGCAGATATACTACATTTAGCATATAGGGAACCCAAATTTAAATACTTTAGGAGAGTTGAAAATGAAATTTTTGTCCTGAAAAAGCCCGAGAGGGCGAAACGGTTGTCAATGCCTAATAAAATACTGCAACTCTAAAATCTGTTGTGATTTACATATTTAATCTACAAAAAAAATTAACACATTGCATAAAACAAAATTTATTCAAAATCAACAAATCTTTTGACATATCCTGATGCATTTACGAATTAAAAACATACAAAATTAAAATAATGACATCTCCGAATTCTATAAAATCTCCAGTTAGTTGTATACCATCTTGCACCTTTTAAATATATAGCACAGGTTTCCTCTACCTTTTGACACATATAATCTATTACTATTCTATTGAAAGCTCTTGATGATCTGGCATGTACGCATCGTTTTTAAGGAAGCTTTAGCACTGAAAAACAACTTATAAAATACCCACGTGATTTTCACTTTAGCACCATCTATACAACATACCAAGCATTTATTTTAGCACTAATTAGAAACATATAATCTAGATTCTAACTCCAGCTAATATTCACTATAGCAGAAATTGGGAACTAGTGAACTCAATCATTTGCTGCAACATTGATCGCAATCCTCATTTTATCTTAACATGTTATTACCAGTCATACATAAGTCGATAAAAGTTTGTGGTTAAAGAGATATCTCTGTATAGTGTGTTATAACAATAACAAGTGACAACTGGCCAAGCTAAAACTAATCAAGATGAACTCAATTGGCAGGAAACACATAAACATTGGATAGGTTTTAAACCGTAAAATCGTATGCCTGCATATCATTTGATCCATGTCTGAACCAATAAAAATAAATCCTTCATGACTTGAGCATACAGTAATCAGATTCATAGCAACCCTTTAACATGAAGAACAGGTAGGTTTGTCTATCACTATGTTCCTTGGTATCAATAGGTCAACGCTTTGATGATACGTGTTTGACAACCCAAGATAAAAACCGGGAAGCTGATATATCACATAGTTGATAACACTTTACTTGATCAATGCTGGGACGAATCATCATTAGATGACCCCTGACCCTGATTGACGTTTAGAGTCTGTAACAGTGGCAACAGTCCAGAAAGCAGTGGCATATTGGCCTGTGGCTGAGGTAGGGTTTGCTGTGCCAGTCCTCCCAAGTACGGTGGCATTCCCATCATAAGCTGATTCCCTGCTAGGTTAGTCTGCATGAAGTTCATCAGTTGGGGTGTCATACCTGCCTGACTTGTAGCAAATTGCGGGTTCATTAACTGGGGTGTCATACCTGGCTGGCTTGTGGCCATATATTGCAGGTTGACATCAGGGGTTCTTGGAGCGTTGGTGTACTGCTGGTTCAGGACACAGTGAGGCTGCTGAAATGGAACTGAGCCTCTTACAAACTGATTTGTCAGACTCGGAATCTGTGCCCCTAAATGGGCCTGAGGCAGCATCATGGTCTGTAACAGCATCTGTTGTTGGGCCAGGGTGTTCAGTAGTTCCTCATTGGTAGGGGTAGTCAACTGACTGGAGGTGGCAGGATTCGTCTGATACAGTTTATTCTGCATAGGGGCAACAACATTCGTCTTAATGGGCGACGCATTGGATGTAGATGTGCCCATCTATAAACATGCAACAGATATATAAAAATGTTCATGTAATTTTTACTGAATCATCCAGTCAAAGATTGGCCTGATGTCTGGTATTATATTAATTGCTGTTCCATTCACAAGACAATTCAATGAAAGTGAAGACAAGACCACATTTACTGTATGTTTTTAATCCTTGGTAATCAAAATGAATATTGAGACAGCCAACTAACTACTTTCACATGATATGATTTTTATATGAAACATAATGGAATACAAAAGTTGTAACAACAGACCATTATTACTTAACAAAACATATCAAATTTTTCACTGACCTGTGGTATTCCCTTCAATGGAGACACTCGGATGTGGTCAAACACGTCCTCAGAAACAGCAGCTTTAATTTTGTTATCTGTTGTGGCAACTCTAGTTGGTCCTGGAGGACTTGATGTTATTTTCTTTTCTGGACTGTCTGGGTCCAGAGCTGTAGAAAATACACCAAATATATTCACATCAGGCAACTAAAATAGGAACTGTTGTAACAAATAAACAGTCGATAGTCATCACAGGGATTCAGTCACATCGAACTCTCATCACAGGGATTCAGTCACATAAACCTCGTATCACATGAATTCAGTCCATAAACCTCGTATCACTGGAATTCAGTCACATAAATCTCTCATTACAGGGATTCAGTCACATAAACCTCATCACTGGATTTCAGTCACATAAACCTCTCATCACAGGATTCAGTCACATAAACCTCTCATCACAGGGATTCAGTCACATCAAACTCACATCACAGGGATTTTGTCACACCAATCTCTCATCACAAAGATTCAGTCACATAAACCTCTCATAACAGGAATTCAGTCAGATAAACCATTCATCACAGGGATTAAGTCACATCAAACTCTCATCACAGGGATTTCGTCACATAAACCTCATCACAGGGATTTAGTCACATAAACCTCTCATCACAGGGATTTAGTCACATAAACCTCATCACAGGGACTCAGATAAACCTCTCATCACAGGGACTCAGTCACATAAACCTCTCATCACAGGGATTTAGTCACATAAACCTCTCATCACAGGGATTTAGTCACATAAACCTCTCATCACCGGGATTTAGTCACATAAACCTCTCATCACAGGGATTTAGTCACATAAACCTCTCATCACAAGGATTCATGCACACATAAATCTATCATCACTGGGATTTAGTCACATAAACCTCATCACAGGGATTTAGTCACATAAACTTCTCATCACAAGGATTCAGTCACATAAACCTCTCATTACAGGGACTCAGATTCAGATATATGCATTTTGTATCTAACTCTATCAAACTGAATTGAATACAATACAACATATGATTTTACTACCAGTATCCATGTTTCGTTCAACACTGTGATATAAGCACCGAAAAAAGGAGCAAAATTAATCATTTCTTGAAAGGGTCATAACACTTCATAATTGCATATTCTGTGTAACTGACTTTCACCTTTACGCTGCCGTTGCTGGTCCTGCATGTCCCTCAGTACACTTATCTGGTCCTCAACTTCCTTCAGCTGGTTCATATCATTCTCCATATCTTCTGGGTGAGTCATCAAATTTTGAAGAATCCTTTTCCTAGAAGAAAATAATATGACAATTTTCAAAACAAATAAACAACAATATATCCTTATCATTGGTGCAGCTAAATGTGTTTTCTGGATGCTGACTTTATAAGTAAAGAATATTAGAAAAGTACAACAGATATGTCATCCACATCACAGTAATTTACACTTCAGCGACTTTGTCAGAAGAGTTATCAGAAAAGTAACATGAGAGTGTTATCCACATCAGAGTAATTTACACTTCAGCGACTTTGTCAGAAGGAGTTATCAGAAAAGTAACATGAGAGTGTTATCCACATCACAGTAATTTACACTTCAGTGACTTTGTCAGAAGAGTTATCAGAAAAGTAACATGAGAGTGTTATCCACATCAGAGTAATTTACACTTCAGTGACTTTGTCAGAAGAGAATATTGGAAAAGTTGTTAAAGTTACTGTGTTGTTATAGTTACCGTTTGAACTGCAGGAGCTGGAGACTGTGTTGTTATAGTTACCGTTTAAACTGCAGGAGCTGGAGACTGTGTTGTTATAGTTACTGTTTGAACTGTAGGAGCTGGAGACTGAATTGCTATAGTTACCGTTTGAACTGCTGGAGCTGGAGACTGTGTTGTTATAGTTACCGTTTGAACTGCTGGAGCTGGAGACTGTGTTGTTATAGTTACCGTTTGAACTGCAGGAGCTGGAGACTGTGTTGTTATAGTTACCGTTTAAACTGCAGGAGCTGGAGACTGTGTTGTTATAGTTACCGTTTGAACTGTAGGAGCTGGAGACTGTGTTATAGTTACCGTTTGAACTGTAGGAGCTGGAGACTGTGTTGTTATAGTTACCGTTTGAACTGCATGAGCTGGAGACTGTGTTGTTATAGTTACCGTTTGAACTGCAGGAGCTGGAGACTGTGTTGTTATAGTTACCGTTTAAACTGCAGGAGCTGGAGACTGTGTTGTTATAGTTACCGTTTGAACTGTAAGATCTGGAGACCGAGTTGTTATAGTTACCGTTTGAACTGTAGGAGCTGGAGACTGTGTTGTTATAGTTACCGTTTGAGCTGTAGGAGCTGGAGACTGTGTTGTTATAGTTACCGTTTGAGCTGTAGGAGCTGGAGACTGAATTGCTATAGTTACCGTTTGAACTGCTGGAGCTGGAGACTGTGTTGTTATAGTTACCGTTTGAACTGCTGGAGCTGGAGACTGTGTTGTTATAGTTACCGTTTGAACTGTAGGAGCTGGAGACTGAATTGCTATAGTTACCGTTTGAACTGTAGGAGCTGGAGAGTATGTTGTTATAGTTACCTTTTGAATTGTAGGAGCTGGAGACTGAGTTGGATATCTTCCAGACTGACTTGAAAGTCTGACAAGTCCTCACTGGCCTGACTCTCTGAGTCTGGGTAGTCCTCACCCTGAAAAATCCAGGAGCATTATTTCAGTGAAAATCACATATTGTTAATTATAACTACAATTAAAAAAAAAAATAAAAACAGATATAATTAGATCTATTTAAATGTGACTGTTTCACATGTTAGTGTACATACCTTCCAGTAGGGGTCACATGGGTCAAACATCTGGATAAGCTCTTTCACATTGGTTCGTAGCTCCTGACATTGGTGCTCAAACAGATCCAGAATGAACGGCACCCTACAAAGAGAAAGTTGTCTCCCATACACATTAACTATCTGATATCAGTGGGAAGAAAGATGAAATGGTGAATAATATAGATTAATTTTATGACATCAATATATGAAGAAAGACAGATTCAACACCTGTGTATATGATTTGTTTGAAGATTGAAGGACTAGGAATCCAACACTTGAATGGGGAAAGCTGACGGTTCATTACGACAACAAAAGAATGAGTAAAGCAGAAATTATTTATCCCTTGGTGGAGTTTAAGGTAAATGGAAGAGTACCTGTCAGCCCAAGAAATAATAATCAAGAGGGCAAATGGGCCTGTCTCACTCATCTGGTATAGTATCATAACATCTCACAAAAACATTAGCATTTTACATCATTGGCATTCCAGCCTTGGCTGATAAGATTAAGTTGTTAGAAGTTTTCAACAAATTTGACCCCATGACCTTGAATAGTTGTCAAAGTTTTTTTTTCTTTTCATAATCTTTGATGAGATTTAACTCCAGGAACTATCAACCAAATGTCATAACACTGGACATTTTAGTTCATAAGAAGAAGTTGTACAAAAGTTTTAACCAATTTGATCCCTTTTAACCTTGCGTATGGCTTATCAATTCATCTCTTTTCCAAATTTTGTCACCATTAATAAAAGAAACTTTCCTGTCAAATAAGATTCTGCACCTTTTGATTATCAGATTTAAGTCTTTTGATGACTTAAACAACTTTGACCCCTGTGACCTCCAATATGAGTCAAAGTCATTTCTTTTCCTCGTCTTTGTAAAGCTTCAGCCCAGGAACTTTCTAGTTAAATAATGACTCTAAGCCTTTTGGTAGATCAGAAAATGTTGCTGAAAGGGAAAAGTTGAAGCCAGACAAACAGACAATGGCCACCCACCACAGCAGAAGTCAATAAGCTATTAAATTATCCATTTTGTTATATAAGAAACCCTAAGAATTAATATCTTGGCACAACATCAGAATGACTTTCAATACTTACCTGTTGAGTTCATACAATGAGATGGACTTCTTCTCATTGTCTTGAAATACACCACATCTAAAATATAAAGACATCCTTAATTAAAAACAAGATAACCCATTCCAACTTAAGATGGGAAAAAATATAATTATAAATTTGACAAAGTAAAGGCAAAAGCAAAAAAGACAATGGACTTATCTGATAGGGGAGTGATCAGGGCATAACATCACTATCATATATAGCCACCTCAATCTACAGGGAAGAAAGAACCAGGTATAAATATATACAACCACAAATATGGATTACCTCCCTTTATCTGTTTCTCTAAAATGTACTTACTGACGGAGATCCTCAAACACTTCTGGGTATTTGTCCTGTCTCAGAGTCAGTCTGCTCACAGGTATGTTTTGTTGTTCCAGCTAAATATAACAGAAACAGGCACATCAGTCCAACACAAAGAGTTAAAAATATCTTTGAGGATATTTCAGTTGGTACAACAATACTTCAGTAGACATGAGAGAGAAGACATTGTCTTACCAGTTCTTTGAGGATGTCAGCCTCCCAGAGGTAGACTAACACTTAAGTAAACCTGACAGAGAGGACAGTAACTTACCTCATCTTGGAGGATGTCAGCCTCCCAGAGGTAGACTAACACTTCAGTAAACCTGACAGAAAGGACAGTAACTTACCTCATCTTGGAGGATGTCAGCCTCCCAGAGGTAGACTAACACCTCAGTAAACCTGACAGAGAGGACAGTAACTTACCATTTCTGTGAGTATGTCAGAATCCCAGAGGTAGACTAACACCTCAGTAAACCTGACAGAGAGGACAGAAACTTACCTAATCTTGGAGGATGTCAGCCTCCCAGAGGTAGACTAACACCTCAGTAAACCTGACAAAGTGGACAGAAACTTACCTCATCTTGGAGGATGTCAGCCTCCCAGAGATAGACTAACACCTCAGTAAACTTGACAGAGAGGACAGTAACTTACCTCATCTTGGAGGATGTCATCCTCCCAGAGGTAGACTAACACCTCAGTAAACTTGACAGAGAGGACAGAAACTTACCTCATCTTGGAGGATGTCAGCCTCCCAGAGGTAGACTAACACCTCAGTAAACCTGACAGAGAGGACAGTAACTTACCATTTCTGTGAGGATGTCAACCTCTTAGAGGTAGGCCAACACCTCAGTAAACCTGACAGAGAGGACAGTAACTTACCATTTCTGTGAGGATGTCAACCTCCTAGAGGTAGACAAACATCTCAGAAGACTTGAGAGAGAAGACAGTATCTTACCGTGTCTGTGAGAATGTCTGTCTCCTAGAGGTTGATCAACAATTCAATAGTCATGAGAAAGAGGACAGTAACATACCATGCTTGTGAGGATGTCTGCCTCCCAAAAGAATCCCGAAATCTCGCCAGACATCAGATAGGCAGTATCATTAAGGTTGATCAAGTTAACGATGTGTTCTCCTGTAAGCTGGATTCTGTAATACAGGAATCAGAATGCATGCACATCAAATTTAAAGCACATTCTGTAGAACTGATAGAAAATCATCATGTTCCTGGAAAATTTAATTCTTCTTGGCTTGTATCATTTTCTTTAACGCATGCACTCAGTTACCAGTCCAAAAACTTACGGTTGAACAAAACGTCTGCTTAATTCTCGTGTCTCAATCTTGTTTTGCACCTGTGGCTGGACAGGCTGCTCCACTCCCACTTTGGGTTTAAATCCTTTTTCATAGACATAGGAATAGTCTGGCACCTACACATAAAATTTTACAAATGGTGACTCAGGTCAGAAATTTTAATTAAAAGCTCTGATCAAGATGAAGTTACAACGTTTTCTCGCCCGCTTCAAAGATGCGTTCCAAGTTTTGATAGGGAAACATAACTCTTTCTTTCCGGAAAGGCAGTTCACGTGCACCTTTATTCTAAAAAAATTCTTAAAATCATCAAATGTGATGGAAGTCTTTATCCCCATAAACAAGATCATGATGCACTCTCAACAGAGTTTATTAATATGACATTTTTAATGGCCCGTCAACACATAAAAGATCTTTAGGGCCATAAACCAGTAAAACACACAGCAATCCAAAAGGAAATAACATCAAACAAACTAAAAGGTAAAAGACAAATGCTAAAAATGTTCAATGGTTATATCATCACAAAAGATTAAAATGGTTAGTCATAATATATTATATAGACCAAATTCTTTCAGATAACCTACGATTTTACAAAATCCAAGTCTCAACAGTTTCAAAAAGGGTCTTAAGACTTGTAATGTTACAATGTAGTGTTTATTGTTTTATTCTGCATAACCATATGCATGTCACAATTGGATACCATAAATCAATGTTGTCACACTCCTGATCGACCAATGATGATCCAGTATTTGATGTGAATCTGAATACTAATAAATCATCTCAACCCTTGGAAAAGGACTTTCAATGTTTGGCACTTGACAACGCCCAATATCTTAAAGATGTTTTGTGTATTATCTCATACCAAGGATAGTTTTAATTTGTAAAGTTTACCAAGTGACTATGAGAGAATTAAATCTATGAAAATCCATACCTTCTAAGCAAAACTGAGGTTCACCACAATTTTGGCATCTGATTTTAGATTTAATATATCATACTGTTAACCTGGTAAAATATTAGCCACAATATACCCCTCAGTTAGAGAGAACTTAATTGAGCGTCAGGCTGATAAGACAAGAGTCTTGACTCGAATTTTGCAGAGGAATTGAAAGAAAAAATTACTTCCTTCACAATACTTTTTAAACTGAACTGAAGTACATCACAATTTTTCCATCCAGATTTGGGTTAAATACAGCCATATTTTATAAATTTGAGTTAAGGCATACCTTTGGTCAAATATACCATATCTTTAAAACTTTATTGAATTCAAGAGTACATTTAATATGTATTATACCAGTAAATTCGGATTTTTACCTGGATTACCTAATCAAACCATTAATATGTTGTCGCTGTACCATTGCCGCTCACATTTAAATGGCTATACCATGCCAACTTTATGAGGTCGGATCACCACCCTTCAGCAGTAAATGACCGACTTTCCCTTATCATTGATCTTCACTTCAATATACTGCTAGTCACCGAAATCAATCTCACTCAGGATAAGTAAATAACAAGTCCGTGTTGGAATCGTACTGCTATAGTGATTCTCAGATGTATAAGTGCTTCACCAATATACTTAGCTGTGATAACTACAATATCCGGGACAAGTTTTATCAACTTCAGTAAAACTTTGGACGTTAAAACACGTCATGGTCTCTACTCCACTTCTATAGCCTTCTAATGCCGTTTTTATCAATGTCTTGGCCCTTTTCTGGCAATTAGCCAACAAATGTCTATTTCTGAATCAGTTTTACAATTATTGCCAACAAAATAATTCATTTTATAATTTAATGATAACTTGGTAACCCCTTTAGCTAATGGTAGGACAAATAATAAACACAGTAAATAAGTAACTCAACTATTCAAGGACTAGAATTCATCTGTGCTGCAAATTTTAAAAGCAGTTGTTGGAATTAAACATGAATATTGAAAAATGAATCAAAATCATATTTTCAAATCAAAATTTCAAAGAAAAATCAATTTCACTATGTATTTTGTCTTTTTAATAAAGGGGTATGGGAGTGGGTGGTAAGGGTGTTGGAGGTATATTCAGCATTCAACATTTTGAACAAGCAAACTTTAGAAACGATATCTGTGGAACAGTTAATGTAGAGTTACAAATTTCATCATTTCATCAGGCTACAATGTACTGTAGAAATGTTCTCTCCTAGTCTAAAAACTATAATGATTACTATAACAATAATTGTGAGATATCAAGTAAACAAAACAGTGAAACTGCAATTAGCATAATCATATGTTAGTGCAATACTTTCAGCACAAGAAGTGTTAAAATAAAATTACCACTAAAACATATTCATTCACAGTAAGTGAAATAGATTTTATCTAAAATCTGATTTCACTTCATAGATGGGCTTCATGGATACCTATATAGACACTGCCCTCCTGTGATGTACTGCTATACAAAGTCCATACATCAAAAATGCACATATAATGCATTTAAGGTCAAGGTCAAATATCCAATGAAGGTTACAGTATCCCAACTTGAATATAGAACACATTGCCTCCTCATGTTGTACTTATTTCCCACTGATGGGAGATATATGGTCTGAAAACCTGTATTTCGTTTTTAATTTAGAATTTACAATCGTGCAAAGTAATGCAGAAGTTGCAGTGACCTCAATTTAGTACCTAACACACTGTCATATTCTGATCATGTTTTACAAATTTCTATGTCCATATGTTAAGGAAGCACATGATTAATATGATGTATCACTTTTGACATCAGTTGATGCAGGTACAGAAGATAAAAAGAGTACAGGTTGGTAGTAATCATACCTTAAGCTATATAAGGTGGGAGTATATGGGAGTTAAGTAGATGGGAGTTTTGATTATTATATATCATTATACAAATGCCCTATCCAACAATGACCTGACAGAGTGACCTACCCTTGGTACTGATGAGACAGAAGGACTGAAACATGAACGAAACATTACACACCCACAGCCCTGATCAGTAAATGTATGTATTGGAAAAGTCTGATATTGGTTAATTGTTGTAGTAAATGTCCCTGCAGACAGGTTAGCAGGCTTGTGTGTATATATAATGAAAGTCAATACCTAACTAACATACATGTAGCAGTGAAAAATTGGCTGTCACCAAAACAAATATATCAAGCAACTTACTTTACCTATACCAGAACCTACGTAGGATTATAGGTAATTTAAAATATCTTTTATCTATCTGATTGAATACCAAATGTTAGCTGTCAATGTGCAGAATGTATCGCCCAACAGACATATTGACATTATTGTGGAAACCCAGTGAGGCGACTCTCTACAAGGCTATGATTTAAGTCAGTGAGGGGACAGACCTAGGTAAGTCATTCCCCACATTGGGACTGAGCCACGCCTGACCGCACCTCCACAGGGCCTACTGGACAGACGCGGCCCAGATTATATGTATTGTGCCTGTTGGTATTTTGTATTCCTGGTCTTAGTTAATGTTTGCACTGGAGTTTATGAGGAGATTAACTGGGGTCAAATCTTTGTGAGCAGGACTGTCCACCCCAGGGAGTGCTGAACTCTACATGTATTGTTGACACTGGACTTAATACTCTGGACTTACTGTACGCTGCAGACTTCAATATATCACTCCATTCTGATGTCCAACATTTGAAGGATTAGAAAAAAATTTCTGACATAGGTGAGTTAATGCAAAAATGCAAAATCATAATTTGAGATGAAACTATATGGGACAATGCTTTCCGAAGGGCAATGGTAGAACATGTACAATTTATACACACTGTCAACATGGCTCTCTTTGGTAGTAACAGGGGGACACATGAGGACAGTTTCTGTAAACAAGGCTCTCTTTGGTAGTAACTGGGGGCACATGAGGACAGTTTCTGTAAACAAGGCTCTCTTTGGAAGTAACAGGGGGACACATGAGGACAGTTTCTGTAAACAAGGCTCTCTTTGGAAGTAACTGGGGGCACATGAGAATAGTTTCTGTAAACAAGGCTCATTTTGATAGTAACAGGGGGACACATGAGGACAGTTTCTGTAAACAAAGCTTTTTTTGCTAGTAGCAGGGGGACACATGAGGACAGTTTCTGTAAACAAGGCATTTTTTGCTAGTAGCAGGGGGACACATGAGGACAATTTCTGTAAGCATCACTCTCCATGGTAGTAACAGAGGGACATATGAGGACATGAGTTTCTATAAACAACTCTCTTTTTTAGGTCCCTGTATCAAAAAGTATGGGGGGTTGTTAAACAAAATGAAATGTAAGATATGTTAATCTTTTTTAAATTAATCAAAATAGTAGGAAGAGCACAACAGCTGAGGCCAGGTATAGTAATACTGTGACTGCCGACATTTTTTAAAATTATTTAAATCAAACAAAACTAAGCTACTATTTCTTGTATATTGATAACTATTATAAACAATTAATTTCAAATTTTCTAAATTTTTCTGTATTCCTACTGTTCTCTAAGGAATGACCTGTTTGAATGCCAGGGTCACAAATTAGTAGGAGGTATTTCTGATGTACATGTACTGATATGCTGTGAGGATCAAACGATTCAGTCAGCCTTAAAAGAAACCTTATAGCACATGCTTCAGTAGAAATGCTATATATAACAGGATATCAAATTATGAATTAGTAATTAACAGGTAGAAACTATGAACATATTAGATTACAATGACTGCATACCATTTCACTTATATCCAATCAGATACCAGTACTGTAGACTAAAGTATATACTACTTGGAAAATTGGTTTCAGGTGTTGCTTTTTTTCCTTAATATTTGAATTTTGGATTTTAAGTGGACTGTGTATACCAATATGGGATCACCCTAAAACCTTGTACACAGACACTTATAACATATGCTCATTGGACATTTTCTCTGCTGGTATTATATAAAATTTGCTTGTCTTGTCCAACTGCAAAATGTGATCAAAATCTGGGCAAGACTTTGGGAGAGGTGGGTCATAATCACCTCAATTATTCCTATTGGATCCTGTCCGTCTCACCCTCAGGGTCACAGCTACTATAATTGTAAAACTATGATTGTCCTCCCCCAAATATATTTTCAAACTTGGTTAAAATCCATTCAGGAGACAGGTGGAGTAAACTTTTTAAAGGAGTCATTCATGGACAACACACAGAACATAATATGGTTATAGCCATTCTGACGACTTTGATAACCAAACAAAAAATCTCAAAGGATATTGGTACAATCATGGTACAATCTTAATTAATTTTATTTAAGTTTTTGTTCATTATTTCACTTATTTGCTCTGAATCATCCATTATGTTTTTTTTTTCTGTTATTACCAAAATTGAACATGCATGAAATTTGAGAAAGACCCCTCGGAGGTTTAAAAAATTGTGATAACAATATTTAACTGTGTAGATATAAGAAGAAGATGTCTGCCTATATTGTTAATTCTATATTACTGATCAATCCCAAAATTTAACAAATACAAGTAAAAACAATGGGAACATACACATGACGTTTGAAAATGATCTCAAGAGAAAGTGATTAAAAGAAGAGGATGGATGGACAAGTTATAGACCAATGAAGGGCTACTAGTAAGCCAATCATTTTATAAAAGTCAGAAATATGAAAAGTAGTGGTCAAGGTGTAGGAAATATCAACACATCTGTCTAAGAGTTGATATGGCTTGAGGAGGAAATACCAGGACTAATGTTGTGTGGGCAGTACCAAAGCTTGAGGAGGATAGGTTCTTAAAGCCAACAGTGCCAAATGTGATCACATGATATACACAATGTCTGGCTACCTTTTATAACATTGTATTTTTAACACAGATATTTTACGCTATACTTGCGTTTTGCTTGTGCCACTATTGAACATATGCCACCTATATTAACCTCTGTCTACTAATTCTATGTATCTCTACCAGAGCCCAACACTATGACTATTGTTATGGAATATCATAATGCCTCATTAAATTGCAATTAGTTAATAACTTTTGGCCTACATAAAATCCTTGTGTGTATATCATACTTAAAACTATGTACCATCACACCTCTTAAATATGTAGCACCTGAACTTTTGTCATGTTGATGTTTATTCATTAAACAAGTGTGTCCAGGGTTCTGCTGTACAATCTAACTAAACATTTGCATCTGTGAGGAAAATCGCCTCCATCTCTTAAGGGATGTTGATCTTGATGAGGGAGACGCTACTATAAGGGCAATATTATTCTAGGATATAAACCCTTCATTGTGTTAATATCATTATAGGACTCATCTTTTCACAAATTTACATAAACTTTACAGGCAGAGAAAAGGAAAACATACTATACAACCCGACCATGTACAATGTATACAATGATCCTGTAGGCTGATCCTATCTAAGCTGTTATTCTGTATCAATATTACTGTGACACAATCAATCCCACCGAAAAGACTGAAATTGAAGCCTGGAAGCTGATTTCCTGAGCTGCACCTGTGGGGGATTCTATCAAGAAAATAGTTTCACTACCTGTTGACTAATTCTCATTCAAACAAGAAAAGCAAATCCATGTAAACAAAATTCCAGCACAGTTAACCTAGCAGGACATATTGATTTCTTGTCACATCTCTCACTGATCAATATAGCATTTCCTATTTTCCATATATGCTTCAACTCATGACAGGTATACTGCTATCAACTCCAAGTACCACAGCTAGCTGTACTTCAATATCTGGTTAATGTTATGGTCATGGGCCATTACAACCAACTCTCAGCACCACAGCTAGCTGTACTTCAATATCTGGTTAATGTTATGGTCAGGACCATTACAACCAACTCTCAGCACCACAGCTAGCTGTACTTCAATATCTGGTTAATGTTATGGTCAGGACCATTACAACCAACTCTCAGCACCACAGCTAGCTGTACTTCAATATCTGGTCACTGTAATAGTCAGGACCATTATAACCAACTCCAAGTACCACAGCTTGCTGTACTTTAATATCTGGTTAATATTATGGTCAGGACCATTATAACCAACTCTCAGCACCACAGCTAGCTGTACTTCAATATCTGGTCACTGTAACAGTCAGGACCATTATAACCAACCCCAAGTACCACAGCTTGCTGTACTTTAATATCTGGACAATATAATCGTCAGGACCATCTTAACCAACTCTCACGGCTAGCTGTACTTCAATATCTGGTTAATATTATGGTCAGGACCATTACAACCAACTCCAAGTACCACAGCTATCTGTTCTTCAATATCTGGTTAATATTATAATCAGGGCCATTACAACCAACTCTCAGTATCACAGCTAGCTGTACTTCAATATCTGGACAATATTATCGTCAGGACCATCTAAACCAACTCTCACTATCACCGCTAGCTGTACTTCAATATCTGGTTAGGTGTCCAGATGTGTCAGGTTTACTGTAGTGATACACTGGACTGTACCGATGTGTTAGTTAAAACTGTAGGTTACACTGGACTGAACAGGTGTGTCAGGTAAATTGTAGTGTTACACTGGATGGTACAGGTGTGTCAGGTTTACTGTGGTGTTACACTGGACTGTACAGGTGTGTCAAGTTTACTGTAGAGTTACACTGGGCTGTACCGATGTGTTAGTTAAAACTGTAATATTACACTGGTGTGTACAAGTGTGTCATGTTTACTGTAGCGTTACACTGGAGAGTACAGGTGTGTTAGGTTTACTGTGGTGTTACACTGGACTGTACAGGTGTGTCATGTTTACTATAGTGTTACACTGGAATGTACAGGTGTGTCAGGTTTACTGTGGTGTTACACTGGACTGTACCAATGTGTTAGTTAAAATTGTAGGTTACACTGGACTGTACAGGTGTGTTAGTTAAAACTGTAGGTTACACTGGACTGTACAGGTGTGTTAGTTAAAACTGTAGGTTACACTGGACTGTACAGGTGTGTTAGTTAAAACTGTAGGTTACACTGGACTGTACAGGTGTGTTAGTTAAAACTGTAGGTAACACTGGACTGTACAGGTGTGTTAGTTAAAACTGTAGGTTACACTAGACTGTACAGGTGTGTCAGGTAAATTGTAGTGTTATACTGGAATATACAGATTGTACAGGTGCCTAAGTAAACTGTAGGTTGCACTAGACTGTACTGATCTGTCACATTAAATGTATGACAGGATTATCCAATAATCATTCCTACTGGTATATAATTACACTTGATCCCGTTAAATCTTACCTGTATTTACAATGTCCCTCATAATTTTCTTCTCCCACTAGGCATTGGATTGTCAGTGTTTATTCATAATGCAAAGAAATTCTGCTAAGAAATTTTGAAATGCACCAACAGTCAAAGAAATAAAACTTCTCTTCACCTGAATACACTGTCTCAAAGGTTACAATGCATATTAAAATGTTGAAATGTAATACCTTATCAAATCAGCATAAACACTTTATAACTGATCTGCATTGTAATAAAAATATACCCGTTAAATTAAATGTCTATTTCAAAACTAAACAATATTTAAATTAATTGAAAAAAAATCTACAAATAAATTTTCCTGTGTGCATTTTGTTCTCAAATTTCAAATAATAGAATTCTATTTTGCTGAAAGTACATATTACTGGTATGACTGATAATTAAGTAACAACTATCTTCCTGATCACAATACAATTGTGTTTTCAGCATTGTTATCCTTGTCAATCCTAAATACAAGAGTAACCCAGTGAAGCATATCAACTGGGTCCTGGTTCATCGGTAATGAAATAGTTATAAATAATAATTTCATTGGAATAGCAAACTTTATTATCCCTAAAGTATATATTAATGGATATCACACACCAATTGCTGTAATCAATAGAACAGCTGTTTATTGTGTGTCAACTCAACTCACAAAACAACGTTCTAATCCCCATTGGTTAAATGACATTTATCGGAAAGTTCAGCGGGTAATTACATACACATATTTATCTCCATGATAAAAAATTAAATGCAGCCAGGTATGAAGACTTCAGTCTTGAGTAAACCTAGTGGATAGACTGGTATGAACTATACCAGTGGGTAGACTGTGATGTAAATTAAATCCAGTGGGTACACTGTGCTGTTAACCAAACCCAGTGGGTGCAATGTAGGTTAAGTTTTAAATAAGGGGAAAATATAGTGTAAACTCTACCAAGCTGGTCGACTGTGGTGTAAAATATACCCAGTGGGTAGGTTGTAATGTATATTAAACCCAGTGGGTAGACTGTAATGTAAATTAAACCCAATTGGTAGACTGTGATGTAAATTAAACCCATTTGGTAGACTGTTGTTTAAACTAAATGCAGTGGGTAGACTGTAGAGCTAACAAGTCCCAGTGGGTAGACCATGGTGTAAACTTTACACAGTGGGTAGACCGTAGTGTAAACTAAACCCAGTGGTTAGACTGTGGTGTAAACTTAACCCAATGAGTTAACCATGGTGTAAACTAAACCCAGTGGGTAGACCATGGTGTAAACTTTACACAGTGGGTAGACCGTAGTGTAAACTAAACCCAGTGGGTGGACCATGGTGTAAACTAAACCCAGTGAGTAGACCATGGTGTAAACTAAACCCAGTGAGTAGACCATGGTGTAAACTAAACCCAGTGGGTAGACCGTGGATTAAACTAAACCCAGTGGGTAGACCATGGTGTAAACTAAACCCAGTGAGTAGACCATGGTGTAAACTAAACCCAGTGAGTAGACCATGGTGTAAACTAAACCCAGTGAGTAGACCATGGTGTAAACTAAACCCAGTGGGTAGACCATGGTGTAAACTAAACCCAGTGGGTAGACCATGGTGTAAACTAAACCCAGTGAGTAGACCATGGTGTAAACTAAACCCAGTGGTTAGACCATGGTGTAAACTAAACCCAGTGGGTAGACCATGGTGTAAACTAAACCCAGTGGGTAGACCATGGTGTAAACTAAACCCAGTGAGTAGACCATGGTGTAAACTAAACCCAGTGGGTAGACGGTGGATTAAACTTTACACAGTGGGTAGACTGTGATGTAAACTAAACCCAGTGGGTAGACCGTGGATTAAACTAAACCCAGTGGGGAGACTGTGATGTAAACTTAACCCAGTGGGTAGACCATGGTGTAAACTAAACCCAGTGGGTAGACTGTGATGTAAACTAAACCCAGTGGGTAGACGGTGGTGTAAACTAAACCCAGTGGGTAGACCATGGTGTAAACTAAACCCAGTGAGTAGACCATGGTGTAAACTAAACCCAGTGGGTAGACCGTGGATTAAACTAAACCCAGTGGGTAGACTGTGATGTAAACTAAACCCAGTGGGTAGACTGTGATGTAAACTAAACCCAGTGAGATTAGACTGTGGCATTAACTAAACCCTGTGGCTAGATAGTAGGCTAAACTTGCAAAAACCAAGTCCTGTGGATAGCTTGTAACATTTAACTCAAATTTCATCCCATGAGTATTCACTATCTCTATGCTGTTTATTTATGCATCTAGACTGAATTTGTACAGGAAATCCAATCAGTTTTTGATACCTGTTCAATAAGCTCTCCCTAGATTGAGTGGCTGATCACTTTCGTGTGGACAACCTATCAGCACACACAGCCAACCCTGGACAACTCTGCATAGATCACAGGTGATTTACTGACCATAACCAGTATTGACTGTTTATCTCACTGGTGACACAACAGTCTGCTGGACCGAACCACTGAGAACAGGACATCTTAGAATAACCCTGACCACTCTCAACACAGAGTTGGATATTATCAAACATTGCCACATAGAATCTGACAACTCAACAGTGACATAGTCTGGACAGTGGTTTTTGACATAAGCCTCAATATTGGATATATCTTCATATGATAAAAATTATTATAATATTGCATACAATTTATAGTTCCAGCCAGGTATATCTGAGTGTAGACTTGTCATCGTGATGGCCTGGATTTTATGCTACCTTACTATGTCTTGCTTAAGCTAACCTTACATTAAAGCTTAGTCTACAGCTTAAAACAAAAGACAATTGTTCACTTTGATCATTCTGACACACGACATGATCCAAGAAGAGGCAATCTAGTAATGAAGGCAATGAAGATAAAAATTTACAGGGACTATAGAATGGAAATGTGTGGAGGAACAGACCTTAAATAGCTTCTCCTTCACCTAACATAGACAACCTCACAGTCTTCTGTGATGTCTATATAAGGTATTGAACTGTAAATGCTTTCACCTGAGCCATAGTTAAGACCCCTACAAAGGAAGAACTTGTACTGATGACTTGGGGACATACCTAGTGTTCAATCTCACTGAAAGTCTACTGGATTAGCTACACAAGGTACCTTTCTTACTGTGTAGCACCTTGTTGACACCCTAGATGTGTACTTTTTTTAAATGTCTACGAGCTTTTCATCAGTGTAACATTACTTCAACAATCGAGCATTCAATTGGGAAATCAAACATGCTAGAAAGATGTAAGCTGTATCGAAAGTATTTCATCTGATGTATGACCAACTCCTGACGCGTATTTAATCCCTTCAGAATATCATCAAAACGATCACTTCATAGACATACTGTGGCTACTACTGGACATTTACCTGATTGGATTGGGATTTCTGTGGAAATTTAAGAACAAACAGGGAAATATGTGTAGTACAAGTGTGGATGATGAGGGCTGTCAGAGGCTGTTCTCACGGGTAAGGTGTTGAGCAATACTGAAGGTGTATATTATGATCTCATCACTTTACATATATATTTAATATATATGGATTTCAACTTGAGAAAATCATTGATTAAGTACATCCTTTGAAATTATCTCTGCACAGAGTTTTAAAGTGACTTGCCTTTGATTGAGAAGACCTTTACACTGAATGGTAAATTCAAAAAATCAAATAGGTAATGCATGATGTAGTTTAAAGATTTTGTGAAGGATATCAGATTAATAATGAAGTAATTACAGAATTTTCCTGTGTACAGTAACATTTTAGATTAATAATGAAGTTATTACAGAATTTTCCTGTGTACAGTAACATTTCAGATTAATAATGAAGTGGTTACAGAATTTTCCTGTGTACAGTAACATTTCAGATTAATACTGAAGTAGTTACAGAATTTTCCTGTGTACAGTAACATTTCAGATTAATAATGAAGTTATTACAGAATTTCCCTGTGTACAGTAACATTTCAGATTAATAATGAAGTGGTTACAGAATTTTCCTGTGTACAGTAACATTTCAGATTAATACTGAAGTAGTTACAGAATTTTCCTGTGTACAGTAACATTTCAGATTAATAATGAAGTTATTACAGAATTTCCCTGTGTACAGTAACATTTCAGATTAATAATGAAGTGGTTACAGAATTTCCCTGTGTACAGTAACATTTCAGATTAATACTGAAGTAGTTACAGAATTTTCCTGTGCACGGTAACATTTCAGATTAATAATGAAGTGGTTACAGAATTTTCCTGTGTACAGTAACATTTCAGATTAATACTGAAGTAGTTACAGAATTTCCCTGTGTACAGTAGCACTTTAGATTAATACTGAAGTAGTTACAGAATTTTCCTGTGTACAGTAGCACTTTAGATTAATAATGAATTGGTTATAAAATTTTCCTGTGTACAGTCACATTTCAGATTAATACTGAAGTAGTTACAGAATTTCCCTGTGTACAGTAGCACTTTAGATTAATACTGAAGTAGTTACAGAATTTTCCTGTGTACAGTAGCATTTTAGATTAATAATGAATTGGTTATAAAATTTTCCTGTGTACAGTAACATTTCAGATTAATACTGAAGTAGTTACAGAATTTTCCTGTGTACAGTAACATTTTAGATTAATAATGAAGTAGTTACAGAATTTTCCTGTGTACAGTAACATTTCAGATTAATACTGAAGTAGTTACAGAATTTTCCTGTGTACAGTAACATTTCAGATTAATACTGAAGTAGTTACAGAATTTTCCTGTGTACAGTAACACATCAGATTAATACTGTGGTCTTCCAGGTCTGCTCCATGCACATTAGTTACATTTCAGAGGAGTTGTTACTGAATTTTCCTATGAACAGTAACATCTCTCTCTGATAATTTATACTGAAGTAGTAACAGAATTTTCTTGTGTACAGTAACATCTCTGATAATTTATACTGAAGTAGTTACAATATTTCCCTGTGTACAGTAACATTTCAAATTGATAAGAAAGTATTTAAAGAATTTTCTTGTATACAGTAACATTTCAGATTGATACTGAAATAGTTACGGAATTCCCTGTGCACAGTAACATTTCAGATTTATACTGAAATAGTTACAGAATTTTCCTGTGCACAGTAACATTTCAGAATGAAACTGAAGTAGTTACATAATTTTTTTGTGTAAAGTAACATCTATGATGATTAATATTGAAGCAGTTCAGAATGTCCCTTTATGCAGAAATCACTTTAGTTGACTTGAACAATTAAAATGCCACCATTGTGGAAAATTACAAAGAGATACTGTGTCCCCCATTATTAAGGAAAAGTGTTGTGAAAGATGTCAAGCTAGAAGTCATCATATTATGAACAACAAAAATATCAAGTTTAAAGCGAAATGTGGGAAGCAGGAAAAAATGAAATTTGAAACGACTGTTTGACTCCTGATCATTAAACAGGAAAAATGAACTTCTTAAATAACCAGTTTGCAGCTGTTTTGTATCAACTGACCAAAACAGCACACTCAGTATATGCTCTGGGACAAAAAGTAGGGTTGAGGCACAAGAAGCTAATTTTCTTAACACTGTATAGCATAACACTATGTGTACATGTATTAGACTAATCTTCAACATAAATCATGAGCCATGCCAAGCTAAGTTTGTATGAAGACTTCTATATTTTCCATTTACAGCTTCATTGAACTGTTTACTGGTGGTGACATATCAAAAATAAAAATTGTGTTACTAATAAAGAACAGGTATAGAAATGTTAAGAATCGAGTATGAATACACAGTAATACCAAACAATGGACAATACAGACTAACGGAACAGTGGGTACATGTACAGGTATATATATAACAGATCTATGTAAACTCTTGTGTGTTTGTAAGAACACTCCAACTCATACACCAACCCACTCAGACCATTTTTAAATGCCCTAAAATGTCCTTGACAAATACCTAACTCCTTTATAGTGTTGCTGTGGACTAACATATCCATTTACATCGATATATACTGGGAGTGTGGGCCTTCAGCTTAATACTGGTTTCCAGTTTAGACCAGTGTTTTTTAAAATATCAAATGATATATACATATGCAGCTGTGTATACATCATTGCAAAAGAAAGCAAACTGTATGCGAAATTATCCTTATATCTTATCAGCCTCTGGGAGGCTTCAACCCCCTACCCCCTTTAAATGGAGATTTGCCCCTGGACAATGACCCCCTACACCCCTAATTCCACCCGTGTACACACCAAAACTGTTTGACTATGTGTGGGCGTGTAGGTGACTTGATAAATTAGGTCAGTTTACACACACACCTCAGTTGATATAGGTTTCTAGATTGATTAGAAATGGACAGATTTGTTTACTGATGCTCAATTGAGACATATGAATATTTAAAACACCTCTTGTTACAACTTTAACATGGGAGATGGATTTCTGCATGGAATTTTTGTCCATAATGTAGGCTTGTGATGTAGAACCCATCTTGACTGTGATGGTGACCTGTCATCACACCCATTACTTAATCACATCTAAAATTAACCTCTAGTGAAGTGATGACTTTATAGGTTTCTACATCCGATTTTGGAAAGTGCAAGTCCACAAACATAATGACTGAACCATTATCAGGATTGATGGGCTGTGATGTTGTTGCCACCAAAGGAAACTGTATATAATTATCCACCACACAATTTATGACAGTTAAGCACAGGAGTTGGAGCCATATGAGCTGTACATCAATAATACATACTGAAGGTTCATTAGTCTACACTCAGCCTCCACCCAACAACATACACAGGTCTGACCACTACACCCAGCCTCCACCCAACAACATACACAGGTCTGACCACTACACCCAGCCTCCACCCAACAACATACACACATCTGACCACTACACCCAGCCTCCAACCAACAACATACACACATCTCACCACTACACCCAGCCTCCACCCAACAATATACACAGGTCTGACCACTACACCCAGCCTCCACCCAACAACATACACACATCTCACCACTACACCCAGCCTCCACCCAACAACATACACAGGTCTGACCACTACACCCAGCCTCCACCCAACAACATACACACATCTGACCACTACACCCAGCCTCCACCCAACAACATACACAGGTCTGACCACTACACCCAGCCTCCACCCAAAAACATACACAGGTCTCACCACTACACCCAGCCTCCACCCAACAACATACACACATCTCACCACTACACCCAGCCTCCACCCAACAATATACACAGGTCTGACCACTACACCCAGCCTCCACCCAACAACATACACACATCTCACCACTACACCCAGCCTCCATCCAACAATATACACATCTGACCACTACACCCAGCCTCCACCCAACAACATACACAGGTCTGACCACTACACCCAGCCTCCACCCAACAACATAACAACTACACCCATACACACATACACACTGACCACTACACCCAGCCTCCAACCAACAACATACACACATCTCACCACTACACCCAGCCTCCACCCAACAATATACACAGGTCTGACCACTACACCCAGCCTCCACCCAACAACATACACACATCTCACCACTACACCCAGCCTCCACCCAACAACATACACAGGTCTGACCACTACACCCAGCCTCCACCCAACAACATACACACATCTGACCACTACACCCAGCCTCCACCCAACAACATACACAGGTCTGACCACTACACCCAGCCTCCACCCAAAAACATACACAGGTCTCACCACTACACCCAGCCTCCACCCAACAACATACACACATCTCACCACTACACCCAGCCTCCACCCAACAATATACACAGGTCTGACCACTACACCCAGCCTCCACCCAACAACATACACACATCTCACCACTACACCCAGCCTCCATCCAACAATATACACATCTGACCACTACACCCAGCCTCCACCCAACAACATACACAGGTCTGACCACTACACCCAGCCTCCACCCAACAACATACACAGGTCTACACACAGCCTCCACCCAACAACATACACACATCTGACCACTACACCCAGCCTCCAACCAACAACATACACACATCTCACCACTACACCCAGCCTCCACCCAACAATATACACAGGTCTGACCACTACACCCAGCCTCCACCCAACAACATACACACATCTCACCACTACACCCAGCCTCCACCCAACAACATACACAGGTCTGACCACTACACCCAGCCTCCACCCAACAACATACACACATCTGACCACTACACCCAGCCTCCACCCAACAACATACACAGGTCTGACCACTACACCCAGCCTCCACCCAAAAACATACACAGGTCTCACCACTACACCCAGCCTCCACCCAACAACATACACACATCTCACCACTACACCCAGCCTCCACCCAACAATATACACAGGTCTGACCACTACACCCAGCCTCCACCCAACAACATACACACATCTCACCACTACACCCAGCCTCCATCCAACAATATACACAACTGACCACTACACCCAGCCTCCACCCAACAACATACACATCTGACCACTACACCCAGCCTCCACCCAACAACATACACAGGTCTGACCACTACACCCAGCCTCCACCCAACAACATACACACATCTGACCACTACACCCAGCCTCCAACCAACAACATACACAATCTCACCACTACACCCAGCCTCCACCCAACAATATACACAGGTCTGACCACTACACCCAGCCTCCACCCAACAACATACACACATCTCACCACTACACCCAGCCTCCACCCAACAACATACACAGGTCTGACCACTACACCCAGCCTCCACCCAACAACATACACACATCTGACCACTACACCCAGCCTCCACCCAACAACATACACAGGTCTGACCACTACACCCAGCCTCCACCCAAAAACATACACAGGTCTCACCACTACACCCAGCCTCCACCCAACAACATACACACATCTCACCACTACACCCAGCCTCCATCCAACAATATACACATCTCACCACTACACCCAGCCTCCACCCAACAATATACACAGGTCTGACCACTACACCCAGCCTCCACCCAACAACATACACACATCTCACCACTACACCCAGCCTCCACCCAACAACATACACACATCTGACCACTACACCCAGCCTCCACCCAACAACATACACAGGTCTGACCACTACACCCAGCCTCCACCCAAAAACATACACAGGTCTCACCACTACACCCAGCCTCCACCCAACAACATACACACATCTCACCACTACACCCAGCCTCCACCCAACAATATACACAGGTCTGACCACTACACCCAGCCTCCACCCAACAACATACACACATCTCACCACTACACCCAGCCTCCATCCAACAATATACACATCTGACCACTACACCCAGCCTCCATCCAACAATATACACACATCTCACCACTACACCCAGCCTCCACCCAACAACATACACACATCTCACCACTACACCCAGCCTCCATCCAACAATATACACACATCTGACCACTACACCCAGCCTCCACCCAACAACATACACACATCTCACCACTACACCCAGCCTCAACATACCAACAAATATACACAGGTCTGACCACTACACCCAGCCTCCATCCAACAATATACACACATCTCACCACTACACCCAGCCTCCACCCAACAACATACACACATCTCACCACTACACCCAGCCTCCATCCAACAATATACACATCTGACCACTACACCCAGCCTCCACCCAACAACATACACACATCTCACCACTACACCCAGCCTCCACCCAACAACATACACAGGTCTGACCACTACACCCAGCCTCCACCCAACAACATACACACATCTCACCACTACACCCAGCCTCCATCCAACAATATACACATCTGACCACTACACCCAGCCTCCATCCAACAACATACACACATCTCACCACTACACCCAGCCTCCACCCAACAATATACACATCTGACCACTACACCCAGCCTCCAACCAACAATATACACATCTGACCACTACACCCAGCCTCCATCCAACAATATACACATCTCACCACTACACCCAGCCTCCATCCAACAATATACACATCTCACCACTACACCCAGCCTCCATCCAACTATATACACATCTCACCACTACACCCAGCCTCCACCCACCATCACATATACATGTGATATTCTAAGGATGGCCTAGATTTGTTGTACAGCCATATCACTGTTTCCGTTCCTGACACTTAAACTGCATGTACCACCTACTCTTAAGCATGAAGGTTTGGTCACCAGTTACCAAAGTCATCAGGGTTTAGCTAAGAATTTCTGTGGTTGTCTCAATAAACTGAGCTACCATGACTAGGGAGGGAAATTACAAAACTTTGCTCTTAATGCCTTTTGAGTTCTCTTTTGAAAATATTGTAATGATCATTTCCTAGTATGTGTTTTAATCTTGAACACCTATGGTATAACCGGTGCTCATCTTTTATACAACAAATGTGTTTCAGAGTAACAGCATCATGGAGTCGTCAGAGCAGACAGAACTGGTGATTCCACGTCAATTCCTGTGCTGTAAATTGTGTGATGATGACCTTAAGAAACCAAAGTATTTACCATGTCTACACACCTTCTGTCTAAAGTGTATGGAGGAACACATCCTGTCTAACACTGACAGTGATGGTTACTTCCCTTGTCCGACCTGTGCCACAGAAACAACCCTGTCCTCTGAGAGTGTTGACAATTTACCGAGCAACATTTTAGCCATGCGTTTATTGAACCCTGTGACAGAACAGACAACATGTGATATGATCTGCAGTACGTGTAAAAACAGCGGCAACTTCGTAGATGCCGAGTCTCACTGTGTAACATGCGACAACTTCCTGTGTAAAACATGCTCTGATTCCCATGACTCCCAGGACGAGACCTCAGCACATAAAACACAATCAATGGATGATTACAACAGGAGAACCCCATCCAATCCTAAACAGGGGGAGATAATTCCAACATGTTGTAGTAACTACGACCCCATTGATATTGGGGCCCTGTTCTGTGTTGACTGCGACATGTCAGTCTGTGCTGACTGTCACATAGCCAATCATGGTGATCATCGATGTACAGAACTTATGGCAGTAGCTAACAACTTTGAACAGAAAATTCAGGAGCCTCTGTCTGAACTTGATAATGATCATGACATTTTGATGGAGACTCTTAGAAATTTGGACAAAAAGCAGATGACTGCAGAGAAAATGCAAAAGAGTCTGACTGACAATGTTAAGAGGAGAACTCAAGTTCTTTGTGGTTTGATACAGAACTATGAACGTTTGCTGCTTGAAGAGATCGGGAAACGGCATCATCAGCAGTTGCAGGAAATAAAAAACCAGAAATATGATATGAAAACCCATCTTTCTGCCATCAAAGGTGTGAAGGACTTCACTGAAACTCTGAGAAATTATGGAACATATGAAGAAAAAGTTTACATGAGGAAAAAGGTTGGATTTCGTATCCGTGAACTTTGTGAAGAACCATTACTACCAGAGACTAAGGAAATTCTGGATTTAAAGCTAACAGAGCCCCATGTTACCGTAGAGACAATCTGTGATATGTTTGGGGAGCTGAAGGAGGTTGGTGCCCCAGAAACAAAAACACCAGGTTTAGAAGACTCTTTGTCTGCAAGTTACAACTTATCTCATGCTCTGGACTCTGGCCATGGAAGTGATAATGACCCAGAGCTAGTAGAGATCCTGAATTCAGCCATCGCCAATGGCATGCTGAGCCAGTCCCACAGCGGCTCAGATACAGACATGCTAGGGGCCAGCAACACTTCAGAAAACATGCGCAATGTTAAATTCAGTGAAGAGGTCACAGAATCGGAGTATGAAACTGATTTAGGATACAACCTTGAAAACCCGAAACGTGAGTTTGTCCTCCCCCCCGGGATACAGCGAGAATGTTTTAAAGGTATGGGTGTCAATAACAACGGTGACATAATTGTAGGGACAACCTGTAAGGACCACCAGAGCATCTATGTGCTGGAAAAACACGGCATTCTGCGAGGACAAGTACCTGTGGAGAATGGTTGGAATATCCATTCCGTTTCCAGTGATGGTAAGGTGGCCCTTACTGTGCCAAGAGGAGATAATCGTTTTAAAGTCCGAGTGCTCACAAATGACGGCTCTGGACATGCCTTAACAGATTCTCATGTGGAGAGCTTTGGATTAAATTTTGTGACAGCTGACAAGAATGGTAGATTGATGATAACATCTAATCGCTACGCACAGATTCGTAAGAGTCATGGCAAATCTGCAAAGTCAGGTGGAAACGTTGCCGTGTTTGAACGAGATGGTCATCTGATGCAACGGATCACAAATGAGGATTTCCAGGAGGCAGGCATGTACCTACTGGAGAAGCCCCAGTGTATTGTGTGTGATGACAAGCGCCGCAGGTTTTACCTAGCTGACTCGGGCAGCCATTCTGTGATCAGTTTTGAGCAAGACGGACAGCTCGTGTTTCAGTATGGAAATACTGATACTGAGGATGAGGTTTATCAAGGACCAGACATGGTTGCCTTCGATAAGTATGGCAATGTCATTGTCACCGACAAACGGGAAGGACGCATTGATATTCTCAGTTCAAAAGGTGATCTCAAAAAGTCGTACTTCATGGATGATATTCCTCGTTTTGTAGGCGCTACCCCAGACAAGCTTCTGATGACAGCCATGACGGATGGTAGTGTCAAGTTTTACGAGTACCTGTAACTTCTGTGGCCTAGCTTACTTCTGTGATACAAATACTGTTATTTATTTTTAGTCGAGTATTGCTGTTTGATATAGTCATTTATATGAATAGTTCACAAAGGCATGTGTCTTAGCGTTGACATTTAAATGGCAAAATCTGTCAAAGAAAAATCTGCTTTTGAATATCATATGTCATACATTTGGGTATAACCTTTAATTGGTCAGTACAAATTATTTGAGTAAGCAGAAAATACTGACCATTTTGACTATATTACAGTCAAAATATTCTTATTGTCCAACTATTAATTATATCAATGTACCTTGGATATGGGTCAAGACAGGAAAAATTCATATGCTGAAAGTCGGACATAGATGAAGAGATGGAAAAATCAAAACATTAAATGTAGGACACGGGTTAAGGGATGGAAACCTTTAAAGCTTAATTAAGGACTCAGATTAAGAGACAGAAGACTTTAATGCTGAAGTTAGAATAAGGAATAAGAGAGGGAAAACTTAAAAACAGGACACAGGTTATGAGAGAGGAAAACTTTAATGTTTACTGTAGGACACATACAGAATGAAAACAAGGATTTTCTTCTATGCTTATTCAGCTTTTAATTTGGTCAGTCCAGTATAATCAATTTCATTTTCAGTTGATAGATTTGAATTACATGATTACCAGTAGTTAAAGTATCAATCAGGTGATACATATTACAATCCCAATGTTAAAATTTATATAACTATTGATATAGTTTGGTAAGTCTTTCTGCATGCTTTCAGTCATTTTAATCTTATCATAGCAGACTGTGTAACTTCATATTCTTTTTGTTTTTAAAGTTTCAGACAACATCTAAACAACGTGTGTAGACTTCTGTAATGATACTCTTAAGCTCACTTTCATTTAATCATTACATATTTTATTTGAAATTTGCGATAAATATTTCCGAGTACGATTAAACACAATGGACTAGATAAGGTTTGATTATCAGATATCTGTTTCAATTCAAATATGTGATGAAGTAGTGTTAAAAAGACCCGCGTGAGACCAAATTTTAAGTTTCCGCAGTCTGGTCACTGACCGAATCTAGAACAGAAACTTCACATGTTTCACCTAGGATACTTTGTACATTTCTTCGTCAGCAGTCTAGTTTCAAATATGTTAGACTATGTGTATCTCAACTTAATAAAAATACAGAGATATATTAGTAACAAAATGGAAATTATTATCACTACTTAAATGATCCAGCAAATTTTAAGCGTAAAAACTTAGTAAACTGTACTCCGTACCAAACAGTTAATCTATAGTGACTCAGGAGAATTTAGAAATATTTCATTTTATTTATGTGTCATTTTTATTATTGTTTTCTAGTTGCAGAATGTTTTAGTGTTGTATACTGACTTTGGTTGTTATTAAATTTCCTTGTTATATTTCATCTGAAATAGTGAAGAGTTGAAAGTCTTTCAGTTGTCATTATGTGTTTCCTGATTTTTTTAATCAACATCTGTAGTGATCTATCAACACATACAGCAGTCAGACAGATCAATGAACAGGGACAAATTAATAATTAATGTTGATCAATTAGCATAGATATTAATGAATCAGCACCCAATATTTGTGCTGACAGTAATGAATTAATTCTGATGATAATTTAAATTGAAATGGACAAAATAAATTTCATTCATTTTGAATATATTTATAATCAATGTACCAAAACACACTACACAAATGAAATTTGATTTAGAGATAAACATTTAAGGTATTTGATGATCTATCAATTGTCTGGTATTGTTTTGTTGTTGTTAACCTTGTTCTCTTTAGCATTATTTACTTAGATTAACCAAGATTAACATGGCAAGTGTTGTCCATGAAGCAGAAGATACTAACCCTTCTGGAACACCTGGTCATGTTTTCTTTGTACTTTTTCGAGGCTATATAAATAATGTGTTTGTTCATATTTTGTTCTAAGTTTCATCAAGTTTGAATTTGAATTATGTTTCTCTGTTGATATTTAGGTGGCTTTTTTCTAAAAAAAAAAAAAAAAATCTGTTTCCTGTGATACAAACAAGCATGAATAATGGTACAACAGATTAGAAAAGGTTCACAATAAGCAGGGAAAGAAGTCATAGTCACCACAGCTAGAGATAAATTAACACTGTCAGCTAGAGATAAATTAAAGAAGTCATAGTCACCACAGCTAGAGATAAATTAACACTGACGGAGTTCAAAATAAGCAGGGAAAGAAGTCACAGTCACCACAGCTAGAGATAAATTAACACTGACGGAGTTCAAAATAAGCAGGGAAAGAAGTCATAGTCACCACAGCTAGAGATAAATTAACACTGACGGAGTTCAAAATAAGCAGGGAAAGAAGTCACAGTCACCACAGCTAGAGATAAATTAACACTGACGGATAATAAATAGTCACCAATGACGGAGTTCAAAATTCAGTCACCACAAGGACAAGGCTTAAAGTATCTTTATGAATATCGAAATAACGACACCAAAATGCAGGTGATTAAATATATATAAGTGTATTAACAGGCAGTGACAATCAAGACTAATAGATCAATATCCCGCACCAACATAGGCACTGACTTTAATTAACATTAATCTCTAAAAGCAACCAAGTGTGAAATTAAAACTGGAGACAGTCAATTCAGGTTACTGGGTGTAGAATGATGTTACCTTAGACTGTTTGGGAAAGTAGAGACATCTAATTTCCTTAATATTTGTTTTCAAACAGCCAAGATCATTTGAAGACAGGCACACAGAGACATGTACAGACCATGAATATGAAGAACCTAAGCAATGGGGTAGTAAGGCAATCCTAAATTCTTCAGTATTATAAAATACAACAAAAGACCAACGCAAATCCCTCTAACCCAATATAGTCACCATCATTCTTTACTGTGTAATGTACAGCTGGTCTAGCAACTGGAAGCAAAGTACTAATAACAAAACATCAAGAAAATACCAACATGGCAACATAATTATAATTCAAACTCAAATTTTATAAAACTGGGGGAAAATATGAACAAAAGAAAGATAGGCATGGAGACTAGGAGAATAAGACCAGGCGTTCCAGAAGAGTAAGCATTTCCTGCTTCATCTACGATACCTGCCATGTAAACATTGGTCAATCCAAATAAGTAATGTCACATTCTCAAATGAGAACAAGGTATAGAACAATGTAACCAACAGGCAAACTCACGAGCATCAAATATAAAATACTGCTCGTCTAATAAGGAAAAAAGTAGGTAAATGCTGATTTTAGTTACAAGTAATAATATTTGACATTGATACTGGATGGGTTAGGAAACCAGTGGATTTTTCAGTCTGTAGCAGTATTCACTAGCAGGTACTCCTGGCCTTTCATATTGATTTATAAGTCGTATGAACAGCATAGTGGCACAGAAAACAATTCAAATTTCATCATTAGAGAGGAATCTAGAACAGTGTAGTAACCACAGCACTAAATGACCACATCAGTCACTGGTGATACAGCTTTACACTTATCAATATTTCATTACTGTATCTGATAACATATCTAGCTTATTGGTAGGTTCCTGCCAGTCAGACTAAACTACTAGACTTAACCCTGACAGAGTACTGGTATACTGTCCTACAGATAATGGGTAGGGTCCCTTCTGTCAGAATACCCAACACACTTAACCCTGACAGTGTACTGGTATACTCTCCTGTAGATAATGGGTAAGTCCCCTTCTGTCAGAATACCCAACACACTTAACCCTGACATACTCTCCTACAGATAATGGGTAGGTCCCCTTCTGTCAGAATACCCAACACACTTAACCCTGACAGAGTACTGGTATACCCTCCTACAGATAATGGGTAGGTCCCCTTCTGTCAGATTACCCCACCACACTTAACCCTGACATACTCTCCTACAGATAATGGGTAGGTCCCCTTCTGTCAGACTACCCATCCACACTTTACCCTGGCATACAATCCTACAAATAATGGGTAGGTCCCCTTCTGTCAGACTACCCAACCACACTTTACCCTGACAGAGAAATAGTATACAGTCCTACAGATAATGGGTAGGTCCCCTTCTGTCAGATTACCCCACCACACTTAACCCTGACAGAGAAATAGTATACAGTCCTACAGATAATGGGTAGGTCCCCTTCTGTCAGATTACCCCACCACACTTAACCCTGACATATTACTGGTATATGCTCCTACAGATAATGGGTAGGTCCCCTCCTGTCAGATTACCCCACCACACTAAATCCTGTCATAGTACTGGTATACTCTCCTACAGATAATGGGTAAGTCCCCTTCTGTCAGAATACCCAACACACTTAACCCTGACAGAGTACTGGTATACCCTCCTACAGATAATGGGTAGGTCCCCTTCTGTCAGATTACCCCACCACACTTAACCCTGACATACTCTCCTACAGATAATGGGTAGGTCCCCTTCTGTCAGACTACCCATCCACACTTTACCCTGACAGAGAAATAGTATACAGTCCTACAGATAATGGGTAGGTCCCCTTCTGTCAGATTACCCCACCACACTTTACCCTGGCATACAATCCTACAAATAATGGGTAGGTCCCCTTCTGTCAGATTACCCCACCACACTAAACCCTGTCATAGTACTGGTATACAGTCCTACAGATAATGGGCAGGTCCCCTTCTGTCAGACTACCCATCCACACTTTACCCTGACAGAGAAATAGTATACAGTCCTATAGATAATGTGTAGGTCCCCTTCTGTCAGACTACCCATCCACACTTTACCCTGGCATACAATCCTACAGATAATGGGTAGGTCCCCTCCTGTCAGACTACCCCACTACACTTAACCCTGACATATTACTGGTATATGCTCCTACAGATAATGGGTAGGATCCCTTCAGAAAACTATACAGAATTATGAAGGACATAATTTTGACAAGAACTTTGCTTTGAAAAATATGTCTCTGGTCAATAATTTCTCACAAATAAAACTGATGATATTCCAAAAAAAAGTTGGTCCTGTTGGCTATAATCTAACACAGGTTACTATGTTACATTAACTGATCCCTCTATACAGAAAGCAAACTGAAAAATAGAAATAGTATTTGTTTTGAAAACCATAAAATTAAGCCCCACAAAAATATATGACTTTACAGTAAACAGTTCAAATCATCCATGATAATCACAACACAATATGACTAGGGGTGACTATTGAGGCTAATAAAAATCACAATAGTGTTGCGATAGTAAAATTACTATTGTGATATTACTGAATTTATTTTTTAACCTTTTTAACCCTTTAAATGTATCAGAATGCCCAATTTAGCAAATGCTAGAACTGAACAAAAATTATTTACAGTTTTTATACAATCAAATAGGCTGCACAGGGATATTTTTTACACTTTATTATATTATAATATGTTCATTTCATACACACACAGCTGGACTCAAGACTATTACCACATGTAAGCCTGACATATTAAAATAAATTTAGCATAATTTCTCCTTATTTCAAACTTGTTTCATGATTTAAAAGGAGATTAAATAATTAAAAAATCATATGATTATTTGCTTTTGACATCATGCTTGATGCACTTTACCACATAATGGCATATTACTGGTATATGCTATTAACCAAATGAAAGGTAGAAATTTCCTAACGGTAGCTTAATTAAGATCAGTTTTGTGACACCACATTTTAATTTGACTGACATATTACTGGTATATGCTCCTGGGAACAATAAAATGTTGCTATCACCACACACCATGTTTTTTGATCAAATTGGGTCATTTCAAAACTATACAGAATTATGAAGGACATAATTTTGAAAAGAACTTTGCTTTACTACAGTTTGTAATAATTAATCACAAATAATATTGGAAACAAAAGATATGGCACTTATATGGATATAAAATCTAACAACTTACACATCATGTTACTTCCATTAACTGATCCCTCTATAAAGAAAGCAAAGTGAAAATAGAAATAATATTTGTTGTGAAAACCATGGAAATTGAGCCCCACAAAAGTATATGACTTTACAGTAAACAGTTCAAATCATCCATGATAATCATTATACAATATGACTAGGGGTGACTATTGAGGCTAAAAAAAATCACAATAGTGTTTCAATAGTAAAATTACTATTGTGATATTATTGAAATTTTTTTTTTACCTTTCAAACCTTTTCTTACTCAGAAATAAATTTAAGTCACCAACTCTTTAAATGTATCAGAATGCCCAATTTAGCAAATGCTAGAACTGAACAAAAATTACTTACAGTTTTTATACAATCAAATAGGCTGCACAGGGATATTTTTTACACTTTATTATATTATAATATTGTTCATTTCATACACACACAGCTGGACTCAAGACTATTATTTTCATGTAAGCCTGAGTTTTAAAATAAATTTAGCATAATTTCTCCTTATTTCAAACTTGTTTCATGATTTAAAAGGAGATTAAATAATTAAAAAATCATATGATTATTTGCTTTTGACATCATGCTTGATGCACTTTATACATCAATGGCAGAAGATAGTACAGCTATTAACCAAATGAAAGTGCCTGAAATTTCTCTAACGGTAGCTTAATTAAGATCAGTTTTGTGACACTTTGTCATTAATTTTCATTTGACAACAATGCTGTCCTACCCTTATTTCTGCCTCTTTATTGGGAACAATTTTTAAAATGTTGCTATCTTCCACCATGTTTTTTGATCAAATTGGGTCATTTCAAGGATGGGTCTAAAACATGGACCCAGAGTTAAAGAAGTCACCACCTCCCCTACTACAGTTTGTAGATTTAATTACATCATATTGGAAACAATAATGATATGGCACTTATATAGGATATAAACTCTCACCGACGTAACAACTTACACATCTTTTCTACTTCCATTCTAAGTAGGTGATTGTGCTGTTCTTGTTTTTAGCACTACCCTGATTGAAGCCCAAAGGCCCAGCATTACATCCCAACATATGAACAATGCTGGTGATTTAACATTATGAGTATAAATTTTACTAATCATTACATAAAGGTGAGGGAGGACAAGTCACAGAACGTCACACAATGATGACTTTGTAAGGGTTTTGTTTTTATTACTATGGGAATGGGGCCAATAGCTTTGAATTTGGCAAAAAAGCGAATCAAATTCAAAAATTCAAACAGCATTTGAAAATGCTTCTTAAAACAAAATAAAAGCTTACCTCTTTGTGTCAAACATCAAAACTGAGACCTGTAAAATCCTAGTAACATAGATCAAACATCCTCCACTTTGGCATATCCTTCTGTCACCAAGAGGTCATTAAGGACAACATCCAAACTGGTCGAGGTGTCCACCAATACCAGCGACAGTACACGATCCTTCAAACAATAGATCAAACATCGAACACTAGAGACAGTACACGATCCTTCAAACAATAGATCAAACATCAAACATCAAACACTAGAGACAGTACACGATCCTTCAAACAATAGATCAAACATCAAACACTAGAGACAGTACACAATCCTTCAAACAATAGATCAAACATCAAACACTAGAGACAGTACACAATACTTCAAACAATAGATCAAACAATAGAGACAGTACACGATCCTTCAAACAATAGATCAAACATCAAACACTTGAGACAGTACACAATCCTTCAAACATCAAACACTAGAGACAGTACACATCCTTCTAAATCAAACACTAGAGACAGTACACAATCCTTCTAACAATAACAAACATCAAACACTAGAGACAGTACACAATCCTTCTAACAATAGATCAAACATCAAACACTAGAGACAGTACACAATCCTTCTAACAATAGATCAAACATCAAACACTAGAGACAGTACACAATCCTTCTAACAATAGATCAAACATCAAACACTAGAGACAGTACACAATCCTTCAAACAATAGATCAAACATCAAACACTAGAGACAGTACACAATACTTCAAACAATAGATCAAACAATAGAGACAGTACACGATCCTTCAAACAATAGATCAAACATCAAACACTTGAGACAGTACACGATCCTTCTAACAATAGATCAAACATCAAACATCAAACACTAGAGACAGTACACGATCCTTCTAACAATAGATCAAACATCAAACACTAGAGACAGTACACAATCCTTCAAACAATAGATCAAACATCAAACACTTGAGACAGTACACAATCCTTCAAACAATAGATCAAACATCAAACACTTGAGACAGTACACGATCCTTCAAACAATAGATCAAACATCAAACACTAGAGACAGTACACAATCCTTCTAACAATAGATCAAACACTAGAGACAGTACACAATCCTTCAAACAATAGATCAAACATCAAACACTTGCGACAGTACACGATCCTTCAAACAATAGATCAAACATCAAACACTAGAGACAGTACACAATCCTTCTAACAATAGATCAAACACTAGAGACAGTACACAATCCTTCTAACAATAGATCAAACACTAGAGACAGTACACAATCCTTCTAACAATAGATCAAACACTAGAGACAGTACACAATCCTTCTAACAATAGATCAAACACTAGAGACAGTACACAATCCTTCTAACAATAGATCAAACATCAAACACTAGAGACAGTACACAATCCTTCTAACAATAGATCAAACACTAGAGACAGTACACAATCCTTCTAACAATAGATCAAACACTAGAGACAGTACACAATCCTTCTAACAATAGATCAAACATCAAACACTAGAGACAGTACACAATCCTTCTAACAATAGATCAAACATCAAACACTAGAGAGTGTACACAATCCTTCTAACAATAGATCAAACATCAAACACTAGAGACAGTACACAATCCTTCAAACAATAGATCAAACATCAAACACTTGAGACAGTACACGATCCTTCTAACAATAGATCAAACATCAAACACTAGAGACAGTACACAATCCTTCTAACAATAGATCAAACATCAAACACTAGAGACAGTACACAATCCTTCTAACAATAGATCAAACATCAAACACTAGAGACAGTACACAATCCTTCAAACAATAGATCAAACATCAAACACTTGAGACAGTACACGATCCTTCAAACAATAGATCAAACACTAGAGACAGTACACAATCCTTCTAACAATAGATCAAACACTAGAGACAGTACACAATCCTTCAAACAATAGATCAAACATCAAACACTAGAGACAGTACACGATCCTTCTAACAATAGATCAAACACTAGAGACAGTACACAATCCTTCTAACAATAGATCAAACATCAAACACTTGAGACAGTACACAATCCTTCTAACAATAGATCAAACATCAAACACTAGAGACAGTACACAATCATTCAAACAATAGATCAAACATTAAACACTACAGACAGTACACAATCCTTCAAACAATAGATCAAACATTAAACACTACAGACAGTACACAATCCTTCAAACAATAGATCAAACATTAAACACTACAGACAGTACACAATCCTTCAAACAATAGATCAAACATCAAACACTACAGACAGTACACAATCCTTCAAATAACAGATCTGAAATCAAACACAAGAGACATTATATGATCCTCTAAACAATGAATTAGCAGTTATCTGTGGTCAGTTGACACAGATCTAGCACAAGAGTTATACATACCATTTCAAAGCTGGCTAAGGCTATCAGGGGTCTGTTAGTGACTACGTTTAAGAACCTGTTTCTAGCATTCAATGTCCAGTTCTGTAAAGATACCAAATCATTATGTAAAATATAAAGCATCAAAAGTCATCACACCTCCAGTCTAACAATAATCCCAAACCAGTGATAATCTGTACTTACATTTTCAGGGCAATGCCACTACATACGCTAATGAATAAAGTAACATAATGGTAAGACATCCATAGGGTGACCATTATAACCCCATCAGTACAACACCCATAGAGTGACCATTATAACCCCATCAGTACAACACCCATAGGGTGACCATTATAACCCCATCAGTACAACACCCATAGGGTGACCATTATAACCCCATCAGTACAACACCCATAGGGTGACCATTATAACCCCATCAGTACAACACCCATAGGGTGACCATTATAACCCCATCAGTACAACACCCATAGGGTGACCATTATAACCCCATCAGTACAACACACTGAGAAGATAAGAAAAGAGTCCATCACATTCATTAACAAATTAATTATTTTTGTGTGTTATTGATAAATTACACAAAAAGCAAAGTGTACTCCTGGCATAACTGCAAGCTTACACTAAATTTTAGTGTCAATGCTCAATAAAACAAGAAATCACTGATGCTTATCCTTAAATAGACACTGCCTGTTATCTACTGTCATTCTAATACACTTCAAATAATGCCATTTCAATATAAAAGGATAGCCGTACACTAACTCACTTATAGTTCCATGCTTAAAGTACAACAGTACACATACTCCCTTATAGTTCCATGTTTAACTTACAGTAGTACACTCACTCCCACACAGTTCCATGCTTAAAGTACAACAGTACACTTACTCCCACACAGTTCCATACTTAAAGTACAGCAGTACACTTACTACCACAGTAAGTTTCATGCTTAACTTACTGCCTTATAGTTCCATGCTTAAAGTACAACAGTACACTTACTTCCACACATTTCCATGCTTAACCTACAGCAGTACACTTACTCCCACACAGTTTCATGCTTAACTTACCGTAAATATTCGCGTATAGTGCCCACCCGCGTATAGTGCGCAGGTACTTTTTGGAGATCAGATTTAAAAAAAAAAAATTTACAGAAAAATTAATTGACTGGTCACTGCGACGAAACATTTGATGTGGTCTGATCCATTAATAATTAGGAAACCACAATGAGCGTGACCCTAACACATGTAATTACCTTAAGTAAACAAATTTACCCAGGTGACCTAACAAGCATGAAAGGCTTGGCTGATTGTATAATTAACGGTTAATGACAGTTAACACGTTGAGTATGAGGAGACTGATGACACCCGGCTTGGGCTGAACGCGTACTATTGGTCAGAAAATGATGTTGTTTTAACTGTCTGATTATTTTCAATCCTACCTTGTCCCCATAAAAGCAGGTGGTTTGTTCAGTATAGGCATGATCTTTCATGGTATCTGTACCCACCGCGGTATCCGAAGGTATTTTATGATAGATTGTTTACACCGACTTCGACATGGGGAAACTGCGAACGCCATTTGACTACGCCGAGAGACTGGAGTTTCGTGCCGCCGGTCGCCATTTCGACATTCCAGAGTGAAATATCAAGGCACGGAAGAAAGAAAAGACCGTCTAAAGTCCCAACCACTGACCAGAAGGGCTGACATAGGTGCGACAGTGAAACACACAGAGATGTATGCGATCGCCGATATCCCGGCATCGCTGCCAGTACAACAGAACTGCGCGTGCGGGCCATGCAGATCAAGAGAGGTCATGGGGTCACCAACTTTTGGCATCGGTGGGATGGGCTGTCCGATTTATGAACAGAACGACAATCGCCTAAAAACTTCCGGATTCATTGAATTCCACAGATACAACATCATCAAAATGAGGCAGAAATTCAGACACTACTATAGCCCCGACCAATAGTAAGACCGACGGGAAACGAAAAAAAATTAGATTCACCGTAATGCTAGCGTGAATGGCAGATGATTAAAACATTCGAAATTTATTTTATTTTTCTGTTGTTTTTATCTCCAAACTATCATATAAGACCGACGACTTTTACATATAACTATATGAAGGGAGGTAATCCAATATGGCGGATGCAGAACTCGGGAATGATAACCCCAGGAATGGCATGTACCTGCGTATAGTGCGCAACCCCTTTTTGACACGACAGTTTCAGCTTAAAAAAGTGTGCACTATACGCGAATATTTACGGTACTCCCTTATAGTTCCATGCTTAAAGTACAACAGCACACTTACTCCCTTATAGTTCCATGCTTAAAGTACAACAGTACACTTACTCCCACACAGTTCCATGCTTAAAGTACAACAGTACACTTACTCCCACACAGTTCCATGCTTAAAGTACAGCAGTACACTTACTCCCACACAGTTCCATGCTTAAAGTACAGCAGTACACTCACTCCCACACAGTTCCATGCTTAAAGTACAACAGTACACTTACTCCCACACAGTTCCATAATTAACCTACAGCAGTACACTCACTCCCACACAGTTCCATGCTTCAAGTACAGAAAGATCACTTAATCCCTCTCAGTTCAAAGCTTAACATACAGCAGAACACTTACCTCCTCCAGAGGCTGTAGATGGGCGAGGCGAGCTTGTATAGCTTGAGCTGGCAGCTTCAATAGTTTTGATCTGAAAAACAGAATCCATTCATTTCAGTAAGTGTAATTTCATACAGAGACAGAATGAAACATGCACTGAAGATAATTTATCCCCTCCCTATTATTCTCTCCCCAGTGTAATCAGCAAGACATTGTAGGTAGAATGTCAGGTAAACAGGGAAGTGAGGCTCCCTTCTGGTACCAAAGTCAAGTAAAGATCACATCCATTGCCAACTTTCCTTCAACAGAGGCTGTTTCAGAACTTTCATTGAAATTGGTTCATTTGTTTAAAAGTTAACCAGGTTATCATTCAAAATGACGGTGCAAAAGAAGAAAAAACACAAAAGGACAAGTGTATCAGTGAAACTGATGAATGTTCCCTGAAAACAACTGTATAGGACAAAACAAAGGGCAATAATTCTGTAATTAATTGGCTGTGGGTAATGAATTTGGTACACTGCTAATTCCCTTAATATGACTAATGTATACACCAAGTTTCATTATCCTAGTTTTAATGCAAGCAAAGCTACCTGGTATGCTTATTACATAAAATATTAACAAAGGGCAATACCTATGTATTGAGGGATCATGTGTCCTTACTCTGTTACACTGCACCTTGATTTTGCATGACTGATGTATACATCATGTTTTAGTATCCTAGTTTAAATGCAGGTCAAATTATGCTACGGACACAAAATTTTAACAAAAGGCAAACTGTGATTAAGACAATTTTGATGTTGACCCTGAAATTGGTACACTGCACATTGCCTTTATATGATCAATGTATACACCAAGTTTCATTATCCTACCTTAAATGCAAGTTATGGTCTGGACAAGATATTTTTATCAAAGGGCAATAACTCTGTAATTTAGGGGTCAAGTGCCCTAAAATAGGTACATGGTTTCATGATCTTTGCTTAACTGTGGGCAAAGTTATGCTTCAGACTTAAGTGGACAGAAAGAAAGATGGACAGACGGACTGACAAAAAAGGTGGCGACCATATGTTCAAAAATAAATGTAAAACTTCCCTAAAACTTTGTCATGAGAAATATTGCCTTCTTCACAGAAGATATTGCTACACGACATCTTTGTGATTAATCAACAGTAAGGTGTGAGGAAAAAGAGCTTTCTACTACCTTTTCCACCAAGATCACTTACCTAAGAAGTCGGATATTCCGTCTGTGAACCAGTAAGGTGTTTCCAAAGTCTACAAAGTACACCTAAGAAAGAAAACAAAACTGGCTAAAATCCCTTTATCAACAAGGAAGGAGAGGAAAGCTGATTGAGCTCATTCCTCCTGACAACTGTAAAATATCAAATACCAGACATATTTATAAGTCACATTCCTAGGTCTTTATCACTGACCTATAAGGACTTACCTCCACATATTTGTCTACGTTGAGAGCTGAGACCACACATCGATGCCAGTTGTTATCCTCTGGGAAGATGGCAGCAACTATTTGACCAACAATCAGTAAGTAGTCGGGCACCTTGTACTGGTCACCTTCAGCACTGCAGTATAACTTCCTGAAACATGCAAATCATCCTATGATGAAAATGCTGCCAAAGCTTCAAAGTGCATGAGTGAAACAAACATGGTGCCAGTATAGAAAACAGAGCACATTGAAGTATCTGCAGCACCAGCAACTTACAAAAGCTAGGCCTAGACATAAATTGGTATAATATTCTCTTGCCTTTCTTCTTCAACATTGATGATCAGTAATTATCCCTGGCTACTGACAACTATTCAATTACTTGCTTGTTGATCCAATTAGCTGGGATTTATTATTATTATTATTCTTTCAAAGTAACTTAAACAATAGTGACCAATAACATTTCATCAGCTCATAGAGCAATGCAAGTTATCAGTTCTCAACCATAAAGTGTATGTTTTAAACTGACGAGTCATACTGATACTAGAAGTTGTAGTAGCTAGTGGTTGTCATAGTCACCTTTCTAGCCTTGGCTAGTGGGAATTTCTCAGTAGTAGAATGTCGGGCTAGAGACCAGGAAGAAAAAAGAACTCAAGCTATAGGCCTAATTTAAACCCCAGCAGCTAGGAACTATGTTTTCATTACTCCTTCGAATTACATCTGTATATAAAGTATATGCATCAAAATCCAAGCAGATCTAAATATTTTCATTTTGAATTCAAAATATGAACCCATCACGTCTTCAACAGATCTATCTACCAATGAAATTTTATGTTGATAACTCTTATAGTTTTTGTGTTATGCTTTGGACAAAATTATGACAAACGGACAGACGGACACACAGAGCAGTGACTATAAAAATCATTTAGGCCTATTAGGTGTCCAAGCATTTAAACATGCTCTTCATGACATGCTGTAAATTCATAATTAGGCCTATAAGCTTATGACAAAACATGAACATGTAATCAGAACTGTCGCCCATATTAAGATAATTACTAACCTTTATTAGCACATATCTGATGAAGTAATCTAACGACTGCTTTGTTCCATCTAAGTAGTTTGCAGACTGCATTTAATTTCTTTAAGCAATAAATCTGTCACACTCTTGATCATTTTCTCGTACAAACAAAGTTTAAGCTTATCATCAGAATTAAGTATAAAAAGCAAACTCCACACTAGTCGGTGTTGTTTCATATTTAAGTTTTCATAAACATTTCAAATAGTTCATTGTTAAATAATTTTTTAAAAGGAAAAGTATTTCAAACATATATTTGATAAATCAAGTAAAACCTTTATCTTGGAGGCATAGTGGTACCACAGACTTAGATACTGATAGCAATTCCATGGCGGTTAGCCTGCTGAAAATTAGACTAAAATACAAACTTCCACTGGTAGAATTATGTCGAAAATTATTACTTTTTCAAATAAGCACAATCATCTCTACAATACTGATATTTTCCATCGAATGATCAAAAATATATATAAACATCTTTTCAGTTATGTCATGGAATTAAGACCTTATCACAAAATATCTCATGTATAAGAAACTTGAAAAGCATGGATGAAGGGAGATAAATCGAACAATGTATACAGTATGATTTTTCTTCCAAACTGAGAAGAAGCGTAGTAATGTCTGTAGAAATAAATCCATTAGTCATTTAAAACACGACATCTTGTATCATTTTTACGTTTTCTTTTTATCTATATATTTTCTATACATATATTTAAAAATAACAGCGACAACTACTTCAGGAACAAATTTTAAAATACATTTTATATCCTTTTCGTGAAAGTACTTGTGCATTGTTGGGTCTTGTTGTGGTGTAAAATTTGGTCCAAGCTATAAATAGCCTAGCTAAATAGCAGCTGATCCTGAAGATGGCTACACATGCTAAGCACCCTATAGATGCACAGAGTCTAAATAAAAACAACAATAATGAAGTATTTTCAGATTTGCACTTGGAATCAAAAATGAAATTTGATCATGTTCATGTAGCTATGATTTTACAGTTTGCCAGTCTGAATCATCTATGTCATAAAATATTAGCATTATGCTGCTAATAGAATTTGACCTCTGTGACCTTGACACTTGGCATGGTCTGCTCAGATTAGTTGCTATACATAAGTATACCCAAACATGGCTGCTCTCTTTACTTACTCTAATTCATTCATACACTTTTCAAGGGCTAAAGTTGTACGTTTCCCACGCAGCTGTATCCAGAACAGACCAGGCGATACCACATTTGAAACAAATATTTCTATGTATTCATTAAGGGGAGGTAACTCTAGAGGTTTGTAGAACACTTTCGGTCCAATAGCATCTGAAGGAATGTTATTTGTCTTATCTTTGTCCTGCAATATAAAAACATTTGAATACTGACTTAGTAAGCACTAGATTAAAGGTACAATTATCTTAAATATATTCTGTTAAACTCCCTGTACATAATAAATGTTAATTGAACCAAACTACAATACACTTATCAGAAAGAGCAGCATACTAGAATCTTACCTTGGCTTGTGGTGTCTTATCTTGTCATAAAATGTCTTATCTTGTCCTGTAGAATCTTACCTTGGCCTGTAGAATCTTACCTTACCTATGGTGTTATAATTAACCTGTCATATTGTGTCTTAATTCATAGTATGGTGCTTGTGTTTTAATTGACCTGTCATATTGTGTCTTAATTCATAGTATGGTGCTTGTGTTTTAATTAACCTGTCACATTATGTCTTAATTCATAGTATGGTGCTTGTGTTTTAATTAACCTGTCACATTATGTCTTAATTCATAGTATGGTGCTTGTGTTTTAATTAACCTGTCACATTATGTCTTAATTCATAGTATGGTGCTTGTATATTAATTAACCTGTCATATTATGTCTTAATTCATAGTATGGTGCTTAAGGATGTATTCCTCTGATGTTTTGACCAGAAGTGAGACATAATTCAATGTAAAATGAATTCCAACACAATATCTTTGACTTTTGTCTTTTTATATACTTTATCTTCTATAGTTGTATTCATAAGTTAAAAAAGGAGGATTTATATGTTTTGAAGAAATTTCACTTGGTTAACAGTGCCAACAATTTCAATATCTTATTGATTCTAAAGTAATTCCCTTGAGTAAAACTGTGGAAGTTTTTGGTAGATTTCAACGAACTTTTGCAGGAATTATTACCACAAACCAAAATTTCAAATATGTGAATTCCAACTTGGTGACCACTTTCCCTGATTGTTAAGACCCGAAAATAAATATTTCAGCTGGTTTCTTGATCTTGGAAAAACTGACTACCTGGGTGAAAATTGCAAAAGCTAAAATAGAAAATTTCTCTAACAAGATTTAAAGTCCTCAAAAAAGCTTGACAATACAGGATGGTCAAAGAAAAAATTTATGTCATTTTGGAACATTTTCATTTTAAGGTTTCTTTGCAGTTAGAAGCTCGTTAAATCAAATGAAAAACTTAGCATCTTCAAATGATTTTTTAGACAATGTCTGTTATCCTGGGAAAAAAATGAGAAAAATATATGGAAATTAATTATTTCCTATGAATAATTATCTATTACATATATCCTGTACCAGAAAAAGTTGTGCAGCAACATCTTGATTTTTTGCTTGTAATCTACTATTTAAAATCAAACCTTTCAAAATTCTTCACCAGAAAAAAAAGTTAAATACTGCTTTTGATTTTGTACTTCTCAGGAGTACATCCTTAACTCCAAGGATTCTTTACTCCATTTTAGTCTAACTTCACCTACTTCCAAAATAAGGGCATCAAACAAGGAACACTACCTAAGACACCTCCAGTTGGTCTTGTTGCCTTTGTTATCACCTACTGAACATTTCTATATAAAGAAACTCAAGATATCTTCAATAATTATATAACAGTCCTGCCTTCAACATTTTCAATTCTTACCTCATCTTGTGGAGGGTTGATGATAAGATCTCTGCGAGGTGGTTTCCCTGTGTTCAGAGCATATACCAACATACAACCTGTCGGTACAATACATACTCTCTAAATTACTTTTAAAACAAATTCAACAGAATTAACGACATGTTATCAATAGTCAAAGAAAGACAGTGAATAAACAGAATTTTTACAACTTGTACATGTTTTCTAATTTTAATCTAAGATGTGGCATTTTCATGTATTTTCCACAGTACTACCATTGTTTCGTCATACTACCGAAGCATTTCCATATCATAACCATAGTACTTCTGCAACACTACCCACACGAAAACTGTTTGAAAACGTTCAGTCAAAAAAATTTACGGATCATCAATTTATTAACTGAAAACATTGTTTTGATCTTATATACACACCAGATAATACATCTCAATATTATGATTTAATTGTATCCAATATCAAATCTCGGAAATATTATCTATATGGTTTAAATGGTTTCCAAAGAGTCTGCATGTATATATGTACAATTTGTAATTACATCACACCAATAACATTACCAGTCGGCGGTGTGCCACATTCGTTTAAATTTATTTCTGATGTAACATGGTCAGTGTTAAAGAAATAGCTGTTATTATGTTATTTCAATGCAATAGCATACAATAACATACAAGCTCCTCTGAGCTCATTTGTATTCCAAATGTACAACAAAGTCTGTGAGTAGGATCCTGGTAGGGACAGATGGACAGACAGAAAGACAAAGAGAAAGAGGAAGTATGGTATTACCGTCTCCTTTGTATTCCAAATGTACCACACTGTCTGTGAGTGGAATCATAAAGAACTCAATCTTGTCGTAGCCTAGTTCTCTAAATGGCAACACCTCTCCTGTCAATTCCTGTAACAAAATAATTCCTATCTTACATCAGAATAATTCAATATGCTTGTCATCAAACTAGCTATTGACTAGTAATTAGAGAACTATGTTTACATACTTCACTATGCAGAAGTTTATCATATAGAATCACTAAAATTGTCTCCACTATTCATGTATTTATTCGTTTATTTTCAATATCCTGTGAATTGCCAGGGTCACTTTGTACATTACCGTAAATTTGCGGGTATAGTGCGCAGGTACTTTTTTGGGGTCAGATTAAAAAAAAAAAAATTTCTACAGAAAGATTAATTGACTACTGGTTACCGCAATGAAACCGTTGTGGTTTGATCCATTGATAATTAGGAAACCACAATCATAGTGACCCTAACATATTTAATTACCTTATGTAAACAAATTCACACAGGTGCCGGACTTAACAAGCGTGAAATGCTTGGCTAATTGGATAATTAACGGTTCTGTAAAGGTAACAAACACGTTGAGTATGAGGAGATTAATGACACCCGGCTTCGGCTGAACGCGTACTATTGTTCAGAAAATGATGTTGTTTTAACTGTCTGAAAAGTTTCAATCATATCCTGTCCCCATACCTGTACCTATCCGAAGGTACTTAGCTATAGACTGTTTACACCGATTTCGACATGGGGAAACAGCGAACGCCATTGACTATGCCGAGAGACTTGAGTTTCGTGCCGCTGGTCGCCACTTCGACATTCCAGAGTGAAATATCAAGGCACGGAAGAAAAAAAAAGACCGTCTAAAGTCCAAACCACTGACCATAAGGGCTGACATAGGTGCGACAGCGAAACACCCAGAGATGGAGAGAGAGCTGTTCAACTCTGTATGCGATCGCAGAGATGCCGGCATCGCTGCCAGTACAACAGAACTGCGCCTGCGGGCCATGCAGATCAAGAGAGGTCATGTGGTCACCAACTTTGGGCATCGGTGGGATGGGCTGTCTGACTTTTGAACAGAACGACAATCGCACAAAAACTTCCTGACTCATTGAATTCCACAGATACGCCATTAAAATGAGACAGAAATTCAGACACTACTATAGCCCCGACCAATAGTAAGACCGTCACTATTCGAACGACGGGAAACGAAAAAAAATAGATTCACCGTAATGCTAGCGTGAATGGCCGATGATTAAAACATTCGAAATTTATTTTATTTTACTTTTTTGTTGTTGTTGTTTTTATCTCCTAACTATCATATAAGACAGACAACTTTTATATATAACTATGTGAAGGGAGGTAATCCAATATGGCAGACGCAGAACTCGTGAATGATAACCCCAAGAATGGCATGTTCCTGCGTATAATGCGCACCCCCTTTTTGACATGACAGTTTTAATTTGAAAAAGTGCGCACTATACGCAAAAATTTACGGTACTTGTAATAGCTGGTGGCTCTCTCAATGAACCATATATGGGAGACCCATCAAATGCCATCTAGAGTAATCAGGGTTAAGTGTCTTGACGAAGGACACAACCATGACATAGAGCAGTCAGTTTCTCAATTTCCCGAGACAATTAAAATGACATTGGTAGAAAGCATTGAATCATGCACTTAAGATTTTCACCTTAGGTTACCTTATATAGGCTGGAAAACTTGTTAAGAAGCAAAACTATATATTTACACCTGTACACCTTACCTTACATAGGCTGGAAAACTCATTGACAAGCACACCTCTAGCATTACACCTGTACGCCTTACCTTATATAGACTGGAAAACTCATTGAGAAGCACACCTCTAGCATTACACCTGTACGCCTTACCTTATAAAGGCTGGAAAACTCATTGAGAAACACACGTCTACGTTTACACCTGTACATCTTACCTTATATGGGCTGAAAAACTTGTTGAGAAGCAAACCTCTAGGTTTTCAAGCTAAAAACTATACACCTTACCCATTACAGGCGGTAAATTGTATTCAGAAACACACCTCTAGGTACACATTGTTACACCTTTACACCTTACCTTATATAGGCTGGGAAACTCATTGAGAAGCACACCTCTAGGTTTACACTGTAGCACCTGTCTAATTTTTTCCTCCAGTTGTGAATCAAACTCTCCTCGGCTGCTGTATCTTCCTTTGGAATGTATCTCTATTCAAGATAAATAATGAGAGCTGCAAGATGCCCTGACCATCCATACTATGTTAACGATAGTAACACCAGTTAAATCTAGCATCCAATTATAAATCACATGCCCCTTTCTTAATTTGGTATCACATTTCAAATCTGATACTTTAACATTTATTTAACATTTTACTTTAACATGCTTTCAAAGGCTTCAAACATAAATACATATGTTAAAACTTTTAAATTCAACTTTACTTCCCTAATCGTTCAAACCATGAAACAATGTCTGTTCAAAATTGTTTATTTAATTGACCCTTCCTCCAAGTGTCTTAACAGACTTGTTCAAAGTATTGGGACATATTCAATAACAAAGTACCTACCAGTATTAACTATGACTGGGGGGAGGGGGTCAGAAATTCATTTATAACTTTATCTATTTTACAACAACAGCACGAGACATCTTACTGAGGGAGGAAAACCCCATGTGGTTGGACAGGTGACCCCTACCCTTTCACATCCATTAACGGAATCAAACTCTGTATGACTAGGTGAAAGGCTACCACCCTAAAATCTATGTCATGTGCATTCTAACATCCCCTTCCCTCTCGCCGTACTCCCCTAAATAATAGTCAACAGGCCAAAAATGTTGTCATGATTGCACCCTCTAGAGCACACATACCTCTTCTTGTGGGAACTGTTTCCTGCTTCTGGATAACTGGTTTGTGTTTAACAGGCAGTCTGGCATCAAAGCAAAGCCAGTCGCCATTATCAGTAGGTCGCTCCAACCGCATCACCTCAGGTAGTGAGTCCAACATCTCCACCAAACTCCAGTAGCCATAGTCCCGAAACGACAGTTCCTTTCCATATTGTTTCTGAATATTGTAAACAATGCATCCAATTGAAAAATATAATAACCCCAGTTTTGAACCACAAAAACCACAAAACAACACCTTTCAGCTTGACAACTGATAGTAGTACATATGTTTTCATAGAGTCAATGGTACGGCTACAAAGTTTGTAATGAAAATTGATTAATAATTGAATCGAAGTCTAGTAATTTGCTTTACTTCCCTAAAATTAAAGTCAACAGTAGTGTGGGATATTCATATTTACTGTCCTTGTTACATAAACTTTTAAGTTCAACTGTCAAAATTATGTAAGGGCGTGTATCACGTAAATACCAGATATATCGCTGGCAGCTGTATGGCCCAAATTCCTTCCTTTCTCTCCTCTAGAATCTGTTCATAGAAAAATCCATGTATAAATAAATAGGAACATTGTACAAGATAGCACCATAAAAACCTACCCAGCAATAGATTTTCAGGTTTTACCGTGAATTTTTGTGAAATGGTCAAAATAGTATAAAATCAAAACCTATTTTCCAAACATTCAAATGCATGCACACTTAAGAATGGAATTTATTTTAAGTTGATCAGTTACTGTTTTACTCACCTGTCTAAGGTTGTTTTGTACCACTTTGCTAACAATACTGATATCAAATTCACCCGAGGTCATCTCCACAGACCCCCCACTAAACGTACTGTCATGGCCCAGGGATCTCCTATCTTCACTGCGGTCTCCAGTTCGTCTTCTTCCTTGTAATCAAAGAAAAAGGATATTTGTAAGCAATGAAACATTCAACAAATGGAAAACCACAGCAGTTCCCCGTTGACATTACTAAATCAAACTGAATCATTCATGTAGAGGAATTTGAAACAATCAATTAAAACCAAAATGGGTAATATTCAATAAATCATATTTATATCATGTTTATCCTTTTACTTTTTTTAAACAAATTCACATCTACTGTGTCAGAACATAACAAGTCAATTGAAGTGTTGAAATATTAGACACAATGAAATCATATTGTTTCCTGTTACGATTTCACCTCTAGCAAAAAAATATCAATCTACTGAAATAACCTCGTCCCCGTGGCGCATGAGATGCTGATGTTGGGGAAACACAAATGCCAACAGGGGAAATTGGAGCTTTGTTATTGAGGTTTCCTTGTCCTTGCATGGAAATAAAATTGTCAGGCTCCTCGCTGTGAATGTCCTCTATGAAGTCTCCTTCCTCTATTCCAGCTGGCTGGAAATTCATTTGTGATTGATCGGTCTTCTTCGTTCTGTCAAAGTTTGAAGCTTTATTGTATTTTTTAACTGATTCACTGCTGGTCTTAAAACCTCCAGAATGTTCAGCTGCCCTCTGAAAACCCTTGCTGGGTTTTGACTTATTGTTCGGGAGATGTGGAGGCTTGTAGTCAGGAATTTGTTCCCCAGAGTTGGACCGACTGGCCACTGATTCAATGTAAGCTGGAGCTACACGCCATTCTCCACCTTGATATTCTTTTAATTTTGCTATATCAGGAAGAGAATGCAACAGGTCTTTCATACAATCAAAACCAAGACCAGACGGGCTAATTGGAACACCAAACCTTCGGGAAAATGCAGTGTCAAAATGTGTTAATGGTAACCCATTAGGATAAGACTTGAGAAGTTCTGTAATTTGTTTTCGTATGTATGCCGAGATATTAGGTGGAGGATTTCGTGGTGGTGTGTGCCTCTTCTGCCATCTAGATCTGTTACTATTGTAAGACCTGGGCTGTGGAGGTCGTCTAGGACGGGTAGAGGGTCCACCTTGTCGTAAAGTTGCCCATTTGTTTTTGTTATTTACTTTCTGTTTTGACACTAGTTTTTGTATATGGACAGATGCTTCTTGCGCTACTGGTGCAAGGCACATGACGCCATTTTCCCATGAAACTCTCAGAGCATCCGGCATGTCTTTAAGTAAATCCTCAAGAGTAGTGTATCCGAATTCCCTGAAGGGGATTGGGTCGCCCATAAAATCATGATAGTCTCTCTTCAGCTCCTGTATAGTCAACGCAGCTGGAGCCGAAAGAAGTAAAGCTCTCAGCTGCTTTTTAGTCTCTTCCTTCTTCTGTGCTTTGTCAGCCATTATTGAGGCATGTGTTTATCGTATAAACATATACTTGACATTCATTCCCGCCACCTCCTACTTTCAATTTGATGAAGTGACCACGTGAATTTTTCGCTACAATAACGTAATATGTAAATACAATAGTCCATGCAAACTTTTGCTAAAATTCCTTAACTCCGTTCAACTGATAAAACTCATGGAAACAAAGTATCAAAAACAATTAGAACTTTCAAGTAGGCATTATGTTCCTCACGGTCTTCCGTCTGCTGAGCTCGTCTATAAAAGTACGAAAATACGGATGTCAATGTGACACAGCGAAATTCAAACAGAAACCGGATTGCGGAACTGCCATAAAAATTAACGCTAAAGGCAAAATATATTTCAAGATTTTTGGTGGACATGAGTAGACTAGAACGTTTTCATTTTGCCTTCCAAGCTATATGTCGAGTAAATAAAACTAAAACAGCCATACGCTCGTTCATACCACGAGAACGTGCTCATTTTTTTTATATCGTGATCACTACATTTGGGTATGGTAACGTAATGATCACACCATTCCGATCATGTCTAAAAGCCACATTTAGATTTGTCCACTTTTTGTATTTATATCTGAATATTGTTGTAATCCCGTTGTGGACAAAATGATGTCAAATGTGTTATAAAGACTCCATGTCGGCTTAATTTAGCTAACGGTACACATCTAACATGCTTCTGAACTTAACGTACAGTAAACTTGTAGGTGGGGTGGGTAGGGGCTCCTATCCATGCCCCTACCCCTTGGAACATTAGTTCCTTGGTCCCATTCCCACCACTTGGGACATAGTTTCTGGGTTATATCTTTGAAACAGTTAAGATCCTCGCTCCATAACAATATATAGCATTGCTAGACACCAAAAGACCAACACAATTTTTTTTTTTTTTTTTTATTTTTTTATTTTTCAAGAGTTTTTAATGTACATAACAATTACATCAACAAAACATCATCAAACATACAACATACGATATGCTCACTCACACATCACCATAATCTTGATTAAGTTGTATCATCATCATCATCATCATCATCATCATCACCACCATCATCGCCTGCATTTTCATCAACACCCTTACTAACATCACAACACTACCCTTACACACCCACTCCTACACATACATCAATACTACACATAAAGATAAAGAGGAGAGAAAAAGAGAGAAAGAGAGAGAGAGAGAGAGAGAGAGAGAGAGAGTGGGGGGGGGAGAGAGAGAGAGGTGATCTGGGTTAGTAAAAATTGCAATAATCCGAAACCACTTGGGACTGGTAAATAAATAAATAAATAAATACTATAAGGGTAAGCAAGGGGCCTTATATAAAGACAGAGAATTAAAATAACATAAACAGTAAATGTATTTAAAGTTAAGAATTGGCCAATTTAAGATCTCATTAAAACTTAACTGTGCCTGTTCACCTTTACTATTGGCATAAAAACAATATATAGCATTGCTTTGTGTAGACATGCCTTATATATGTAATATTTAATGATAATTAAAGACAAACACAATTTTGATTGATCTTTGAATTGGCCCTGGTTTCTGGCCCTACCCATCGGGAGTTAATTTCGCGATTATATCTTTGAAACAGCTGAGATCCCCACCCCATGACCATATATAGCAACTGCTAGTCATGCTATAATCTCTGTCATGATGTAACTTTGTACACAAAGCAAACATAAACATAAATGTGCTTCTATATAAAAAGAAAGTAAACAAGGATTAATTACGCATTATCACTCATCAACAGCATTGTAAATCAAACCAGGACAAAACGACAAGTGTGGCTTGCCAAAGGCAACCACTTGTGTCTTTCTTCACCCTCGCAAAAATACAGCTTATATTATAAGACATTAATAATGTATTCTTTATGTATTTGGTCAGGTTTTACCACTTCATCAAGTTTAGGCATGTTCGTACAGCGTGTATTTGGACTGGCAGATTAGTTTTCATGACGTCACCAACTTTCGGCATGCATGTATTTTGACAGTTCTGATAAGTTTCGTGACTTCATCAAGTTCGGAATGCTTGCAAAGTGTGTATTTGCATCGTTGGGTTATGTTTTTATGATGCCATCTTGAAATATGACGTCTTGAAAGATTTACATAGCAGGTGTCCTCAATAAGACATTGAAGACCTTCACTCTTTCGGAATTGCTGGTCTTATTCTTGCACTAGTCTCTGTGTAAATCTTTCTTTTCTTCATATTTTGCCCCAGCTTTATTGAACTTGAGTTTGGATTATGATTTTGTTGACATTTTTATATTTTGTTCTTCTTTGGTTTGATGGAATAGTTTCTTCTGGTGTTCTCCAGTTCCTCCTGTCTTGGAATGGGGTCCTATTAAGACATCCTTTCAGGGAGCCTGTTTTGATGATTGCTTAAAATAACTTTTGAATCAGATTTGATTCTATGTTGTCCATTTGTCATTATTTGTCATAGTTTGACACAATTTCCCTTGATCTGGCAGCATTTTGTCAGAATTTGTCTCAATTTGTCAGCATTTGTCATAGTTCATATCACTTGGTCATAATTTGTCAGTTTGGCATCATTTTGTCAATTTGCCATCATTTTGTCTGTAAAATTTGACTTCATCTGTCATCATTTGAATTATGAATTGTCATGAGTTGTCTACGTTTTCTCATAATTTTCAATTATTTGCTATCATTTTGTCATAATTTTTCTTGATTTCTCATCATTTTCACTATTTTTTTGCTCGTTTTACTATATTTTCTAACTTATTTTGTGACTTCTTTGGTAAATTTTGTTCTACATTTTTTCATTCGTTTTCTTCCATGTCATATCATTTTTTCACTCATTTTTAATGTCATGCAAAAGTTAATAATATTTTAAGCAAAATGATGACAAACAATGACATTCTATGACAAAATATGGCAATTGTGCAACATCAGAGCTCTCTGTGTAGTCCACATCTGGTTCACCGAGAAAATGCCCTGTCGCTCTCAAAGGAACTAGAGAGTTTGTTACATCTGTTTACAACTGATACAGCAAGACAGGAACCAGATAATTCATTACAAAGATATTCTATCACTCCCAAAGTAACCAAAGAATTTGTTACAATCTTTTCACAATATACAGTAACAAGGAACAGACAGAAGGACAGACAGAAACAGGTGTGTAACACCAGCTGTAGACATAAGAACAGAAACCAGATGATAAAACACCAGAATAGACAGATGTATATTGAACAGTATCGTGTAACATAAGAGGTAACTCCATGTAGTACTTTTCATTCACCATTTATTTATAACATTTATAATTATGTATTCAGAACTCACATGTCCTGGTAACAGGTGTTGTAAATCACATGAAATCTTGTAACTTGTAGTGTTACAGTGATGATAAATGTACATTACGATGTTATAACGACAGCATGTAACATACATGTATAATATCGGTCTAAAACCATGGTTCACCAAAGAATGTGATGAATGATAGATTATATATTTATACATTATTCCAGAAAAACGGGCATTTCAGTATTTTAAATTAATTATTTCAAGACCATATGATTCTTAGCACTTCAAGAGACTTTTAAACTCTGTTTCCTCTGAACCTTTATTCCTCTACCCTATGGCTAGTACAATATTTAAAGTAAGTCAAATTAAAGTAAAGCATTATTTTCCCACAACCACATTACTTTTTACAAAATACATATCCACACATCCATCACAAGGGTCTCTGTCCTGGACTGATAGTGTTGAGTAAGTGTTTATCTCTTAGATATTCTCATTTAACTGTGAACAGTACATACATGTTCCTAAAACCTCAGCCAGCATAACCAGACTTTCTTAAACTTACACACAGCTTACACATGTACATACACAGTTTAAATGTGTACCAAAAGCTAAGCCATTATATCCAGTCATTTCAAAATCTTGAACAAAGTTTACACATGCATTTACCAAAACCTCAGCCAAAACATATCCAGACTTTCCTAAACTTACACACAGTTAACAAATGTACTTACACATAATTTAAATATGTACCAAAACTTAAGCCAACATATTAAGTCTTTCCAAAACTTACACACAGTTTAAATATGTAGCTACACACAGTTTAAATATGTACCAAAACCTAAGCCAGTATATCAAGTCTTTCCAAAGCTTGCACACAGTTTACACATGTAGCTACACTCAGTTTAAATATGTACCAAAACCTAAGCCAACATATTAAGTCTTTCCAAAACTTACACACAGTTTAAATATGTAGCTACACACAGTTTAAATATGTAGCTACACACAGTTTAAATATGTACCAAAACCTAAGCCAGTATATCAAGTCTTTCCAAAGCTTGCACACAGTTTACACATGTAGCTACACTCAGTTTAAATATGTACCAAAACTTAAGCCAACATATTAAGTCTTTCCAAAACTTACACACAGTTTAAATATGTAGCTACACACAGTTTAAATATGTAGCTACACACAGTTTAAATATGTACCAAAACCTAAGCCAGTATATCAAGTCTTTCCAAAGCTTGCACACAGTTTACACATGTAGCTACACTCAGTTTAAATATGTACCAAAACCTAAGCCAACATATTAAGTCTTTCCAAAACTTACACACAGTTTAAATATGTAGCTACACACAGTTTAAATATGTAGCTACACACAGTTTAAATATGTACCAAAACCTAAGCCAGTATATCAAGTCTTTCCAAAACTTGCACACAGTTTACACATGTAGCTACACTCAGATTAAATATGTACCAAAACCTGAATCAATGTACCCAGTCTTTCCAAAATGTATACACAGTTTACACACGTACTTTCTTCTGCCTACCACAAATATCCTATATGATTCTATAACTGGTACCTTCGGACTGTTGAGACACTACCTTAGAGATTCATAATTCACAGTGTATATATGCTACTAAATGTACATGTAATAATAGTTTTTTACATGGAGGTCGAGAATACATCCTCTTAATATCCCTAAAACACATAGAGCACCCTACCTATGTACCAACAACATTACCTCACCTGTATAGAGTCCTTTGTACCGTGTCTTTGTGTTGTTAAATCAGTCATATTCTGACATAAAAGTTCGCCTTTTTTGTGATATTGCAGCATAAATACTTGATATCTGCCATGTGCAAGATTATTTCCTAGAATAACAATGACTTTGCATTGCCATCATGTCTAACAGAATACATCTTCCTAATCCTACCTACAACTCCAGATTCCATTTATAGAGACCTGCTGTGTAAAACTGTACATTAATCTGGGCATTAAATTCTAGTACTAGCATGACATGTCTTTGGTTTCCATAAAGTTATACACTGAAGCAGCTTATAATAAAACATTTGGATAATTTTGTTACCTGATAATGTACTTATGTAAATAACTTATTTGATGTCACTGATACTAGTGAATCATTGAGTTGATGGTTTTGTGTAAATAATTTTGGCTGGCTGAGTACTATGTTTAAATGATTAGCAAACAGTCACTGTCACATTGATAAGTTATGTTTAAGTAAGATAACCTCTCTCACACACACATGCACAGGTATATATATATAAACATATAGCTGAATTCACAGTGTCTGGTGACTTATGCTTAAATTGAAGTGTTGTTTGAAGTTATTTTAATATATATATATAAATAATGAAATTGAAAATGCCTTTGATTAGTAAAGCACAAGCATTTTGGTATGCTTTTTTTAACTTTCTAATATACATGTATATTACAGTTCATGTCATATCACACAACACATGCAATTTTCATTTTCTCTACTCTATCTGATATACAATGGCACAAGACATAAACTGTACAGAATTTTAAAACACTTCCATTAGTTTTACTAATCAGAAGTTCTCCAATTTTACTAATTTTCTATATATGTACCAGACACTCTGAATTTTAACTTTTTAATATCTATTACAGTTCATGTCCATGCCATATAATACAATATATGTATTCAATTCTCTTTTTCTCCACAACATCTGACATACAATGGCACATAAAACCTGTACAGAAGATTAAAACTCTTTATGTGTAGGAGATATGTATCATCAATATACATCTGATGCATTGAAATAGAAATCCAATTAATGTTTAGACTACTAAATGCAAAAGAGGTCCTCACACAACCTGAAGAATTATTTTTTTTATGAATGAAATAATTAGACAAGTATTTGTGATATTTCTTTAGATGAAATCACCCCTATTGTGAAACGGACTCCCTGCCTACTCATACTGCCCTATGAGGACCATCATATATATACCGACTAGAAGTGCGAAGATTTCCTTTACAGATTGACCTAGAGTAGAGTCTTCCAACAGCTCTGGTATAACAGACACTGTAGCTATATAGATAAACCCTCCTGCAGTAAATGGAAGAATCCAGACAGTAGCTGCTTCCCCGACACCTTCTGCAAGCAGACTGCATACTGTCCCTAGCATGGCTCCAATAGCTGTGGAGAACTGCAACATCATGGCCTGTAAAAAACAACAATAGGTTCTAAATTAAAGGAACAAGATAACTCATACACAACTAACAATAGGTTTTTATGCCAATTCAAATGATTCTTCAGATTTTCATACAATGAAACTTCACTCATAAGACCACCATTGGAACTAGACAATAGTGGTCTTAATAGCAAGGTGATTGGAATAGTATGACCAAGTAAGCAAACTTCCCTCATAACCATTAACTCATAAAAAGGATTTTTTTTGGGCTGTAGTCAATTCAAATAGGCAGAATGGGGGACCATAGACTCTCACACATCTATGACCAAGTGTTAAACAAAGCTTAGCCGAACTGACTACAGTACATTGTTACCATCTAGTGTATTGTTTTGGTCTATAATCTGTTTACCATCTCGTCACACTATTTTCAACATTAGTGTTCATAGGATTATAGTGCAACCGAAAAAGTTGGTCGATCCCGTACCATCTCGTACACTATGTACGTCGGTGCTAGTACACTCCACACTGGTCATTTGTCTGATGAAGGTGACTGTGTAGTCATCGAAACATCACACTCTAATCTTCTACTGGTTGTGTTATAAGAAATACTATTCTATGGCAAATCTACAGCTAATGAAACAAGTTGTTAAAACCTCTGAAGTTTGAGTCTATACCTTTCTTTTTGTGCAGCCAGATTGGACAAGAATTGCAAAATCTCCAATTTCATGTGGAATCTCGTGTAGAAATATTGTGATTGTCGTGATGATTCCAAGGTTGCGGCCCATCAGGAAAGATGCCCCAATCGCTAGTCCATCCGTAAAATTGTGAGCAAAATCTGCAGCAAGGTTAAGGTAGCCAGCCACCTTGATATCCTCTACCGGTTCAGCTGATGAAGATAGAGAGAAACCAATTCTACAAATGTTTATGTATATCATATATCTATATGTATACACCCATTGAAAACACAATACCTATAAAGGTCTTGTGAAAATTAATGACTGTTGGAAACAAATAATTTGATTGTTCTTTGATCTAACAAAAATGAAATCAAATCGATAGACTTGACTATAGATAAAAGTTAAGAAATAAACAATTACATAATAAGAAATATTTAGAGTTAACAAGCCCTGATGACTGCTCAATCATTTTTTTTACAAATGTTTAAAGATGAAATAAAAATGTAATACCTCCCAGGATAATACAAAATCCTTTAATGAGTATTATCAATTCATTCTTATGGAAGGAGAGGAATTATACCTGGACTTTTCGTTTCTTTTTTACCAACAGTATCATCTTTCTTGTTAGTTTTCCCTTCATCAGTGGTTTTTGAATCCTCCTTTTTAGTGTCCTTTTTGGCTGGTGCCTTTATTGCCCCATGACTATGGGAATGGGAGTGTCCACCTTTAACATAACGAACAAATTTCTCCACAATAAGGAAAGCGACAATTCCAGCAAGTACCCATAAACCGATGGACATGTCATGTGAATGTCCACCTTCCCCTTCATGGGAATGACCATGGCTATGGCTGTGGGAATGTTCCTCGCCATGGCTATGGGGCGAGACGGCATGTGGTATAAGATGAAGGAATGCATCACCAAGGAGACCACCTGAGGCAAAGCTTAGTAAAACTTTCAACAACGGTGAACTTTCCTTTGTGTTTTCTAATGGAATAAATAAGAGAATAAATACAGGTGATATGCTTATGATAAACGTGGCCCCTATGGCTTGAACCCAAAGCATCAGGCCAGATTCTCTACGGACAGTCTTGCTGGCGATCGGCGGTTGTGTATCGTCTGCGTGTCCATGAGCGTGACCATGTCCATGTGCGTGCCCATGTCCATGGTCGTGTGCATGTCCATGATCATCTTCTACATTAGCTTTCTTCGAATACTTAAATGACGGGTTTTCTTCCGGTTGTTCATGGCTATGGCCGTGTTCATGACCACCCACAAAACCGATAACAATACAGGCAAACAACAACAGAACGACAGAGACCGAGAACACAACCCTTGGGAAGTTTCCCCGTATGCCGGTGTTCGTCATAGCTATCCCTTTGCAATGTACGTGGCCTAAAAATCAACACCTTAAGAACGCTTCATTCCGACGAAGAGATATACTTAGAATACAAACGTGACTGCGAGGTAGATTTTTCGCGTCGACTCGGATACTCTCTTGATTTTTCTCCCGATAGGGAAACTGAAAGTAAAAGTAGGAAAAATTAACACTCGGAAGATTGATTTAGAAAGAAATGTTCCATATATCGTTATTCTTGAATTTATAACCTTAATTAACATGGTAGTATGTTAAATGTTTTTAAACATACCAAACGCCATATAGACTAAATGCATATGTCCCTGTAGTTATTGTAATGCATGACGATTTCATCTAAACCTTTTTCCCGTTCTGAAATCATATCATCATATATCGTTGCATCTTTGAAAATAACCTTTTTGACCCAAGTAGATAACTACGCCAAGCATTCTAAAACAATACACATTTGTGTAAATTTCGGAACAATAATTCGCATTCGAGTGGAAAATATTTTTTAGTACAGACATTTTCAGTTTATCTTGAGAAAAAAAAAAAACATCTAGAGTGTCACGAAAATTCAATCTACGGCTATAATACCTTTAAAGAGACAACAGCTACCTACCTATCACGGATATCACGAAATCTTGTCTTTTTACTGTCATACGGCGGCATTTCAATTATGCTTGTTTCCTTGGTATGAGCAGAGACGTATAATCTGTTATACCCTATGCAACCCTAGTATGAGCTAGTGTCTCTAAAGTAAACATGATAATATGGTCAGCTTTATTCTTAACCTTCACGACAGGACAAGAACTACGGTCTCTGAACTTCAGCAAAATGACGTGCTCAGTGTAGAAAGACGGCTTTGTCAACTTGTTAAATATTAACTAAAATTCCTCTAGGTATTTGCGTGAATTTTTCACCGTTGATAACAATATGGTACCAACCCCAGAAATTCAAATTCAATTATATACAGATGTCATGGATAATAATCATCTTGTTATTATTTTTCTTTCCAGTTGCAGATTGGAACACTTCGCCAGATTTCATAAAAAATTAAAAAATTAATATAAATTCAAATCCAATTTTAAAGATAACAATTCTGATGATCTCTTTGTCCGCTACACATTGTACTCGGCTCTATATATCCATTTAATCCAAAGTAAAAGAGTCACACCACTGTTCCGATTAAATTACATAATTTAATAATTAATAAGTTGTATTGTTATCGGGTTTGTAAAATGTAATACCTTAAATACTGTACGATGAGGTAATGTAACGTGCTTTTTTTACTTGAATGGATAGCATTGTGATAGTATTGTTATTAATGTCTGGAAATGATCAAGTCCGCAATTCGAACAGGAGCGTATATATATATATATATATATATAGGTTTCTGGTCAGATAGTTACTCTAAATCTACAGAAATATACAGGGTCAGTACACAACATTCATAGTATCTATCAAATACATGTACACCACAGACAAATAAAATACATAACATGATTGCACCATTTTTTTTTTTTTTTTAATCAATAACAATTTCAAAGATACACAATACAGACGGCCATAATCTGAGTACAATGTAGTGTTTGCCCGCAAAGCTGTGTCGTTAATAACAGTCTTAGATGAATGCTAATGATTATGTCGTTTTAACATCAGTACAAGCCCTTTAGGCCTCTGAAAGCGTATCTTTGTAGGATCAATTGTCAGAGCGGGTAATAATAGAACATGTACTTGTAAACTTGGAGGGTTCGTCGCTCCAATGTTTGTTTAGCCGCGATTTAAAGTAAAGCATCTAATTCATAAACGTTTCATCCAAAGCTTGCTGTCTTATACAGATTAAAATACCGACAAACAAGAAAGTATAATAGATAAGTAAAATGATTTACATATATGCATATCTAATATACGTAATGCGCAATTTAATGCCAAATATGGCAATCAAAGGGAAATCTAGGTGTACGACAGATCAAGTAAAGCTATTCAAACGCTGACAAGAGGAACTTCCCCCACCCCAACACTAAGGCAGTATTGGACACCTGTAGACACCATTTCCCTCAGCAACACTAAGGAAGTGGTATACACTCTCCTCTCCTTCCAACACGAAGGAAGTTGCGGACACCCTTTCCTAGCCAACACGAAACAACCGCAAACATGCTTCATATTACGTTAACGTTGTACTAACAATGCCGGTTCCGGCTGCTCCACGCTTCCCCCAAACACCAATGGAATCTGGTTACTCGCAAATATATATAATACCTTTCGACTGATGTACTGTACGCATAACTAGTGCTAAGCCGGAGAAACACAGCGGTGCTGATTAAGGTAAGTAATCTTCGCACCACGTGTTAACGAGCACAACGAGTGGACGTGGTGGTAATATATTATCCTTACCACCACGCGGTGCTCTGTGTATTGAACCGACACGTGTACAAGTGTACATGTTTTGTTTCATATGTTATTTGTAGGTTCATATGTATTGCTGTTACGATAGCCGACAAGAGCCATATCATTCTGTAACATAGTACATTTGTTCATGGTAAAAAAATATGAACGTGCACTTTTTTATGTATCATCGTTGGTACAACATGGACAAATATCTTCTCATCGCATTTGTATGTTTTTGTACCAGAATAATGGCCGCAAACAGCCATGGTACACAACTAGAATGAAAGGTTACCATGTATGACAAATTACATCCTGATAAGGCTGTCATCACAACTAGCGACATTTTAACGTAATTTTTATTTGGTACAAAAGATATGAAAATTCATATTATTTTGTTAGGCTCTTGTCGGCCATCGTATGATGTACACTGTCCTGTTAAATGCTGTATTTGTACGTGTCTACTGTTATCAGGTCACACACATGTATACACTGGAGGTCACTTGCCTGATGTAGAAACATTGTATGTATGACTTCGTCCATTATTGTAAATATTACACACCTGTGCGCTCCCACTAGTCCGAACGTAAATTCTATAATAATAATAAAATAGTTTATTAAAGACAGTAAAATGTAGGTCACAGTTGTTAAATATACAGGTAAAAGCGATCAATATCCAGCCATAATAGTATAGTCAATGGATAAATCTTAAAATGGATTCATTTTTACACGGGGACTAAGAGCAACTCATATTATTGTAGATATCAAAGGTGAAATGTCCTTCGTCACTTTTGTATAGGGTTTATTACTGTGAACAGCAAAAGTAGGAATGTCCTACGTCACATATAATAATGTAAATTATGATTACTAATTAATCTTGCCATTCGTACACCTGGGACTAAGAAGTTAATTTATATCGGAGTATAATACTTCAAATATCAATGATGGGGGGTATCCATATCACCACACACATACATACACACACACCACCACCACCACCACCACCAAAACACACACACACACACACACACACGCACGCACACACACACACACGCACACACGCACACACACACACACACTCACACACACACACACACACACACACACACACACACACACACACACACACACATACATACACTAGTGTAACTTACAGTTACTATTCATTCTTACTATTCTATAATTCTATAGTATATTACTAAAAATATCAAAGGTAGAAATGTCCAACATCACATATACTTGTGTAATTTACAGTTACTGATTAATAATTAAGTTTTACGGAAAAAGTTTTCTTCCGTTGAAAATCGTAAAGAAAAGCTTGCAATTGTTGGCTGGAGATCACAATTTTTCATCATATTTATAAATGTATTATTCTTGTCCATGTTATAGAAAACATCAATGACAAGAGAACATTTTTCGAGCAGATAGTTTCTCATGTCATCATATAAAATACATTCTATTAGAAAATGTTTTCATCCTCCACTTTATGGTGGTCACATTTGGAACAAAGTCTGTCCATTATTTGAACGGGCAGCCTGGCGTTTCGTCCCGCCTGCACGAAAAAGGGCAAGGTTACGTCTGTGATGTCTATGTATGTCCGACAACCCAGGTTCGATTGAATACTTGAACCGTTCGAGGCGGAGAACAAATGCAGAATTTACAGTTTAACAATTTAGAACATATTAAACTTAGTTATTTGGATCTAATGTATTGCCACTACGGATACCTCGAACCCTTCCTCACGGACCCCAGTCATACTAGTTTTACGAAACTGCAACCCCTTTTCCAATCCCGACGACACTAATTTATATATTTGTTCAATGAGTCGGGATGATAGTTTTACAGAACAAAAATGGACGATACAAATCAATCACAACAGGATTTGTAGCGGCACTCGTCTGAGGCGATCGTCGGTGAACGGGAATCTCAATTAATATAGCGTCCGTTTAGCGGCCGGAGAGTGCCAACATCGAACTCCGGTCTTACGGATGAAGTAGGCGAACGCTTGTCAAGGGATCACAGAACCTGTGCTGTGTCTTCGGGGCGAAGAAGGGAGAAACGTAGAGAAATCAAACTGGGTCGATCGTCAGCAAGAAGTAGCTCAATTGGTAGAGCGTCCGTCTAGAATTCTGATAGTACTGGGTTCTGGATTCGAAACCACTCCTATCACAAGATTAGCACCCGACACGAAGCCAGAGTGCACGAACACATACACTAATAAACCCGAAGTTTATCGTTACCATCTTATGTACTTTTCCCCATATTTTCCCATCTCTTAACACTGTTATAATATTTTAGTACAACCGAAAAAGTTGGTCGATTCATCAGTGCTATTACGACCCACACTGATCATTTGTCTAATGAAGGCGACAGTGTAGTCACGTCACACTTAAATCTTCTACAGGCTGTGTGATAAGATATTCTGTTGTATTGACATTACCAACCCGAAGGAAGTTCCGAAATATAAATAAAAACAATCCCCGCTATATCTGTAAACGCGCATGGCCTGTGACATCATACAGAGATAGCGTTACTCCGTGGTTTGATTAGCGTAAATATTCATAGAAGACAAGTTAAAACCGCCCGACGCCCGCTAAGAGCCTGGAAAATCCTCACATGATTGCCAAAATACTTATAATCAACCGCATCCTGAAATTTGTTCTGGAACATGGTCCAGTGTTCCAGGTACACAACAACAAAGGTATTAATCATTCCGATACTTTTTTAGTATCTAATAGATAAGATACATAGAATGATGACAAAACAATTACACATAGTCTGTGAGAAATCAGCTGCAAATTCCGTTTCTGGACATCAACACTGAGAAATATAAAACCAAGTATGTTTGTTTTCTCATTCCTAAGATATTGTATTTACCTGGAAACATTGCTGTATTGTAGAATAAAATATGCTTTAAGCGAAACCGAATCGAATCATAAAGACGATGTACAAATATGAGGAAGTTAAATCCACCGGAAGGTAAACAAAGTGAAGGGGGGGGGTTCACGTGTTATGTATGGAATTATTGTATATGTATCGTGGCTATATCAACGTACCTTTAAAATCCAAATTATGGGGGATTTGTTCGAAGAGTGAAAGGCCCAAGAAGCGGTTATTTTATAGAGGAGCACTGTTGGAATCCCCTAACACGTCGTATCCTAATGTGGGATTGTCTTGGTGGATAGGCACAGGGTCATGTGATCTAGTAAGAGTAACGTAATATGACCCTGGTGGATAAACACAAGGTCATGTGATCTAGTTAGAGTAACGTAATATGATCCTGGTGGATAAACACAGGGTCATGTGATCTAGTGAGAGTAATTTGGTATTGTCCGGGTGTATAGTCACAGGGTCATCTGATCTGGTGATAGTGGTTGTAAGGCCCTGGTGGATGGGCACAGAATCATGCTATTTAGTGATAGCAACGTAGTATTGCCCTAGGGTCATGTGATCTAGTGATTAAGGAAACAAATTAAAGAACTTTGATTGACCATTATTGACAAGTACTCTCCCATGTAATCAGTCATTGTTACGTATACCAAGATTCGTATCAAATTTCTGAAATATCTGTATTTATATATTACAGTTTTGTCTGCTGTTTTCCAAACTTAGGATGGAAGGTAGCGTCGTCGTTTGTGTCTTATTCGTATCTCTAATCGTGGCAACCGGCGAACAATTGGAAGAAACCGATAACAACAACAAAGAAGAGTTCTGTAGCAAGGAAGCATGCGGAACAATAAAGGTGACCATGGGCCAAAATAATGATATAGTCTTCAGTGACGCCACGTGGTCTGTCCACGTTACCACAGCGCGAGTGCTCGAAGACGAGGAAGTATCGGACTGCTCAGGCGCGGAAGGATTAGGTGAGCTTCGGCTGTGTCGTGACTGGCAACGCTACGGTAGGGTAGAGGTTTGGGAGGTAGCGGAGTCAGTGAGGCTACAATGTCACCAGGTCAAATGGATGCCTGTCAGTCGGGATTTCTTCCCAACTGACTGTATCGATATGGAACATGCACACTGGTACGGAGGGGCGGAGTTACATAATCCAAGATGGCCAATCAATGACATCGAGATACCAATGCAGCCATTTGTATCCGAGGATCTGTATATACGCCATAAGTCATTCGGAAACGTATTAGAACCTTTATGGGTCAGTTCCAAAGGACTTGGCATAATGGTAAGCGATTCCTCACCGCTTCACGTAAGCCTTAATGAAGATCAATCCGGCAAAATATGCCTCAAAGGCAACGCTTCTCAAGATTTTCCGGCGTCTGGGAATCATCTCGAGTACTCGATTTGTAAAGGCAAAAATATCTTGGACATTATCCAGTCAATGTCAAAGATAGCATTTGACCGCCCATTGGGTATACCTGATTTCAGGATGGTAAGGGAACCAATATGGTCAACATGGGCGCGGTACAAAACACTTATAAATCAATCCAAAGTGCTAGATTACGCTCGGGAGATAAAAGAATTTGGATTCAAGAATAGCCAGTTAGAAATTGATGACATGTACACAATATCGTACGGAGACTTCGACTTCGATCCCGAAAAGTTCCCAGATCCAAGTGGAATGATCCAGACTCTTAAAGAGATGGGGTACCGTGTTACAACTTGGATACATCCGTTCGCGAACCTGGACTCCGAAGCGTTCCTGGAAGGCGTCGAAAACGGGTACTGGTTGATGGATACAAGTGGACAAGTTCCTGCTTTGATCAAGTGGTGGCAAGGAGTGGGTGCGATTCTCGACACGACAAACCCCGAAGCGGCCGATTGGTTCATCAAGAGGCTTAAAACCATGCAACAAGAATATGGTGTCGATTCTTTTAAGTTTGATGCCGGTGAAATGACCTATCTTCCATCATCCTACAGAACACACAGAACACTGAAAAATCCGGGATACTTCACCAAATCATTCGTTGATATTGTCAGCCAGTTCGGTGACATGACAGAAGTTCGTTGTGGTTTTAAAAGTCAGAATCATCAAATTTTCGTCAGAATGGCTGATAAAGACTCCAGATGGGGATATGACAATGGCCTTAAAGCTCTCATTCCGACAACCTTAACATTAGGTATCCTTGGTTACCCTTACATACTCCCTGACATGATCGGGGGCAATGGCTACGGGGAGGTTATGGTGGTTGATGCGGTACTTCCGGAACGTGAGTTGTACATCCGGTGGCTCCAGCTCACGGCGTACCTACCAGCGATGCAGTTCTCGTTTGTTCCTTGGGACTACGACGACGAAGTGGTAGAGGTAGCATTACACTTTGTGAAGATTCACGAGGAAGTAGTCACACCGATCTTACTACAAGCTGCAGAGATCTCCCAAGTGTCAGGTAGGTAATGACATATTTGGTTCTAACTTTCATTTTAAATTCTTGTTAATTCTTTCATGCAATAGGTAGTCTACACGTGACAAATAATACGTGATACGAATTTTAGAAAATGAAAGTAAGAAGATCGCAGCCTAAAAATATACATGTAATTCAGATAGGTTAAATATGACAAATTTGTACAAGTGAACCTATCGCTTAAAATTTTGCTGGACTTGTACCTATTGATCGAAATTTCACTTTTAAATGTCATAGGGATTATGTGTCTGTTCTGTGAATTAAAACATCAAAGATTTATTTCATTTTTATTGGCATTATTCTTCTTTTTTCGAAATAAAAAATACGGCGATATAAAATTGTTGACGTTCTTATTATTAACCCACGCCATTTATCATTTATATTTAAAAACAACATATACATCATTGTTACCTTGTAGGTGCTCCCCTTATTCGGCCTTTATGGTGGATCGCCCCTGAGGACCAGATCGCCCTCACCATCGACTCTGAGTTCCTTGTAGGTGACACACTCCTCGTGGCCCCCATCTTAGAGAACGGTCAGAGACAAAGAGATGTTTACCTCCCTGAAGGAATGTGGATTGATAATCTTACAGGCAAAATCGTCAAAGGTGGACAATGGCTAACTGGATACAAGATCGATTTAAAGGAAATCGCTACTTTCTCAAGAACGGATGCTAATTTTCATACCACTGTTAATTTATAGTAAAACAATTAAATATTAACAAGTCAGCAAAATCTTTAATCGAACTTAATACGTATAAACGAGAATAAATGATTAACAAAGGAATTACACAAAGGTTCTTGGAAAATAAGACCAAGTGTTCCGGAAGGGTTAGCGTCTCCTGCTTGGTCGATGATGCCAGTCATTGTGAACCGCGGTCAATCCATGACAATTGTCATGTTCTCAAATGAGAACCAGGATCTGACTTGGAAACCACAAGGCATACATACGGACTAGTATCGAACACATCACCTTCATGCCTTACAGGGAATAGCATATTTCCCAATAAGATCTTAATGGCGACCATAAAACTCTTCGGTGTGTTAACAATATAGATTGCAGAAACAAGGACATACAACCTAGAAAGTGAAAATTCACACCAGGGCAATCGGAAGGCAATACACGGCTGTCGTGACCTCGAATTCTAATTAACCGGATACTTCTTAAATTGTCGCTGTATTTATATTTTCGTTAAATTTTTGACCATGTTGACACATCTGTTGCTTCTTGTTTTATCTGCTTGAGCCAATGGCGTCCAATCCTTTAAGCTATTAGTCTATACCAATATACAGTGTTGTCTTATTGGCACGTAAGTAGATGTAATATCAACAGTTAAATAATTCATAACACATCCATTGATAAGAGAAACAATTCTCCAGACCTACATTCCAAATCAGAGAATGATCCATCTTCTTCCGCTGAAGAAATAGCAATAACAAAAATCCTAATCCAAAATGCTCTTCTTCCCTTTCTCGACCAGTCGTAAAATGACCATTGTACAACTAGGAGCTGAGGGAAACTTTACCTAAGAAACGTGTTAAGGATTTATCAAGTACTTCTTAAGAAATAGAAATAAAAAATGTTACTGTCAAAAGCATGGTGGACTTTCTTGGGTTTTCTTTTTCTTTTTTCTTTAATCAGAATTAAAATGGACAATGCACAAATTGAGACTCAAGAGAAATCTACATATGGAGTTTGAAAAGGATCAATCCAGCACTTCTGTAGACAGGAGGACTATTCATTTTTTTTGATAACATGTTGGATGGGGACCACAAAAAATCATTTCAGGTATTGATGCTAGTGACCATGTTCCATTTTTATCTTCTTGAGAAGAAGCTAAAAATGCTCAGAGTTGGTTTAAATGGATATAGCCTTTGCCTCAGTGACCTAAAAATTTGGTGACCAAAATCTTTGCATCATTTCCAGAACCTTAAATATATATTATTATACAAAATGATGGTAGTTTTTCAACAAATTGCATCTTTATTGCTGTTTCAGTATTTTGGCTCCATTCAAAAATCCCTCTACCCCTACTTGGTACACCCAAAGACCACAAATGCTAAAGCTACTCTATAAAATTATGACATTTTGTAATTTTTTAAGAGCTAATAATAATACTTAATTCATTTATTCTCCCAGAACAGAAGCAGAATTATCAGAATAACGTTTTTTCCTACAGTGTTGGTCAATTCAGCCTTTGGTATTGGTGACCCAGCATGTGATAAGAATTTTTAAGATGGGTGTAAGGCAGACTGATGGATTACAGACAGGCAAACAGTGCACCATCTGATGATGGTCAGGGCTAGAAACACCAATAACATTCACAGTTGTTCATAAATTTATTAAAAATGCATGATAATTGAAAAATAGAATCCATTATAGAGATGATATTGTAAACCTGTGAAAAACAACACAAAAGTGTAAATCCTATCTATTTATCTCTCTACTTAACCTGTCAGTATCAAAGGGAATGTTAGACATTCAATGATGCCTGTATTCACATTAAAAATCTTATATACATCTCTTAGATATTGTAGTAAACATGTAAAGCATTCTAGGTGAATCTTTGATAAAACATTAAATTATTTACATGAATTGGTGAGTTTCGAACCTCTATCCACTATACCTACTACAAAACCGAACACCCAGGATGCTTTCACACACAGAGTTATTGACACAAAATATGTATGAGCAGTGTAAACATATGATTACATTTCATCATTTCTCTAACAACTGTTGCAAGGAGATTTTATCTCAAGAAATTGGGGCCCTTTTTGAGTCAATGATATGCAACTTATGACAAAAGCCAATTATGTACATCATATAAATACATGCTTATATCATGCATACAGTAATTTTGTGTTACACATTTCTAAAATAATGTCAACTTCATCCTTCGTCCCAACACTTATAAACTAACAAGTGGACCAGCGACTCCACAGTCCCCTCAGAGTGCATATAGCAGAAACCAGGAACTTCACAGTCCCCTCTGAGCACACTTAGCAGAAACAACTGTGTCGTGAAGTTTTCATGCCATAAGACTGTATGTATAGTCATTAAACACCTCTATCATTACAAGTTGAATGCCATTGTATCAATTCAACATTTCTGTTAAAGGGGCAATATTTATAGGGACTCACCTGTGACGGCATGTCAAGGAACCATTTCAAAGTGCTTGCAGCTTCAAAATAATTGAAAATTTTAACACGTAAGGACCTTTTCACCATGTCTAAAGGTAAGCTCCACAAACCAGATCAATTTCAGAATTCAGAAGCCCCTCCCTCTCATCTAAATGTTTCCAGGGACTGGTAACAATATTCCCGGTGAATTACACTTTATGTAACCCCAATGACCTTCAGGTCTTAACCTTTATCATCTTTGATCAATTTTCTCGTCAATATACATTGTACACTGTATATAACCCCAATGTCCTTCAGGCCTTAACCTTTATCATCTTTGATCAATTTTCTAGTCAATATACATTGTACACTGTATATAACCCCAATGTCCTTCAGGCCTTAACCTTTATCATCTTTGATCAATTTTCTAGTCAATATACATTGTACACTGTATATAACCCCAATGTCCTTCAGGCCTTAACCTTTATCCTCTTTGATCAATTTTCTCGTCAATATACACTGTACACTGTATATAACCCCAATGACCTTCAGGCCTTAACCTTTATCCTCTTTGATCAATTTTCTAGTCAATATACATTGTACACTGTATATAACCCCAATGTCCTTCAGGCCTTAACCTTTATCATTTTTGATCAATTTTCTAGTCAATATACATTGTACACTGTATATAACCCCAATGTCCTTCAGGCCTTAACCTTTATCCTCTTTGATCAATTTTCTAGTCAATATACATTGTACACTGTATATAACCCCAATGTCCTTCAGGCCTTAACCTTTATCATCTTTGATCAATTTTCTAGTCAATATACATTGTACACTGTATATAACCCCAATGTCCTTCAGGCCTTAACCTTTATCCTCTTTGATCAATTTTCTAGTCAATATACATTGTACACTGTATATAATCCCAATGACCTTCAGGCCTCCTGGATATAGACTGTGTAACTATTGTCACAAGAAACTTTTGGAAATTAGAGAATAATTCAAAGGTTTCCACAAATCTACCCCTTCAACCTTGATTGAAGGTCAGTTTAAGTTTCTGATGACTTTCTGTTTCTACTACCTCTTGATCTAACTCTGTATTCCTCGCTGTGGGACTTCCAATCAGAAACTAATAGAAACACAACTTTTTAACACTTAATTTATAAAAACAAAATACAAATAAAATATCTTAATGAACCTGCAACCTATTTCACACATTAGAGTACATATATTGTATGTATTGTACTGGACTGGGCAAACGTATAAAAAAATTCAGGCCAAAGTGAAGAATTGTCTGATTTACATGCAGTACCATTTGGTCAAATTACAAACTTTACTACTTAAACCATCTGGAAAAACTAATCTATCAATCGTAACTAATACATGTTGATGTGGATGCCAACAGGGAGGAAAACCTTTGTTGTGGCAAGAGTCACTGTATAACCACACAAACTACTGAAATGATCACAGTATAAGAAATACAGGGTATTTCTAAAAAGTTTTCCCAACACCAGTCCAGGCGTAAAATCTTTTTATTCTGTTAAATAAAACTTCACCACATGTCTCGTCCCTAACTTGACTTTAAGCAATCTCAAAAACTGGAAAACTGTATATACAGTAGAGATGATTTCATTAACCTGAGAATCACCACCACCACATTGGATTTCTACCATCTGTTCAATTATTGACAAGATATTGACTGCATGTTTCATCACAGAAAATATTCATTTATCACCTGTCTTGTTGCTATCTCTTCTCAGAGAAAACATTTATCATCTGTCTTGCACTGTTTCGTCGCAAACAAAACTTTCCCCCATCCCTCTTGTCCTTCTTATTGCAGAACAACTTTTACCACCTTGTCTTATCGCAGACAAAATTTTCGCTACCCGTCTTGTCTCTGTCTTGTCTCATGCTAAACCTTCTCCAAATACCTGGTCTGTATCATCTCAAAAAAAGACTTGTACCACATGTCTTGCCTGTCATCTTGGAAAAAACTTATACCTCCTCTCTTGTTTAATGTCTCTGACCAACCTTTTACCACCTGTCTTGTCTCTCACCTAAAACAAAACATTTACAACCTGTCTCTGCTATCTTGTCCCAAGACTAAATATTTACCACCTGTCTCATCTCTGTCTTGATTCAGACAAAACTTTTTACCATCTGCCTCTGTTATCTTATCTCAGACAAAATTTTACAACCTGTCCTGGCAAAAACTAGACATTATCAGCTTTTGTCTCAGACTGGAATATTTGTTTTAGACTAGACGTACATCATCATTTATACTGGCAGACAAACTAATTTACAAAAATATCTTCCTAACCAAAAAGAAAAGCAAGTTTTGGAACCAACACAACAAAATATAAAAGAAATAAATGATAAACTGTTGACCATAACAACAACAATAATATAAACAGTATTAAAAGTATTAATATAAAACATTTAGTCCACAAACAGGCACCTGTTCTTATACCAGTCACTGTTAGCAGTATTGATGTTAGATTGGAGATTCTAATGGCAAGTGGTAGCAGCAGAATATACCACAAATCATTCCTTACTACTAAGTTTAAATGTGTATATATATGATGTATACAGTTTATCATCAATATGTCTAATTTCTACATGCACAATATACACAATAGTGACTAGTCTAGTTAACATACACCAGTATATCTATAACAGTATTGCAACAATGTTGACTACAGATGGAATTCATTAGACTAAATAGAAATTGGCAATTTAGGGCATTTTTTCCCTTGTAGTCAATTTTGCTACAAATAATTACAATTATAATCAACTACACTGTCACAATGCACAGACTGGAATCAATGGACAATTGATAAAAGAAACCACCAGGTCAACACAGACATTGACTTACCTGAGCTGAATAAAGATGGGAGTTATTTTCTCATCAGTACCTCAGGCACCAGTCCATATGATACTCGCCTGAACTAGATACAGACAAGATATTCTGTCACCAGTACCTCAGTCACCAGCCCATATGATACTCACCTGAACTGGATACAGACAAGATATTCTGTCACCAGTACCTCAGTCACCAGTCCATATGATACTCACCTGAACTGGATACAGACAAGATATTCTGTCACCAGTACCTCAGGCACCAGCCCATATGACACTCGCCTGAACTAGATACAGACACAAGATATTCTGTCACCAGTATCTCAGTCACCAGTAGATATATTTGTTTCCACATTTTCTCTTTTCAACTATTTACATCTTACACATCTCATGTTTTCAAAATTGAAAAAGTTCATAGACTTTGATAAGCATTTCTCTAACTTAAAGAATTATATATTTGTTAAGAGTATATTATGAAAACGCCTTTGTGAGTGTCCTCTATTTAAAAATGCATCAATATATATATATATGTTTAACTAGTAAATATGTGCATTGGTTAGATATATACATAATTAAAAAAATAAAATCAACACAGTAGTTTGCTAACCTTTTTAAGGCATAAAAGTTATTTCCAAGTCATTAAAACAATTTCCTGAAGATGGTTGCTAGGCCTGAAAACATTGGCAAACTACAGTGTTGATTATCGTTTTAATTATGTATATATATGTACAGTATAACTTAATGAATTGACTATGAAATTCAAAGACCTTTTTTAAAATGGACTCCCTATATAATCATGGATTTACATCAACACAAAGCAGGGAAAACAATTTTTAAAAAATCAACATGTACACTACAAAAGTTGTTTCTCTCTATGTTTCCTGAAATTACATCAATCAAAACTCAACATGACACTATAAACATATTTTACTATATAAACAGAAAAAAACAATACTTTGTACCTCACTACAAAAATAATATATTCATACAGCAGCCATTGTGTGAACTTTACCTAGTTAGCTGGGATGTATTAATTCTACCTAGTTAGCTGGGATGTATTAATTCTACCTAGTTAGCTGAGTTGTAATAACTATTTCTAGTTAGCTGGGTTGTATTAATTCTACCTAGTTAGCTGGGTTGTATTAATTCTACCTAGTTAGCTGGGATGTATTAATTCTACCTAGTTAGCTGGGATGTATTAATTCTACCTAGTTAGCTGAGTTGTAATAACTATTTCTAGTTAGCTGGGATGTATTAATTCTACCTAGTTAGCTGGGAGTTGTATTATTTACCTATTAGCTGGGATGTATTACCTAGTTAGCTGGGATGTATTAATTCTACCTAGTTAGCTGGGATGTATTAATTCTACCTAGTTAGCTGAGTTGTAATAACTATTTCTAGTTAGCTGGGATGTATTAATTCTACCTAGTTAGCTGGGATGTATTAATTCTACCTAGTTAGCTGGGTTGTATTAATTCTACCTAGTCAGCTGGGATGTATTAATTCTACCTAGTCAGCTGGGATGTATTAATTCTACCTAGTTAGCTGGGTTGTATTAATTCTACCTAGTTAGCTGGGATGTATTAATTCTACCTAGTTAGCTGGGTTGTATTAATTCTACCTAGTTAGCTGGGATGTATTAATTCTACCTAGTCAGCTGGGATGTATTAATTCTACCTAGTTAGCTGGGATGTATTAATTCTACCTAGTTAGCTGAGTTGTAATAACTATTTCTAGTTAGCTGGGATGTATTAATTCTACCTACCTAGTTAGCTGGGACCTAGTTAGCTGGGATGTATTAATTCTACCTAGTTAGCTGGGATGTGTTACAAAGCTTAATTAGCTAATATAAGATAACTCTACCTTTAACTACAATGTAGCTGAGTTAATTGTGATAGAGTTACCTGTGATTAAAAAAGGCGTCTGAACCACATATACAAGTACCTTTCTACCTTGGAACCATCAAGTCCTAGGTAGTATAATACTATAAAGCATTAAATATCAGCAGTACTTCATTTAACTGGCTTTAAGTCATAATAAAATGTACAAGTAAAAATAGGTCAAGCTACAATATCCATCATACAAAACAACAGTGGATTTATCAACCATTTTATACATGTCATTGATTCAGTATTTTTATGACAAATTCTCTATTTCACCATCAAAATACAAAAAAAATTATCACATGTTCAACAGAAAGGTAGTTGTTCATTATATTACATATAACATACTTTTTTTGCATTTAAATATCACAAAAAACACAATTCAAAATCAATACATAACATAAAAAAGATTAAATAATTGCATACAACGAGCTGCATCGAGTCAATCAGGTGATAAATGATACATATTACCAAGGATGTGGACATGTACATATACAACCAGCAGTATATACACCTAGGTATGGTTTATGTTTAAATATGTTCCACGATCAAATCAAATACAGTCACTAGCAGAGGATAAGCACATCATTTACAATTTTTTAAAACTACTGGAATTACATCACATGTAGATTTGATTTGTCACATACCTACTAATACATTAAATAAAAATTTCATTTAAAGAGGAAAGCAGGGCTTGTCATTCACCCTAACATATTGATGAGTCTGTAGGTAGTTATATCTGTAGGTTTCACACAGAATTGTGAAGTGTTCAACTTCTATGAGTTTGACCTGTGTCCTAATATAACCCAGTCTTACCTGTAGGTTTGACTCATAATATGAGTCAGTGTATGTTATTTCCATGAGTTTGACCTTATGTGCCACTGTGTGTCCATTGACCAAGCTGATGAGTCCTAGTGAAGTATGCTTTTTGGAATTCCATGAGTTTGACATTGTGTGCCACTGTTTTTTCATTAGTTTAGCTGAGACTATGAGTCCTCGTGAAGGATGCTATTGCCATGAGTTTATATGACACTGTTTTTCTGTAAGTTTAGCTGAGAATGTGAGTCCTCGTGAAGGATGCTATTTCCAGGAGTTTATCTGACACTATTTTTCTGTAAGTTTAGCTGAGAATGTGAGTCCTCGTGAAGGATGCTATTTCCAGGAGTTTATATGACACTATTTTTCTGTTGATTTAGCTGAGAATGTGAGTCCTCGTGAAGTATGCTATTTCTGTGAGTTTGACCTTGTGTGCCCTTAACCACTGTTTTCCTTGTTCATGTTGATCATAAATTTGATCATGCCAATCACCTTCTGGGAGGTAGATGTCTCTTTCCTTAACATCTTTCTTCAATATTGGTGCTACCAAAATGGAATCTCCAACTAAAAATTCTGAGTCCACCAAAAAGGCTTGTTCATCCTTTGGAGAGCCCCACCAAATTGGACGGATAATTGGGGCTCCTGAGAGGAAAAACAGAAAAACAAAAGTGTGTCAGCAATCATTACAAATAAAAATGTTCATATCGTTATCATTTTTGTAAATTCATGTGTTATTTCCTTTTTCAAAAGCTGAAATTATTTTACATTTTGTGTCTAGTTATTTTTGAAATAAAACTGTTGTACTTCATTATAATTAACATTGATCAGTCAAGCTGTCTACCTACATTAGTAAGTTCTAGATCATAACCACAGGTACTTCTGTCAACTAAAAAATCATTGTGACATTCTCTCTGCCCAACACTGGTGCAGGAGTAACTAGAATATGCTCTATCTTGTTCTAATGAGGTCTAGCTGAAGGCCTAGTCACATCTTACTATGGTACCCATGTTCATTATCCATTTTTGATGTCTTACTCTTGGAAAGTTCCATACTATTAGGTATATCAGATAATTTGTAGTTTATAAGATTCTGTGGATGATCGTATAGTAAGGAACTGGTTTAACATGTAAAATAATACAGCTGTTACCGTACAAAAGAGCTATCACAATAACTTACCTGTCATCTCAGCTGTTACCGTACAAAAGAGCTATCACAATAACTTACCTGTCATCTCAGCTGTTACCGTACAAAAGAGCTATCACAATAACTTACCTGTCATCTCAGCTGTTACCGTACAAAAGAGCTATCACAATAACTTACCTGTCATCTCAGCTGTTACCGTACAAAAGAGCTATCACAATAACTTACCTGTCATCTCAGCTGTTACCGTACAAAAGAGCTATCACAATAACTTACCTGTCATCTCAGCTGTTACCATACAAAAGAGCTATCACAATAACTTACCTGTCATCTCAGCTTCCCGCATCGCCTTCTGAAGTAAAGGGATGATTTTCTCTTTCCGTAACTTAATCAAGTTGTTGAATATATCTACAACATCTTTGTCATAATCCCATGGAGTGAAGGCAAACTTCATGACAGGCATAAAAGCTGAAAGCTGCATCCAGCGAATGTAAAGTTCTGGTTCAGGCCTGGACAAAGCTAATGAACCATTCACACCATAGGTTGTCCCGCCAATGATGTCTGGTACCACAAACTGATAGCCAAGGATACCAAGGGTCAGAATGGAGGGTATTACACTCCGTAGGCCATTTTGATGGGACCAATGAGACTCTTTTCGTGATGACTTTGTGTAGACTGGATACTGCTGGGTGCGATACCCACAGCTTACCTGAACCAGACCTCCTACACTGGAACTGATCTGGGAAACAAACTCTGTTGTAAATGTTCCAGGATTGGCGAGCACACGATATGTTTTATGAACTTTGGGTAAAAAGTTGGATTCACAGCCATGGAAATTGAAGGATTTGATACCATAATCTTTGATCATGTTGGCTAATCTTTCATTATACCAAGTAACAGCAGCTTTTCGTGTAACATCCACTACACCCATCAGACCACTATACCATTTCATTAAGGACGGACTACGCTCCTCAACATCAGAAATGAGTAAGTCCGCTTTATTTTTGAATGCTTTAGATTCAACACTCACAAATGGTGTCATTGATACAATGACATCAAATTTATATTCTTTTAAATAACTAATCATTTGATGAGAGTTTCTAAAAGCAGCTTCATCAAAGTTAAAGTCACCAAATCTAGTAGAATATTTATCATCAATTTCTATAAAGTTAGACTGCAGTTTGTGAGGACTGATTTGATCACTGATATTTTTAGCATGTGCCAACAACAGTGACTGTGTGAGATTTGGTTTAAATCTGCCCCATGTAGACCATACAATGCCCTGCATCAAGCTTTTGTCTGGTAGACCTAATGGTATGTGGAAATACTTCTTCTGTAGAAGTTTATGTATCTTACTAATGCTGTCCTCCTTGCATACACTATACTCCAGCACTGGTGTTTTACTGTCAGGGTTTGGGTAGGGAGAATTTGTGTAATCAGCACTGAAACACAGTAAGTTACTTTTACTTTCATTAACACTTACAAATAGAGGTACCTCACTGTTGACTACAATACCAACACCATTTGAATTTATCCAAAATCTATCTACAACATTTCCAAATATGTTTTTGCCTCTGTTTTTCTCTGTGTTTGATCGGAACAAAATATCATTTGATAAATATGGCTGCATTGGAACATCCGCAGTTTCAAGGGGCCACGTTTGGTCATAAAGTTCAGCACCCCCATACCAATGTGCACTCCTCATAGAAAAGCAGTCATGCGGAATAAAGTCACGACTAGTTGGAGTCCACTTCACATGATGGCAGCTGTCTGTTTTTAATATCTGAAACAAAAAATTCAAGTTAAGAATTGATTACCAGTAGCATAATAGATATAAAAGATCTTTAGGGAACTTGATACCCATCATTGTTTTGAAATTTTATCTTTTCCCTTCTTTCCTTTCTCTTTTCTCTTAAGTAAAAGATTGAAAATTTCTCCTGAGAAAAATAATCTTAAATTGTCAAATCCAAGATGGTCATATGTCAGCCATCTTGTACTTTGATCAGTTCCAAACTGTACAATGCACATCTAAGGACCAAGGCAAATCTACATAGTCATCAAAAGTTATTTTTGCCACAAATAATCAAGAGATATTTGAATTCGGGTCTGACTCTCTTTGTGTATTAACACAAAAATAAATCACATGCAAAATATAGGTGATTTAAAGTATATTCATATATTCTGACTTGAGAGGATATGAGTTTGAGTCCAATTACAGGGAGATAACTCCCTATAAGAAATCCTTTTATTGTAGTATAGTAGGAAGGATTAAAAAAAAACCTGCCACTGCAGAGGTTTGAACTAGCGACCCTTTGGTATCTACCCACTTGCCTAAAAGGACATTTCTACTAGCAAGACCTTGTAAGATGGCCTGTACTCTCAAATTCTATACATTACTGTACCCTTTACAGAGTCTTCAACCCCAAGGACAACAATAACTCAGGTTCAATATCCTAATGGAATCAATTTGATCTCCTATACATGGAGCTTGACACCCTACTGCTTGACTGATGGGAATTCCAAATAGCCAGCTTGAGGCTAGTAAAGTGACCTTAGCTCTCAACTTCTGCAACAGTGCTCATGCATGTTTGGGTTGCACACAGAACTAAATCCAGGTCTATACACATATCCAAGTCCGTACACACAGACCAAGACTGTGCAGCGATAGGATTTCGAGCGGTATCCTCATTCCAACAATGTAAATCGCCCCACCCTGCCTCAGAAATGGGGTACATTATGTACCAATAACATCGCTGATGATCGGGTGTTCGGCTTAGGCAGTTACAACTTAACTATCAAAGTTAACATGTTCACGGTACTTTACCTCTAGTTTGGCATATCTGACCCAGTGTAGACACATGCTTGTCGCTTTGTTCTGTTCTGGTTTACAGGCCACTGTGAATGTCGACCTAAGAGTCTCGGATACGATACCCTGCAGATATGTGCTTTTGCCGGTGTTGTACATGAACATTCCAGTGGAAAAATCATACTGGAGATCTCCAACTCGCTGTTCCACCACTCCACTAGCGTATAAAGGCGTTACCTTCTTTTTCAGTGCACTCACTGTGTACCAGATAATGAAAATCAAAAACAGAAGGAAGCAAGCTACCTTCACATATCTCAACGTTCTGCCACGAAGTTGTCTCATAGTAAGACTTGTATCGCAGTTCATCCCAAAACAACATACCTCATGTGTTTCCGGACTGAGTACGTCATTTCCGGTTTCTCAAGAACGGCCGCTTTCCATTTATTGTAAAGGTCTATTACAATGGTTAGTGTTAAGTTTATGTGTCTTCGCGGTATGTGCGTGAATGATTTGAGTTTTTGCAAAGTAATTCGAAGTCCTAGTTGTACGTACAAAGATGGAATTATTAAATGGTACATGTATTTTTTAAAAGATGGCAAAAAATGACAACGATAACGGCAGAAGTTTTCGCATAGTCCTTTACTACCGATGAAGGGAAGGTGTGAACGACACACTTACTATAGTATTGAACAAAGTATTGATACTATTGTATTGAAGTATTCAAATAATCGAGTCAAGTATACAACGACCTCTGTGATTGGTCGGGGGCGGAGTTTAGACAACCTGAATAGTTGATCTGACACCCAATTTGTTCCGGTAGGCGGATTTAATGTACACTACCAGTTACATAACAATTACTAAGTAATCGCTGGAAAAATGTCCGACGACGGCAACAGTACGCAAAATTTTCTTCAACGAAATGATGTCCGATACGAACGATATGGGGAATCCTGTTTTTGTACAAGGCGATGTGGTTGTGATGGATAATTGTGGATTCCATCACCATAGACAGGGAGAGCGCATTTTAAGAAATATGCTGAAAGAATATGGCGTGTCCCTGGTTTTTCAGCCGCCTCATTCCCCGGAATACAACGTAACTGAATATGTATTCATTGTCATGAGACAGAGGCTTCGGGCAAATACCCGACTTGTGTCAGAATTTCTGGAACTTGCAGTAGTAAATGCTCTAGATATTCCGCCCAACCAACTTCAAAGTTTTTTCACATGTTGCGGATATGTATAATTTTCGATGGAAAGATAAAAAATAAAATAAAAAATATATGGGACCACAGAATTCCTTTATTTTTTAATGCAGTATGAATTATCGGCATATATCAGGAGGTCTCAGGTAATTCGTAATTCTTTGTTACGTATAATAGAGCTTGGGCTTAAACCGAAATATTTTGAGCCAACCCTCCCCCCCCCCCTTTCAAAAAAATAAATAAATAAAACTAGTACAGAATGACTATATGACTATATTCACTGTTAAGATGTTATGAATTCTCCGGTCCCAGTGATCTAACCTGTTGATATATCTTTTGTACGTAAATTAGTTTAGTACTGAGTAACTTTCGTTTTCTCGTTGTACCATCGATGGAAAAGCAAGGTATCATTGGGTGTAGAACGAAACAAATGGGACAACCCAATTAGGTCTGATCTGAAGCCACCTGTGACTTGGACTCTTCCAATTAACCTCTCGCGACAGTCGAGTGTTTGTAAAATGCCGATGTCTGCACAGTATTTTTTCACCTGGCTCCACCCACAATCGATCTAGACTTGGCTCTGCCAATCAGAGAGCTTGTTGCATAAATTTAAGGAATTCGATTGGTGAAGTACTTCAGTACAATACTATCAATACTTTGTTCAGTACTACAGTACTTGAAACGTTCACACCTTCCCTTCATCGGTAGTAATAGTGTATTCACCAAAGAACTTCCTGGATACCAGAGACGTATATATCACATACGTCTCTGTGGAGACCTACCAAAATTGTCAAAGCGAAATTTAATGAACAATTTTTAGGAAAATGTATGCACAGTAGAGACAGTAGAAAAAATTATCTGATTTAAATGAAAATAAATTCCAAGGCCCGGATATGATGCATCCCAAAGTTCTAAAAGAATTGAGACAACACATTAGTACATGAACACCATTATCAGAAATCTTTAATCAATCACTGCGCGAAGGAACATTACCAAAAGCACGGAAAGAAGCAAATGTAACGGCCATGTGTAAGAAAGGCTCAAAATCAGGGGCGGAAAACTATAGACCAGTCAGCTTAATCAGCGTAATAGGGAAAATTTTAGAATAACTAGTTAGAGATAACATAGTCAATTACATGGACTAAAATTATTTAGATCAACAGTTACAATTATTAACGGTCTTGGAAGAATGCTACAGCAGGCCAACTGGATGCAATATATATAGGGACTTCATGAAAGCTTTCGCCAAAGTCCCACATCAGCGGCTGACCAAGAAACATAAAGGCTATGGAATAAGAAAACAGGTCGTCAATTGGATAAATGATTATCTGAACAACATATGCCAACGAGTAATACTTCATGGAGAATCGTCACAGACATATCTAGTAGTAAGCAGTGTCTCCCGAGGAAGCGTTCTCGGTCCTATATTATTTGAAGTATGTATAAAAGATTTACCAGGAATTCCATAATCCCAATCTCCATTATTTTCAGACTATACAAAATCAGAAGTAACAGTGATATAACTATTCTACAGAATGATTTGAATAAACTACAACAATTGTTAGCAAAATGGCTACTTAGTTTCACCCAAGCAAATGCAAAGTTTTATCGATCAAATCTAACGAAGAAAGAAAATGTGACATTTCGGGACCGTCAGTCGAACAAATACAGCTGGAAAACAAAGCATCTGAGACGAACATTGGTCTGACTGTTGATGAAGATTTAACTTTTAGAACGCGTATCCAACTCGGTGTGAACAAGGCGAACAACATTTTGGGAGTCATTAGAAGATTGTTTACCTTTATGGATGATACAATATTTAATCTAGGTGCTTGCAAGGCCACATTTGGAGTATGTCTCAAGTGTTTGGAGTCCGTATAAAACCAAAAGTGATAGAGAACGTTCATGGGAGAGCAACGAAACTCGTACCAGGATATAAAAACCTAACATACCCGATACGCTTACGGAAAATAAATCTACCAACCTTAGACTATCGTAGAAACAGAGGGGGTATGGATAATGTCTACAAAATCTTAAAATAACATTTGTGATAAACAAGTCACTACTTACCAGTTCCAGGTGGATACCAAGAGGAAAACAAGAGGACATTCACAAAAAATAAATAAACGATGCTAATTGGATATTAGGATTTTTTTCCAGTTTTCGTGTCGTAGACAAATGGAATACTTTACCATAATGTGTAATAGATTCAAATAGTGTTATACAATTTGAAATGTTCTGGACAATCATTGGAAACGAGAAAGATTATCATTCTCTGCTAGCTAGTTAATTAATACATTTGAATACTGGTTAAATGTTAAAAATGTAATGTACATCGGGAGTAAACAAATTATTATCATATAATTCATGGATATCTATAAAGAGGCTTACAGCCTGCATCCATTATTTTTCGTATCAAATCGTATTAAATGCAATTATTGGCCCGTTCTTTTGTCAGTTTTAAGTCGTACGCGTTAATTAGTGAATACGATTACATGAACATACCGGTTAGTTTATCAACAAGTAGAAAACAGCTTTAGCCATACTAGTTCAGTATTATATACTTTATTCCATGTAAATGACCACGTGGACCAGGTGAGCAAGAAACGCAACGGTTTGCCCCTACGGTTGCTTAAAGACATCAGATGTATCCCGTCCGCTGATTCTGACTTTATGAAAAAGTAAAATCACACCTGTTAAGGGGTTCGCGAGACACATTGTACATGTATTATTCAACTACGGCATCTTGTAAACAAACATTTTATGGCCTTTGAACTTGATCAAGGACTAAAATTAAAATCTAAATTTGATCTAGAACATAATGGTTTGAAACTTTGGTGTACATATGAACGAAAACGTTTGAGGCCTCTTCTACAAAATTTCTGTTCATGTATTTCAGAAGTGGTCAAGTGTGATCTTTGACCTTTACATTCAACCTTGACCGATAGCCTCTATAATCTAATCCGTGGTGTCGTATAAAACGAAAGTGGTCTAGAAGGGATACATGCATTATACCCCTACCCCCTATTAGTTTTATTTCACGATTGGTCAGCCTTAATCTTGACTGGTGATCACCATAATCTAGCGGCAGGTATAGAGCTTCATTGTGTCCCGCTACAAGATATAAATACGAACTGAAAAGATTAACCGACCTTTAACTGCTGACCACAAAAGTGTGTTGAGGTGTAGAACTTGTGTGATACAATGGTAGTGAAAGTCTGTTGTTTTGAACTTGTGGGATACAATGGTAGTGAAAGTCTGTTGTTTTGAACTTGCGATACAATGGTAGTGAAAGTCTGTTGTTTTGAACTTGTGTGATACAATGGTAGTCGATAATTTAATATAATTTCCAACCCCTATATAACCCTTTTCCCAGGTTTTGTTTGATTTGAATAACTTTAATGAAATAATTTTCATAACTATTGCACCATAAGAGGTAGGTCTTTCATATTTGCGGAATGTGTGGTCCTTGTGACAAGACCTTTCTGTTGGTGCCTAAAAAAAATTTGACCATGTGACCTTGACAGTGACATTTTAATTAAATTTGAAAGTGAAATGAAGACATAAATGTTTCACAAAGTGTGCATAAGCAATAAGCACATGTCTTGTACTGTACAGTTTTAATGCCTCTCTTCAGAATTTTGTTGTATATGGAGCAGCCTGTATTTTCATCACAGAGAGCTAACATAACAGACTACAGAAGATTCTATGTTTAATTTTGTGGCAGATTGGAAAGGTGCTGCATATGAATGATGCAATACCTGATAACCTCCATTTAGACCCTTTTTATGTACCTGAAAGAATGCGAACTAAAGAGCATCTTTAGTAAAGAAAAGGAACCCCCCTCCCCAACTGGATCTGCCAGTTACTCTAGATTTGGTATTACCAACCAGGGAAATGAAGTACCTTGTGTTATTATTATTTTTTTGACTTAATGGGAACATTGAATTTGCATGGGTTGTCTTCCCTGACACATTGCCCCCTCCCCCCCACCCCCCAACAAGAAAATTTACATTGTTTCATGTTAATATATTTCATAATGCAGTGGTATTTTGTACAAATAAGTAATGGTAATTGGCAACATACACAGTTCGACTCTTTGTAAAGACAGTGTCATGCTTTTCAACATGCATTAGGTGGCCTTTAGATCCTCTACCAACATGCCCCTGCCCACCTGCTTAATTTTCTTCTCGTCCACACACATTATCACCTATAGTCCTCAAAGTTTTATACCAAGACTTTTCAGTGTTTCCTCTATAGTCTATTGGAAGCAATGTTTAAAGTCACAAAAACCACAGATGTTTTTAAAAACTTGCATAATAGATTTAATTTAAGGATAATTTGACAGAAGATATTCACTCAAGATCTGAAGAACATAAGAACAGTACTCTTGTGCCTTCAGAATCTAAAACTAATTCAAGACAGTGTAAACAGACAATTATAAAGGTAACAAGGACAGTCATCCCCTGCCCATGTTCATTTGTAAAATATATACATTTAAAGTGAGCAACATGGAAAACTGGAAAAGATATCAGCCAATCAGGTCACAGCAACCTCATTAAATATGCACAGCATTCACCATTAATCAAACTTGGGCAAGGGATTACAGTAACAAGTGTACCAACCAAGTGTAATAAATATCATACCAGTCCTTCAAAAGATATCATGTGGAAAGCAGCATCTGGACAAAATGAACCAACATACTACATGCTATAAGAATCATACACATGGTGAAGTCTACAGATGAAACTCTTGGAAACAATCATCTCCATGGACATCCAGCAAATATCATAGGATGAGAAGGGATGTGACACACAGTTCTTGCCACAACTATTTCATTTAAATGTTTCGCTGACAACCATTTTTTGTCTCTTTTCCATACACTTAGTTTATGCTTGTTGTTCTGGTGAATAAAGGATTTCAATAAATGATTTAATGATAAATACTTCAAGTTGTATTATAAAATGTTTTTAACAGCAAAATGGCAAAGAGTCTGAACATTCATGATTCTTGATGCTGGCATTCCGGAAGAATGTTTGGCACATCAATATTTTCGTCTAGTGTTGTAGGTTCAAGATCGAGTAACTCTGAAAAAAATAACAAAACATATCGAATAAAGTACAAGACATATACCTGTAATTATATAAAATATCTACGCATTACTACCTTAAAGAAAGAGGTCTGCTAGTGAATTATGAAATAAAATCAGATTGTAACATGTATCAGTTTGTCCAGCTCACTATGATGAAAATTACATTGAAAATGATACAAACAAATTTTGACGATGAAGCACATATTTGTATAGTTATAAATGAAGGTGTTTCGACAATCACACAAAAGCACCAATCAGAATGGAAACTTACCCTATTAACATTTGTCATTTTTACAAACATACATGTACCAAGTGAAGAGAATATTGTACACACAAGTGAATAGCACCATTTGATACAAATTTAGATAAGGTACAGTAGTGGCAAACAATGAATTAAACTACATCATACAGCTGTTTAGTCCTTCTAGGACTCGTCAGTAATGTTACATCATACAGCTGTTTAGTCCTTCTAGGACTTGTCAGTGATGTTACATCATATAGCTGTTTAGTCCTTCTAGGACTTGTCAGTGATGTTACATCATACAGCTGTTTAGTCCTTCTAGGACTCGTCAGTAATGTTACATCATACAGCTGTTTAGTCCTTCTAGGACTCCTCAGTAATGTTACATCATACAGCTGTTCAGTCCTTCTAGGACTCATCAGTGGTGTTACATCATACACCTGTTCAGTCCTCCTAGGACTCCTCAGTGGTGCTACATTATACAGCTGTTTAGTCCTTCTAGGACTTGTCAGTGATGTTACATCATACAGCTGTTTAGTCCTTCAAGGACTCCTCAGTGGCGCTACATCATACAGCTGTTTAGTCCTTCTAGGACTTGTCATTGGCGCTACATCATACAGCTTTTTAGTCCTTCTAGGACTTATCAGTGACTCATCAGTGATGCTACATCATACAGCTGTTTAGTCCTTCTAGGACTCATCAGTGGTGCTACATCATACAGCTGTTTAGTCCTTCTAGGACTCGTCAGTGGTGCTACATCATACAGCTGTTTAGTCCTCCTAGGACTCCTCAGTGGTGCTACATTATACAGCTGTTTAGTCCTTCTAGGACTTGTCAGTGATGTTACATCATACAGCTGTTTAGTCCTTCTAGGACTCCTCAGTGGCGCTACATCATACAGCTGTTTAGTCCTTCTAGGACTTGTCATTGGCGCTACATCATACAGCTGTTTAGTCCTTTTAGGACTCTTCAGTGGTGTTACATCATACAGCTGTTTAGTCCTTCTAGGATTCGTCAGTGATGCTACATCATACAGCTGTTTAGTCCTTTTAGGACTCGTCAGTGATGTTACATCATACAGCTGTTTAGTCCTTCTAGGACTTATCAGTGACTCGTCAGTGATGCTACATCATACAGCTGTTTAGTCCTTTTAGGACTTGTCAGTGATGTTACATCATACAGCTGTTTAGTCCTTCTAGGACTTATCAGTGACTCGTCAGTGATGCTACATCATACAGCTGTTTAGTCCTTCTAGGACTTGTCAGTGATGCTACATCATACAGCTGCTTAGTCCTTCTAGGACTTGTCAGTGATGCTACATCATACAGCTGTTTAGTCCTTTTAGGACTCGTCAGTGATGTTACATCATACAGCTGTTTAGTCCTTCTAGGACTTATCAGTAACTCGTCAGTGATGCTACATCATACATCTGTTTAGTCCTTCTAGGACTTGTCAGTGATGCTACATCATACAGCTGTTTAGTCCTTCTAGGACTTGTCAGTGATGCTACATCATACAGCTTTTTAGTCCTTCTAGGACTTATCAGTGACTCGTCAGTGATGCTACATCATACAGCTGTTTAGTCCTTCTATGACTCATCAGTGGTGCTACATCATACAGCTGTTTAGTCCTTCTAGGACTCATCAGTGACTCGTCAGTGATGCTTCATCATACAGCTGTTTAGTCCTTCTAGGACTTGTCAGTGATGCTACATCATACAGCTGTTTTGTCCTTCTAGGACCTGTCAGTGATGCTACATTATACAGCTGTTTAGTCCTTCTAGGACTTGTCAGTGATGCTACATCATACAGCTGTTTAGTCCTTCTAGGACTAATCAGTGATGCTACATCATACAGCTGTTTAGACCTTCTAGGACTCATCAGTGCTGCTACATCATACAGCTGTTTAGTCCTTCTAGGACTCATCAGTGGTGCTACATCATACAGCTGTTTAGTCCTTCTAGGACTCACCAGTAATTTTTACAGCCTAAATTGTGAAGCCTAGGGGGCAAAGTTGAAACTAAAATTGTTATTCTTCAATGATGTTTTTCTGTAACTTACATTAGGAGGACAGCCAAAGTCCATCTGGATTAACATGGATAAACACATGCTATCTCTGACCTGGTTAGTCTGCATGCTTACCTTGTGTTACATCGGATATGTTGTTTACAAACTGCCAAAAGCTATTGGATGAGGAACTGACCAGGTAGTCACCGAACTTACCTTGTTTTACATCGGAGATGGTGATAACAAACTGCCAAAAGCTATTGGATGAGGAACTGACCAGGTAGTCACCAAACTTACCTTGTGTTACATCGGAGATGGTGATAACAAACTGCCAAAAGCTATTGGATGAGGAACTGATCAGGTAGTCACCAAACTTACCTTGTGTTACATCGGAGATGGTGATAACAAACTGCCAAAAGCTATTGGATGAGGAACTGATCTGCAACATATGAACATCAAGTTTAATGAGACCTAAATGTTCACCACCAAAACATGTAACATGTGTCATTATGAAAGTCACTGACACAATAAGCCAACAACCTTTTAAGCAACTCTTTAAAACATTGTTAAATATTCAAAATAAGAAAAATGATTTGATATATGCCCCAGAATAAATCACTTTTATTATTTTGATCAAGACTTTTTTTTGAAAGACTGAAGGCCTTACTTTGGAATTTCACGTTGCCTTGGTGATGGAGTGTTTCCTACCGTTCCTACAAAGAAAAGTTTCCATATATCAGAAAATAAAGATATTTTATATGTAACTTAACATGTGATTATCAGCACTTTAACATTGTCATCTGCTTACTGTTAAAGTGAAAATAAGGACAGGATCAACAGGAAAAATGTCGAGCATTACTGACTGGAGTCAAAAACCCATACTGAACTGAATACATACATATATCGGAGGAATTTATGATCCCTATACTCCATATCTTAAACGGAGGAATTTTACACTGACCCTGAATTCGGGAGTTTGCTTTCACCTATATGCCCTGATGAGGAAAGGATTCACACCAGCATAGGCTGAGTTTCACTCGCTAATACTTCCATTTGAAGGAACCTGAAGGGAGGATTCCCAACAACAAAATAAGGATTTCAAACTCGCCACCTATATGATCATCCAAGGGAGGGAATCACACGAACAAAGAATGGAATTCATACTCACCTATACGTCCACCGGAAGGAGGGGTTCGAACCGACACTCTTCCAACAGATGCCCCCAAATTGGTATAAGCACTCTGTAAACAATATGCTGATAAATCATTTTTGAAATAAAAAGAGTGCTGCATGTATCAGGGTAACATAGCATAGGACAAACATCTGTGTACTACAGTCTGATAAAGAGCGAAACCTCGCTAAAGAACCACAAATACGAAAATATTTGCTTATGTATAGAGAAGAAAAATAATGGATAGTGAAATTGTGAAACGAGTTTCTTACAATGTCCGTAGAATGATATATGTTGGTCTGTTCATTATGTAGGTACTTACAGCGTTTTTAGGAAGTGCTATAAATGTCGCCTGAGATACAGTCTTAGACAGCTGGGTCTGGGACTGGCTTCTTTACATAGAAAAGTTAAATCAAACAACACATTTTACAACAACGTCATTGTCACCAATAATGTATTACTTGGCGAGAGTTACAGAAAAGCTAAGACAGTTGGAGATCTGGTGCTCAAATTCTACCAAACATTTACACTTTTTACCAATTTTGGTTTTTCCAAATCAGATATGTTACAACCTATGGTGTTTTGCATGTCGCAGTGGCTTAGATACTCTAGGGTCTGTTTTCAATACCACAATATTTGTGCAAGATGTCGGCAACTGACAAAATCACATTACAGGATTCAAGAGATGTAGGTTGAAGATTATGGGGAAGTTTTCTTCGTGCGATATGAATGTGAACTTGTTTGATGCTCGTTAGTATGCCTGGTGGTTTATTTGTTGTTAACCTCGTTCTCCTTCGGGATTGTGATAGTACTTTCTTGTACTGACAAATTTTACATGGCCGGTGTTGTTGACAAAACAGAACAAAAGCAACAAAAGATGGGTAACCTTCCAAAACACATGGTCATCTTATTGTACTTTTTTAGGGGTCTAAATCTTCCTCTTATTTTATTTAGCTAAAGTTTCAAGAAAAATGTGATTGATCAAGATTGTTAACCTATTTTTTTTCCTATTATTTATTTTTTCAAACGTATAGGCCCTTAGCATCACTGACGAGTCCAGAAAGGACTGAAAGGCTTTATGGTGGGTGCAGTCTTATTCAAGTGCTATTCACTTGTGTGTCCTTTGTATAATCTTTGGACTTCAGATGTTCCAAGCTGTCACTATTGTATTCATGGTATACAAAAGAGGTTGTTAAGCTATTTTGGTTACATACTTCTAGTTTGCTGCTCGTAACTACATGTACATAGAATCATAGGAACAATTAAAAGAACATGCACAGCTCATCATTACTTAGAATATGTTAATGAGAATTAACAATCTGTCAGCTATGTTATTATTATCATAAGGTCCTAAAAGAAATTGTAACAAACCATGTAAAATATTTTGGGGAAAATATTCTGTAAGCAATTAAATAGTTAGAATGTCTGGAAAAGGTAGAATGTTTGTTCAACATATGCTTATGGGTGTGTATTTTTGTAAAGCAATCTTCAGGTATGTTTCAGACATGAACCTTATTAATAAGGGAAATCAGTGAATGCAAATGGGACGAACAAGTTGTGCATAGGCAATCAGAAAAAACGGATGCAGATGAAATTTCATTGTAAAACTTGCTACAAACAGAAACATAGTGTACAGCAATTCAACCGTTCTTTGAAAAAATGCACACATTATAACTGTACATAAATTGATATTTCTATATTAGAAACATAAGAATAAGCACATCTGATATAGGTGATACGTTAGGTCCTGACAATTTTCTTTAGAGCGATTACTTTATACCTATAAATTCAGATGTAATTATCCAATCAATTTTACCTGCTGGGGATGCTCATTTGTGGCGAGGATAATGGTGAATCTGGAAACAGAAAATAAGATGTTTGAGTAACACAATCCTTTCATCAACTCACCCATCCACATAGGGGAAGCCATTCATGAAGACTAAACCCGAAAAAAAAGGCGAACATTCAACTGAAATGTATTTTTGCAATACAATGACAATGTAGTTGAATAAATATGGTACAATTGGGTGAAAGGTCACTAGGAATACATGTACTAAATAAAAAACCATTTTCAAAGAGGGTAAAAGGAACAACAGACATACTTCTGTACACAGGCGAGGAGTTCCCACTTCGACGTCCATGTGATCTAAAAATAAAACAAGCAACCAGTCACATGTGATATAGAGGTTGATAAATATGTATATAGGTATAGTATTAGGACATCAAAATCTCATCATGAAACAATGTTAAACATTTTGGCTAAGTCAATCACATATGATGTTAATTGTTATTTGTGACTGGATAAGTCAAAACTCGAGACAATTTAAAATTTTATATTGTTTTATGATCCTGTCGTCAGGTATCTACATTATAATTACATGTTTATCAAACGAGGGGATCAGTTGACACAGTGGTGACCACTCGCCTTTCACCTAGCTTATAGGAATACAGAGTTCAATTCCCAGAGTGGATGTGAAACGATATGGGGTCACCTCCTCGTGAACTTCCATATGGGCCAATAGGAGTGATTAATAAAAGTTAGAAAATTCTTGTTTCACAATTGTTGCAAATGAAAAAAGATAATATTCCAAAAGGAATATACACATAACTTAATTATTCAAATACTGGTTAAGCCTATATCTAATTCTACAGCAACACTGACAAAATAAAATATTTATAGCTAGCATTGATTTGACACACACAGAGCAATGAACACAACATCTGCCACTTTTTATATGTACACCATTTATATGTCATCAATTTATGTAATAATGTCATCAGTTTATATAATGATGTCATCAGGCCTCATATGGAATTTGGACAATTTTGAATTTTTTTTCAGGAGTCAGAATCGCTCTCCAATTATCTTCTGTACATTCATCAGAGTGAAAGATACAGTAAAATACCTTATATTGTATATATGGTTAAAACAACAGCAAGTTCAACTGAACAGCCATATTATACAGAAAGCAGTAGGTGGTGCCACTTAAGCAGTATTGTCAATGCAAACAGCAACAAAATAGTTCTAAGAACAACTTATTATAAAGATGTTTTTCGTTTTTCGCAAATACATGAAAATTCATATATCATGAAACCTTACATAAAGATCTTTCTTTCCATTTAAACCACGTTTATATAAATTTTAGAGATGTAAACAAGCACTGTACATTACAATCAGTTTAAGTAATGACAAGACTGTACAATCTTGTGCAAGCCTAATTGCTATGCATAAAGATGGATGAATATAAACATCGAGGTTGATAAGCTTAGGTACAGATTATGCAATGCATGAGTAAATATTTGGGGTTTTTTACCATCTGGTGAAAAGACCTACTGAAGTTGTTTATGTGGCATCTTTATCTTTTGATGGATAGCAGAAACCACCAGTTGTTAGCTCACCTGAGCCGAAGGCTTACATGAGCTTTTACTTTTGGGCTCAATCGTCATGAGTTGGGCGTAAACTTTTCTTGTCAGATTTGGTTGAAATATCATGTATATAATCATGAAAGTGTACCCTGTACTGATCAATATCTAAAATGTTGAAGTGAAAACAAAATTCAAGATGACTATTATTACTGCCATCTTTAGATTCTATTTATGAACAAATAAGTGAAAAACTATTTGAATATTGGTTGAATTTGAATTAAACTAATTATATATTCATACATATATATTAGTTTAACTGTATATATGTAACTTACAGACCAGAAACTAACAAGTAATGGTTGTGTATTGTTAGCTTGAGTGGTAGAACTATAACATAAAACTTTAAATTAACTTTGAAAAATAAATCAACCGTATGATTAATTAATATCAGCAGTATGAATTACTGATTGAAATGGGTTACTTAATTAACCTGTGATGTCTGTTGACCTATATGCTGATGTTTAGCATAAATCTACGTTGTAATAACGTTTTGACAGATCAGCACATCCTTAATATGACAACCCTAAACCATGGGACCTACCTAATGCAAGATTATCTTCAACACAAAGTGATAGAGATGCTCTCATCGCCTGCAATGTCACCAAACGTGATGCCAACTGAGCATGTGAGGACTATCTTGGACAACAAAAATCAGTGAAACTGATGAATGCTCACTGAAAATGACTTTACTGGACACAAATTTTATTAAAGGGCAAGGATTCTGTAATTCAGGGGTTGCAGGCCCTGAATTTGGTATATAGCATATTCTCTTCATTAGACCAATGTATACATAGGTTCCATGCTCCTAGTTTTAATGCAAGCAAGGCTATGCTCATAACACATATATATCAAATTTTAAAGAAGGGCAATAACTCTGAAATTAAGCAGTTGCATGCCCTGATGTTGATACATTGCACATTGGCTTCAAATTGAATAATAAAGGTATACACCAAGTTTCATTATCTTACCAAAATGCAAGCAAAGTAATACTCTGAAAAAGATATTTTTAACAAAGAGCGATAATCGAGGGGTCAAAGGCCCTGAATTTGGTACAGAGCATTGTCTATCTATGATCAATGTATACAGCAAACTTAGTTTCATGATCCTTGCTTAACTGAGGGCAAAGTTAAGCTCCAGACAAGAATTTTTAACAAAGGACAATAACTCTGTGAGGGGTCAATAGCCCTGAATTTGGCACACTGTACATCCCCTCTGGATGACAAATGTACACACCAAGTTTCATGTTCCTTGTTTGCATATCCCTTATATTTTTTTGGGTGCATGAAAAGTCAATGCATGGGATAAAATTTACCTAACAATTAGAGAATTACAGGCTGCATTAATTCTGGTATGGCAGAAGATTCTTCAGAAAAAGCTTCAACATCTGGTCAATGGTATGAGAAGACCGACAAAAGAACTGTACCAAAAGCATGGTGACTATACCCGAATACCTGACATTTACAATTTCATACTCAACAGTACTCGATGGTTAGTTAATCTTCTTAATCAAGTAAAATGTTTAGTTGATTTGTTGACATGTCTGTTTACAAGAGACAGTTAAAGTCAAAACTTTTTTCAAACTTTAAGAATGCCTTTTTGCGTATGATACAGCACTTAACATACTGTACATTTTGTTTCCTATTTACTGTGTATAGTTTTGATAGATGCCTAAAACATTCTTATTCCTGATGAGTTGTCATGGATATTCTTCTTTAATACAGCGCACAAAATTAAGCCCAATCTAAGATAATGGTGGACCTTAACAAGTTGTTCAGTGTATAATTCATGAAGTTGATTGAACAAAATTTCAGATATCTCTATGAAATGTGTATAGCTTTCAGTGTAAAGCAATAATTACCTGTTTAGGTTAGTATTTAAGTCTATAGGCCTCTAGTTACGTAATGTAGGTATCATACATCTGCTGTGCGCCATTTTGAATATTTCTACTGAAGTGCAGGGTTATATCGGACCAACAGCATGCTTGGATGAAGGGATATCATATTTGTGCAAATAAATGATCTTTCAAACAAATATAGCAAAACATCTGGTAAACAACAATGCTAGAGGATAATCCCCAATTTGTACCAGTATTATGAGCTGCAGTGTACAAACCTGTTAGTGGAATTTGTGATGTGTCTCTGTCAAAAAATAAACACAAATCTATAAATTGGTAAAAAGTATCATACAGATATCTAATGGGTACAAAAAGCCTTACACAGATATCTATCTAGTTAAAAATAATATTGTGTAGATATCATATTGCATAAGGCAGAGTTGATATATCTGATTAGTAGAAAACAGCATTATACACATATACAAAGGGTATAGTATAGATATCTAACTAGATGAGAATGTCTTTTACAGATATCTGAATAGTAAAATAGAAAGGAACATGATTTTTTAGCAGTTCAATCTTAACTAGTTAAGCTGAACACTTTAGAACTATTACACAACGGTTCAATTTTACAGTATACATGTCTTTTTTTGTGCAGAATAAACACATTTTAAGATCAATCAAATGATCTTCAACTTTCAGCCAATCAGAAGCCTTTATTGTGTTTCCATGTTAACAGATTATGAAAACTTTTGTATTTGTAATAATAAGGTAGGATAAGTTCAACCGATGATTCCATTCTAAATAAAATAAATGGCTCAACAGATATGCTGGTGCTACACTGGGCAGATATTTTCCAAACAGGAGGCCCATGGGCCTTAACGGTCATCTGACATAAAATACAAGATTTCAAATTTTGAACTTATTTCACCTGGATTCAGCCACCACCTTGAAAGTGGGTTAAGGTTATTCATTTCAACAAACTTTGTAAACCTTCAACCCAGCATGCTACAGGCCAAATATCATCACCCTGGGTGATCTGGTTATTCAGAGGATGTTGGAAGTAACAAACTTTGGTCAGTGCCATGTCATGTTCATTTCATGCAATTTTTGGTTCAATCGCACTGGTGGAACTTGAAAAGAAGTCAAAAATGTGTTTTCAAGATGGCGGCCATCTTGGATTTTGGACCAACCCAAAATTGACAAACTTTGGTCAGGACCATGTCACAATCATTTCACTTAAGTTTCAGTTCAATGTAACAGGTAGAACCCTGAGAAGAAGCTGAAAATGTGTTTTCAATGTACTTTCAAAATGGCGGCCATGGCGGCCATATTGGATTTTGGACTGACCTGAAATTAACAAACTTTGTTCAGTGCCATGTCATGATCATTTCATGCAAGTTTTGGCTCAATCGCACTGGTGGAACTTGAGAAGAAGTCAAAATTGTTTATGACGGACAACGGACGATGCCGGACAAAAGGCAATCGCAAGAGGTCATCAGACCCTTCAGGTCAGATGACCTAAAAATCTGTTCATAGTGACTGATCACCATAGCAACCAGAACTTTTCAGGCAAGAAAGGTGTTATAGACATAGCGAACAATATCTAGGTTAAGAATTATGAAGGTGGCCCTGCAGTTTCTGAGAAGCTTTGTGGAAAAATGTGGACATACAGACAGACAAATAAATCTCAATTGGTCATAATGATGTACTCCTATATCTACTAGAAAAGATGAGTTCTTTTTATACTTAATCCCTCGGCAGATTTTCAAGATAAAAGACATAACTGATAAACTGGAAATGTTATATAAATATGTATTAATTTGCTTACATTTTCACTTTCAATCATCAGTCTTTTAAGGTAGCAATTTTCTTCACGTAGTTTGCTTATATCCCTATAATTATCAAAACAAACATTCCATTAACAGTGACAGTTAAGTATGCTGTACCAGTTAAACATCCTCCACTTGGGTCCAGTTTCGATAAATAAATTTTGATAAATAAGACATCAGTTCACTTTTTTTCAATGAAGGAAAATAATGGAGGAAAATAAACAAATTTGTGGAATTGATATTCCCATGATTAAGTTGTAGCTTCATCTGTTATTCACAGTTATATACACATTCTTCATGTCAGATAATTTTGGGGAAGTTATAGAAACCAAAACTTCACAATGGCCATCTGGCAGCCATACTGATATTGTTCTTCATTCCTGCAAGCAAACATACTACTGCACTACTGCAAAGAGCATGTGTACAATTCTGATAATGATCTTCACGATTACTGAAAAAGCATTAACAAAACCTGTTGACAAGTGCTAGCTGACAGATGGATGGATCCCAATGATGATTGGCTATACATAAAGGCAAACACTTTGGGGGGATTTTATACATAACAAAAAATAAAAACTAATATAAAATTGAAATTCAAACATTATAATTGGGTACCTTAAGAAATATACTGACATTTTTTGATAAATTCATTTAAAGTTTTTCTACCTTTCCAATTCCTTGGAGGCACATATGGCTTTTTGACACTTCTCCATGACATTCTGTTGTCTGTTGAGCTAAAACAGGTGGGAGATAATACCACATATAACAATTTATAAAAAAATAATTTTGATATCACGGTTTGTTTCAGAATAATCACAATAGTATCTTACCTTGTCCATTAAATAGGAAAAGAACCTCCTCCTTTGACTGTGTTGGAAGTCCATTACCTTCAAAACCAAATAATATCAAACTTGGATGTTTTTGTAAAACCACAGTAAAAGGGACAAACTGTTAAATACAGAAAATTATATTAAATCCATTTTATCAAAATATGATATGTCTTCATTAATATAATCAGTTACAAGTTCTCAAAACTGAAAATGCAAACCTGTATGATTTTCCTGAGCTCTTTTTTCAGCAAATCCATTGGATTTGTAAAAAACAATTCCACATCTGGTTTCATCTGCAATGAAATAAGTTAAAGCCAATTTGTTGAACTGTCCTATGTCCATCAATTTGTTTTTGTATTGCCTGACTTGTCATATATCTAGACATTGTGTGATGTTACCTCTGTCCAGACATAGAAGTCTTACATATACAGACATTGTGTGATGTCACCTCTGTCCAGACATGAAAGTCTTACATATCCAGACATTATGTGATGTTACCTCTGTCCAGACATGGAAGTCTTATATATTTAGACATTATATGATGTTACCTCTGTCCAGATATGGAAGTCTTACACATCCAGACATTGCGTGATGTCACCTTTGTGCAGACAAATTGTATTGTGGAATCTATCCAGACATCATGATATATCTACCCTGTCCAGACATTATATCTTTTCTGTCCAACAAATGTATTTGATCTTATTTGTACAGACATGAATTTTATCTTACCTGTCCTGATATGTTTTATGTTACTTGTCCTAACATGTGTTTTATTTTACATGTCCTGACACATGTATTTACCTGAGACGTCCTGACATGTGTTTCATCTTATCTGTCTTGACATGTGTTTTATCTTACCTGTCCAAACATGTGTTTTATCTTACCTGTTCTAACATGTGTTTTATCTTACCTGTCCTAACATGTGTTTTATCTTACCTGTCCAGACAAGGGAATGGATGTAAATACACTGCCACACATTTTACACTTTCCATTGGTTACTGCAATGTAAACATCATTGATTTTGATATTTAATAAATGAAAAAAAAAATGTAGTTCTGCATTGTGAATTGAAGATCTCGTATCATAACAGAGTATATGAATTGTCAGACAAACCAAAATAAAGATAATCAAACCTCATTGAAAGTTGAAATAGTACATATACAGATTGTAGTTAACTTTCTGTATACATATGTACAATTTTTTTCCCCTGTTCCTTTTCATTATCCAATAAAATGTGTATTATGCATTAATTTTTTATGTTAAGGAGAGAAACCTATTATTATAAGCAAAAGAGTGATATGATTTAATCATATTTTACATGAATGAATTGTACCGAAATGACATCCATAGATTCAATTAAATATCAGGTGTAAAGTATTATGGTAAGAGATCCTTGAGATTTGTAATAAATATTTCTCTTTATTATCTGTGAATAAATTAACCTTGATCTATACACTTTTCACAGTATATATGTCCACAGCTTGTCAAGACAAACTTTCCTCCACCTCCCGGCTGGTGAAAACAAGTGTTGCAATGCAGCCAATCCATTGTCTAACTTCAAATAACTAGCTACAAAAGATTGGTAATATAGCAATCAGTTATTTATCTTTTTACCATAAACAGTTCATACATACGACAATGTATAGTCAGTCAAATTTAATTTTCGATCTTAATTTTTGTAACTTTTTGAGGAAATGACATGCACTTTGCTTATTTTCAGTTTTTGTTTGGTAATTTTTTCTATATGCACAAAATAACTTAGATACAAAAAAAGCAAAAATCATCAAATTGTTTTTCTAGTAACATTTAGTTCATCTTTTACATTACAATTGTTATTGCAGTAATAGTCGACAGTTTGCAATTCTGCCAAGTGCTGTGATATAATAATCAATATTAAGCTCCTGATCTGTTATGGTATACACTTTTTCTGGTAATACTTGGTGTCATCAATATGAAAAATACATTTGGTAAAAAATACACTGGCTTTATAACTTTGGTAAATGTTATAAATATGTATGAATGTAACAATGATAGCAACCCAGACATGTCGAGTTGGTGTCACTAGGAAATATGTGCATAGTGATTCATAGATATTCCATGCATTATGCAACATAATGAAAAAAGTATTTCACTCTTTGAGACTTTTGATTACAGCCTTACATGAACATCATAATTATATTTCTAGCTGTTGAGCATGTTTTTTCTTCCTCTATAAAATATATAGCTAGAAGTGAACATGACAAGAACATGTTTTAATAGACATGACATTTTATTTGCACCTGATTTACAATAATTCCATTTAATACTGAAAACATTAGTTAACCTGTATCTTTGTCTTCCATATATCATTATGATTTTTATTTTTGTTGCATGCATCAGCAATATTTTATTCAATATGGTTGTTTCAGTTCCACAAATAAACGACATGTGAAAATATGTAAAAAAAAAAAAAAAAAAAACTGGTTCAAGCATGCTTTGCTATTTTTTGTAAAATATTTCACGAGTTATGAAAACGTAATCTTACTCAAAAATCTATAAAATCATCCAGGGCTTCACATCACTGCACAGTGCATATAAGTTTCAAGAGAATATGTTGGTTAACTATAAAGTGATGGAGCTATATTTTCAATCATTGCCTTTGAAAATCAATTATTTTGTTTAGATCGTAAACATTAAAGAATTAATTTGGCAATCATATGGAAATGAAAATTGTAGTAAGCAATTTTATCGAGTTATGCGTCAGGACGTACCTTGATATTATAAACAGAAAATAGCTAGATTAGGCCTATGTTGGAGGAGGTTCATCAGTGTCGGCTTCATGTATCTCTCGCACAGGTCCGAAATTTCCAATCGAGAAGCCTCAACTTCGTCCGAAATAACCCGTCTTTCAGGAATTAATAAGGTTAGAATTAAAGATTTGGCTTAAGTCTAATATAACGATATAACAGTGTGTTTTGTTTAAGATAATTCATTTGATGCATTCATCTCTTTCTACACGCATAACTTTTCTGTCACGTGATTTTTTCCGGAAATAGAACACTAAATTTCGAGTAAAAATTAATAAATCCGGCGTACATGTATATATCTCCGTGATTGTGATATGAAATTTGTTTCTTATTGTTATTTGTTTTCTATAATGATACAATGATGATTACTTTTGACATCTGGCACATTTACGTCTACATTTTCCGCTGCTATTCCCATACATAGTTAGTTTCGTTGCAATTAGATTATTTGCATTTTGGCGCATGAATATTAATTACACATCCGAATGTTTATTTAAAGACTTTGCCGCCAGGGTGCAAAACTGATACTTAAGAAGTGAGCTTTGGTGGAAATACTGAAATGTAATATGAAGTAGACACTGCCTAAAAACGAGCGCAAGTTGGTCAAGAAGATGCACATTTTGAACAGCCTGATCCATGTTTGCACTGAAGCGTGTTTTTTTTTTTTTTTTTTTAATATGTTGTATATTTCGCAAGATTTGAACAAAACATCGACACATACAAATGTACCAATATATCAGCAGCAGCAGCAGCAGCAGCAGCAACACATCTTCTTCTTCTAGAATCATTGTATCACCATGATCAGGCGGTGGTTTGGTGGCACAGTTGTAACACACTTGTCTATCACCGAGCCATTCGGGGTTCGATTCCCCGAAGGGATAGAAAGGACACAGGTTTCCTCCTAAAGTTAGACCCTTATCATGCGTACAACAAGTGTGATTTTATAAGTTGAAATAACAAAGTTTCCATATGTCTGTAAGTCATGCACATACAATCATACACCATGAAGGCAGACAAAGAAGAACAAAACAAAGGACGACAAAATAACGCAAAATGTGACACTTTCCCTTCGCGAAGCTGTTTAAATGAAAAACACACAATCATATATATATTAATATTACAACAAGTTAATTTCTATTTGTTATTTCTAATTGTTCCATACAAAGTATTGAAATGGAGAATTCTACTAGAGTACTAGCTTGATGCCTGTACAAAGTATTGAAATAGAGAACTTCTACTAGAGTACTAGCTTGATGCCAGTACAATGTTTTGAGTATCGGGTAATTACCGTGAATGGTTTAAGATAACTGGTTTGAAAAAAAAATTTGTGGTTTGGCCTATGTTTCCATGGTATCAGAAAAAAGTATTTAAATGGCAATCTTCCCCATAGCAAAGGAGACTACTATCTTATTAAGTGTAAACAGTTTTGAGCAATTACCTTTTATTTAATTCTGTATTTGTTTAAAGAGGATTGCAAACAGCCCTGGGGCTACTAGTTGCTCTCCTCGACATGAAACACATTACATAGTACAATACAAGAAAACATATTCGAAACTGACAAAACTTACTTACATTTACTCACTCCTTTCATTCATTAAATTGATACTCGCACACTCATCCACGCACACAGCACACACCTGCTCGCACACCAGACAGAGAGAGAGGGAGAGAGAGAGTGACAGAGAGAGGGAGAGAGAGAGAGAGAGAGAGAGAGATGATTAATCGGTTTGAATTGATTATGAAATCGAAAACTTGATCAAATATAACTTTGTTTGATTGACAGTCTAAAGTTTCACATCCATGTAGTAATATATTTACTAGAACATCAGGTATTAGCTCAACAACAAGAATCGGATTGACATTTGGAGCAATTTCATTACATACCAGACGCAACATCTTAATACGGGATCCGTTATATATAGGGCAATATAAAAAGAAATGTTTCTCGTCTTCAGGAGAATATATACACAAGTCACAAAATTTATTTACAGTTAAATTATAAGAAATCTATGTTTGTTAAGGGCACTAAGTCCCATTCGTATTCTACAATGATTCACTTTGCCCTTTCCATGTCCATATGTATACAGAGATTTAGACAGAGGAGTCGTACTATTACACAAAGATTTTGAGAAAGATGCTAATGTAGAACTACAGCGAAAATGTACAGGCAGATTATTCCAGTCTCTTATTGACTTGGGAAAGAAAGATTGGTGGAAGAAGGATTTCCTAGATGTTATGGGAAGAATAGTATCAGAATTTCGAAAGCCATAGGGGACATACAGATTTAAGATATGAAGGACAAAGATCATGCTTAATTTTATACAACATTTTTAGTCTACAATTTCTTCTTCGGTCACTAAGAGATTCCCATCCTAATTCATTTAACAGTTTAGTATATTTAGTTACCTTGTAACCACCAGTGCATATCAAAGCTGCTCTTCTCTGTACGCTTTCAATGAGGTCGGATTCAAATTGACTACAATTATCAAATAATACATTACCATATTCTAAGATAGATCTAACCATTGATTTATAGAGAGTTTCAAGACAGGCTCGTGGGATTATATACGATAGTGACTGAAGTATGTTTAAAATTTTATTAGCTTTACCGACAATTTCTGACACATGAGAATGCCAGCTCAGATTCCCAGACAATAAAACACCGAGATGTTTATGTGTATTAACATGTTTTATAACAACATTATCAAGAATTAAGTTAGGTATAACCAATGTTCGTTTTTTAGTAAAAAGAGCAAGTTCGGTCTTCAAAGCATTAAAAGAAACTAGCCATCGTTTCGCCCACTGAGACAATATAGATAAATCATTGTTCAGTCTTTCTACAGAGGCCTGACCAGATATTGCCGAAGAAAGTGACGTATCGTCAGCGAATAAGTTGATATCCGACGAAATACCCTCGCTGATGTCGTTAACGTAAACTAAGAATAATAGAGGCCCTAATATAGATCCTTGAGGAACCCCAGAGTTAATCGAACGTTTTTCAGAAGCTTGGCCATTCAAGGCAACAAATTGATTTCGTTCAGATAAGTAACTTTTAAGCCAACAAAGTAGATTACCTTTGATTCCAACATTTTCTAGTTTATAAAGGAGACCGGCGTGCCACACTTTATCAAAAGCCTTGGAAACGTCTAAAAAACTGTACATACATCTTTACCATCATCTATACATTGATATATATTATGAATTATTTTCAACAATTGATTTACAGTAGAATCATTTTCCTTAAACCCGGAATTCTCCTTAATAAGAATGTCATTTTCTGTAAGGAATTTATACATTCTCTTGTATACAATTTTTTCAAGACATTTAGAAACAGTAGAAAGGAGAGAAATGGGTCGATAGTTACTGACAATATTTTTATTACCTTTTTTGTGAATAGGACAAACTTGAGCTGTTTTCCACATAGATGGAAAAATACCTGAGCTGAGAGAGAGATTAAAAATATGGGACCAAATGAAGCATAAAGATTGACAGCAGTTTTTAAGGATAAAATTAGATATACCGTCGGGACCTGATGCCTTGCTAGTGTTCAACGCCTTGAATATATTACGTACTTCTTCTGGATTTGTGTATATATCAGAAAGTGTAGGTCTGCTATCATCCACGGAAATAGTAGGTAATTCTGGTTTCTCAACACACTCAGGGATAGTACACTGCTCAGAGAAAAAATTATTGAAATTGTTGGCCTTATCCAGGTCATCATGTATGAGATGGTTATTATCAACGAGTGGGGGAATAAGTTGTACATTGTTTTTGCCTAACAAAGATTTAGAAATAGCCCAAAATTGTTTTGGATTTGTATTTTTATGACTTAGTTTTCTAATTGTAGAATCTTGGTAGCGTTTTAAGGCATCACGCTTGACCCTATTTGCTTCTCGACGTGCTACTTGGAACCTTAAGTTATCAAAATCATTTTTGGTACGCTGAAATAGCTTGTAGTACCTGTCCCTTTTCCTAAAAGCTCTGCGTACTTCATTTGTAATCCACGGTTTGTCACGGGGACGAATAGTAACAACTTTATTCACTATAAACAATTTACAGGTATCTAAAATAAAAGTATTTACAGTAGTAATTATATCACTTAGAGAATCAAAAACGTTAACAAATATGTCAATATGAGCAGTTGAGAAAGCATTATTCAGACCTTCGATATCTGCTGTTTTATAATCCCAAACAGTTCTCTTATATGACTTCTGTTTTGGTACGTGATACCTCAGATTACAGGTAATAGTACTATGGTCAAAATTACAGAGAGGGGTAGTTACCTGACCAATTACCTTGTCAGAGTATTGACAGAGTAAAAACTGAAATTTTGATGAGGGTCATCGGTTTCAATGGTAACAATAAATGTATTAAAAAGTCATTGACAACATATCTAGACTATAACAATTGATAAAAAAGATCTTCAAAATAAATGCAAAAGAGTTTCCCTTTTAGAGTTACAGACATTGCAGAGAGGACTTTCTATCATCTTTGCTTTAAAAAAAGAAAGGATTTTGTCAAAATATATGGTGAAAGACAATATATTATAGTTTTAGTCGGATTTGTAAAGGTGGTGCTTATATATTTAACAAGTTTTCATTATTAAAATCACAATGTTCTCTTCCGCCGTTTTCTTTTCTCTTTGCTATTGAGAGTTTTCGTTCTGTTCATTAACAAATCATAAAATGCTTCAGAACCTTCGGTTTTTTAAGCAATTCGAACTTGTCCTGGTAGCAAAAAGAGGGTAAAGTTATAAACTTTGTTGAGACTATTCTGTTATACATTGTAATTAAAAAAATGAATATAAATATATATGTTTAAATAAAATGCTTGTGAAAGCCACAATATACTACATAAACTGCATTATTCTGGATACGAGAAACTCATCGTCTCGTTCACGGAAAGTGACGAAAGGTCCCGAACATTAAACCGGAAATCAGGTACATCGGAGCACAATCGAGCTCAAATCTTAAATGGTTAAAATTGCAATTTTTCAACGAGATATTTGTTATATACGTTTCAAACCATTAAAGTATATGTTTGTTAAATTCATCTGAATTATTTAAGACTTTTAGTATGATTTCATTTCTACATGAGAGCTTAAAACGATATTTTGTTGGTCAAAATAATTTTTAATCCATTCAACGGGTCGGCAGTTCTCATTGCGTGCTGCGGCAAGTGTATTGTGGGTAATGAAGTTCCTGCCACACTTCCGTTTAAAGTTGAACGTATGGGCAGGTTGTTGGAGTTGAATTATCACACACAAACACAATACCATAAAGCGCTCGCTATTAATACCAACAAGTTCAAAAAGAAGCGCTTTGTCGGTTTTGATACTTAAATTATTTCTAGATTGAAGACTGTTGTGTTCCGGAAAACCTTTCAAGCTTCATCACAACCGCCTGAATCGTGAAAGGCTAAACAAAAATGTATGGGATAATTTAACGTGGTCGTAGCCAGATCTCTTACGTATATGTATACATGTGTGTGCAAATATACAAAGCTTCGGCATTATTACTTGCATCCAGCAGTGTCAGGAGCATCGCGAGATGGGCAGTATTAAAGTGTTAGATAGAGTTTCGAATCTAGTACCATACAAACGAGAAAAATCATTCGCGGGCAGTCTAACCCAAGCGGACATATCTCAATACAAAATTATCGTTGATGCTGTGGTGATTAAGTACACGTTATTTCAAACACAGGTCAGTGTTCAGGTTTGTCATTTGCGCAAATTGTAATAAATATACGTAAAGGTATAGATTTTCAGTACTTTGTAATTCGATGGTAGTTGCTACGTCATCTTCCATATTTGGACTGGTCTAGTTACAGCGGCTGGCGAGGATAATAAACACAACCTTGACTAATATAGAACCTCGTGATGGATATGCATTATGACGTCATGAATCATTTTCATTCGTGACGTCACAATACATTTCGTATCTATGCGCAATTTTCTGCACAACTATCACGCAAATCTAGTTATCTCAGATATTTGACGAGAAAATGGGATGTAATAACTCGAAGACGGATGAAAATACACGAGATAGATGGATTTTCCCTTGTTGGATAAAGAGAAACAAGGTACAAGTATTGTTAAAACAAATCATTTCTAATAATTGACATAAAAATCTCAAACATACTGAATTTGATACATGTTCTGTTCCCGGCAGCGTTTGACTTCTTGACTTTTACAACTAAAACATTATTTTTTCGTAGGTCGCATCAATCAACATTCCTACTCGAGGGGAGGTCGCGACATCGCTAGAATTGAGTGTTACTCTGAACGCAATACGTAAAACAGAACAGACAGCTTTGATGCAACTGAAGGAGCAGGGAGTTGTCCCCAGGAAGGGAGAGGGAGGAGTGGCTTTTGTATTGCAAATTGAAGGTGAATCGGAAGCCACTTCGATTTCTTCCACTCTCCCTGGTGTTCCAGAGTACAAAACGAAATATCCCCAGTACACCACATACTCATGGGAGGCGTGTCGAGCTGCAACATACGGCCCTCCTCGACGACTTCCTCCAATAAACAGAGCATCTATTGACGCCAAACAGGAACGGGCAAGACGCAACAGGGAAAAGAAGACAGCAGAGAGGAAAGCCAAATGGGCCAAAAGCTACGCAAGAGTACAGTCAACCATGCAGAAGTCAAATGCATAAGGAACGGTTTTCGAGTAGAAAAGACTGCTATCGTATCATGTTTTAGTTTAAAATAAAGTTCAAGGAAACATGATAATGTTTCAATTTGTTTGTGTTTATTTGTTTGTTACTGTTATTTGTTTTCTATAATGAAACATTGATGATTACTGTTGATATCTGGCACATTTACGTCTAAATTTTATACACGTCATACTATTCTACTTCTTACTATCATTTCAACGTTTCCGATTATAATGTTGTTAAAGTGCAAATTTTCAAAATGAAGAAGGCTTCTGGATTACAGACGTCGATCGACAAGTTTTTTTTTCAAACAAAGTAAAGTCTTTTATTTAGTCAGGGGTTGAAGTTTGTTGTTAAATAAATAAAACAAAAACTGTATCAGAAAACGATTCAAAACATCTTTGAAATCATGAAATTCGTTTTCCGTCGGGGGATTATAATGTTGTTAAAGTGCAAATTTTCAAAATGAAGAAGGCTTCTGGATTACAGACGTCGATCGACAAGTTTTTTTTTCAAACAAAGTAAAGTCTTTTATTTAGTCAGGGGTTGAAGTTTGTTGTTAAATAAATAAAACAAAAACTGTATCAGAAAACGATTCAAAACATCTTTGAAATCATGAAATTCGTTTTCCGTCGGGGGACTTCTATTGGCGGCCCCAAGACCCCTCGCTAGGGCTTACTCATTTCTGCTGGGCTAGCTACGCCCCTGGTAATTACAGTGCTATAGTCTGTCTGTGATGTATGATGTATCTTTGATAACTGTCATATTCCGTTCTGTCTGTGATGTATCTGTGATTACTGCTATATTCCGTTCTGTCTGTGATGTAACATATATCTGTGATTACTGCTATATTCCGTTCTGTCTGTGATGTATCTGTGATTACTGTTATATTCCGTTCTGTCTGTGATGTAACATATATCTATGATTACTGCTATATTCCGTTCTGTCTGTGATGTATGATATATCTGTGATTACTGCTATATTCCAGTTTCATCAGTGACAGTAAATGTTTATATGTTCATAACAACATGTTGAGTGCCGTTCAGTTGTCAGTTGTTAAACCCAGCCGAGTTGTCTTTTTTATTTAATAGCAAAGAAGAGAAGAAGAGATAATAAAGTAAAGTCTTGGTTATCAAACGATCAGGGTGGAATGGACGCTAATTTGTTAAATTATCAGAGTGGAATGGATGCTTGATTAATATTATCAGGATGGAATTGATGTTAGGTTGTTACATTATCAGGGTGGAATTGATGTTAGGTTGTTATATTATCAGGGTGGAATGGATGTTAGGTTGTTACATTATCAGGGTGGAATTGTTGTTAGGTTGTTTCATTATCAGGGTGGAATGGGTGTTACGTTGTTACATTATCAGGGTGGAATGGATTACTGCTATGGAATTAGGTTGTTATATTATGTCTGTGATGTTATGATATATCAGGATAATGGATATATTGTTACTGTCTGTGGATGTTATGTTGTTACATTACTGCTATATTCCGTTATATTCTGTCTGTGATGTAGGTTGTTATATATCTGTGATTAATGATATATTGTTACATTATCTGTGATGATATTATGTTGTTATATTATCTATGGATATTATGTTGTTATATTCAGGGTCTGAATGTGATGTTATGATATATCTATTGATAACTGTCATATTTGTTCTGTCTGTGATGTATCTGTGATTACTGTGGATATATTTGTTACATTATCAGGGTGGAATGGATTGTAACATATATCAGGGTGATTACTGTTATATTGTTACATTATCTCTGATGTAACATATATCTGTGATGTAACATATATCTGTGATTACTGTTATATTCCGTTCTGTCTGTGATGTAACATATATCTGTTGTTATTATCAGGGTGTTATGGATTTATGTTGTTACATCAGTGGAAGATGTTATGTTGTATATGTTCATAACAACATGTTGAGTTGTTACATTTCAGGGTGGAATGGATGTTAGTTGTTAAACCCATCGAGGGTGGAATGGATGTTTTTTATTTATCAGGATGGAATGGATGAAGAGATAATAAAGTAAAGTCTTGTTGTTATCAAATGTTGTTATCAGGGTGGAATGGATGTTAGGTTGTTACATTATCAGGGTGGAATTGTTGTTAGGTTGTTATATTATAAGGGTTGAATAGATGTTAGGTTGTTATATTATCAGGATGGAATGGATATTAGGTTGTTACATTATCAGGGTGGAATGGATGTTATGTTGTTACATTATCAGGGTGGAATGGATATTATGTTGTTATATTATCAGGGTGGAATGGATGTTATGTTGTTACATTATCAGGGTGGAATGGATGTTATGTTGTTACATTATCAGGGTGGAATGGATGTTATGTTGTTACGTTATCAGGGTGGAATGGATGTTATGTTGTTACATTATCAGGGTGGAATGGATGTTATGTTGTTATATTATCAGGGTGGAATGGATGTTATGTTGTTACGTTATCAGGGTGGAATGGATGTTATGTTGTTACGTTATCAGGGTGGAATGGATGTTATGTTGTTACGTTATCAGGGTGGAATGGATGTATGGTTGTTTCATTATCTGGGTGGAATTGTTATTATGATTTTACAATCAGGGTGGAATCAATATAAAATTGCTGAATTTCCTTTCCCTGATTATAAATGTTCTCACGTTATTAAAACATTTTATCAACCCACAATCAGCTCCTGAGGTTGATAAAGCAATCCCACATCACTAGTTTGTACCCAGATATAGTAACACGGGACTTTCCACATTGACATATTTACATTTTTTAGTATTCGATAAAATATAATATTACTTGTTAATTTTAGATTGATGCTGATTCTATCTATTTTGTTGTGATTTTCAACCTTTTTTCTCTCTTTTTTTCTGTTTATAACACCTTTTTTTCTCTGTCCATTCTATCTAGTGACAAGAAATGATCATTTTGTAATAAGGAAATATTGGGGAATTGTCACATAATAAAACAGTTATCAACATGTTTTCTGGCGGATACAATTACTCAACGACACTCGGAAATGATTCTCCCCCCCTGCCTTCGGCCTTGGGATATATCACTTTCTCAGGTTGTTAAGTCATCGTACGCACGTGACAACATGCCAATATTATTTCGTTAACTTTGGATGTGACATAAATGAATTCACAAGATAATCATTTAAAACATTTTATTCACATTCTCATTCATCAGGATTGCCATCTTAATGTGTTATTAAGCTGTCGATCACGCCATCAGATGTTGTTATATAGTGTATCTGCTGGTGGAAACTGGACGCTGTTACAACCACTACGGGTACAACAGAAGTCACAGCTCAGATTCTGTCCGCTCGGTCCACTTCCGGATAGAAGCACACTCATACACTCTGGCGAGTTAAGCGTGTTTTGTATCCATCTTCTGTAGCATTCTGCTTCTGTCACACAACTTGAAATATAAACACCAACATCCATCACTCTCTATTATCAACACCTGTACATGGGTATCCTTGTAGCCTACCTGAGTAGCTTTGGTAAACTGACTATTTATGTATATTTTTCTGTAAACATATTTCCGCATGAATGATTTTCGGTAAATTGCTTATATTGTACTCCTATAACGGATAATTGCAACTCATTTGCAATTGATTGGACAGGTACGTGTATATATATGTATCCATAAGAATACTGGAATTCAAAGACATCACAGACTTTTCTACAAAGAATTTAATTTCCCTATTGTAAATTTTCCCTTTCTAGATACCAACATGCCTGCTTCTTCAACCTATGGTGGTCCCATGTCGCATTTGATTCCATAGTTGACGGCACGTTCCCAGTATCAATATTTACCTGCAAGGTGCCGACAGATGACAGTAAAAATGGTTCATGTTGAATTGTCATGGCCATCACAATGACCTCATCAGGAAATATATGCCTGGTGGTTCTGTTGTTGTTACCTTGCTCTAATATCTGAACGTGACATTTCTTACTTGGATTGACTGAGATCCACAAGGCGGATGTCGTCGATGAATCAGAAGACATTTTCTCTCCCAGAACACTTTGCCTTATTCTATTAATATTAAGACCTTCAAGTAAATCGTTCCTTTGTTCATTATATCATATCGAAAGTTTGAATTTAGATTCTGTTGACAGGTTCATATTTTCTTTTTATTCGGTATTCAGTTGACCTACCTTCTGGTTTGATTCCTAGAGCCATCAGCACCATCTACGAAAGAACTGACACAGAAGTCTTCGCCTTGCAGACATTGGGATGGAGCGAGGTTGTTACCATTACAGGCAGTTCCGGAGCATGTGATACACATCTGGGAGGCTAGGTAAGACAACACAACAATTTCACAGTAACGATAAGTATGCTATGACGTAAGGGAAAGGTACTTGGGGATTCAACTGGAACAAATGCTGGTCGAAGAAGTGACAAAAACCTATCGGTTCTGTAATAATGAACACTAAGGAAGAGGTGATATCAGCATCACGGAATACGCTTTCAGGACAATTTTTCTTGACATCTTTCAATAAGATGAAAAGAGAAATCGGTCATATTGCCAGATATCATCATACAGGACAGAAGCTGAGGTAATATAAATTTCCATGTCGAAGTTAACTAAACTTTGACGTTTAGTTTTCAAGTGTATATGAAAGACCCAACGGAATAAAAACAAATCGCACATTGAAATCAATGTTTTATTACTGATATTATTTGATACAAAGATATATTTTTCTCAAATCTATGAATGGTGTTTATATAATGATTCTATGTTTAACTGTTTATTTTAGTGTGACCCGCAAGCAGACTTGGTGGCTGATGTCTACCAGGGTATCAGGGAAATAAAATGAATTTGTTGTGTGTTTATTTATATGATAGTTTCGTATTTTAATTGTTCGAACTGTTTAAGTGTTCAAGAGCTTTAAATATGCAATTGAATTTGTGATTAAAAAGATACGATCTGAGTATAAGGGCACACACATGTGTCCCTGGTTGTAGAAGCTGTATATCTCTG